ATAAATTATTAATGATGTTTTATAATTTATCAAATCTCTCAAACACCCTCACGAGATCAACAACTTAAATATTTCAAAAAAATTATTAGCAAATTTATTATCATATATTTTAATGATGATCATAATAATAATTGGATCATGAAAGATCATTTAAACCATTCACATAAGGAGTGTAAAATTCTTATGTACAAAAGTTTGTATATTAGTCATATCATTTTCTTAGGTTTTGTAATTTTTTATGTCATTTAATTAACATTAATAAAGTCAAACCAATCATCGAATTGTCCAAACTATTTAATTACTATGTTGTTTGAATGTTCTATTAGTCCGCAATCTTACTATCATTTTTTAAAAAAATTTAGTACAACTTATAACTCTTATCACTGAATACATCAACAAGAAAACATTTAAAATTGACCAAGACTACTCTTAGTGAATTTTCATAATTAAAAAGAGTGTGACTTGAACATGTGTACTTAAGTTTCTTGACTTTTGTAAGATGTTTGAGATAGATTTGATGTTTCAAGAAAAAAAAATTGAGGATTATTGAATCAAAAGAGTCACTCTATAATCTTATTCGGTGATAAAATTAATGATGCAAAATATTTTTATTATATATGAAAAATTATATTATGCTATTTTTAAAGTCTTGTGATATTGAAGTCATTATTTATTGTCTATATAATATATGTTTTACTTCAATCATAAAGGTCTTACATTATCTTAATTATAAAAGGAAACTCAATTTTTGAGATAACCCTTAGAACAAATTTTGTCAAAATATACACTTTTATCTTTAAATACAAATATGACATTAAGAATCAAATTGCATTTACACTCACTCACATAATTAATTTAATATATATATGGTAATTTTTTAGAAAAAGTTTTATGAAATTTGTGCATGCTTTATTAAGATAATCAATACACTCAAATAAAATCTTTAAAAGAAATAGTGATTATACGTATATTTGTGTGAGAGTTGCATTTGAGTGGATTAATTGGCCATTTTAAGTTGAAAAAAATTATAAAGATCATTTTTATTGACTAGTATAAAAAAGAAAACATAACATTGAATTCTACACCTCTCTTCTATTTCCTAGTCATAATTGAAAAGATGTTGGCAGAAACTTTATAATAGGCTTATTTAAGACTCAAAATAACCATTATTCTACTCTTGCGGTGGTTCATAGGTTTTCTAAGATTTCCCACATTCTATCTTACTCTATGATCATATATGGCTTTAGAATTATTAAATTTTATTTTAATAAAGTTATAAAACTTTGTAACTTACATCAAATAATAGTGTTAAATAGTAATGTAAAATTTATGAGGTACATTTAGAAAACATTATGACACATGATAGCAATTAAGTTTTAACTTTTCACAACCTTCCACTCTCAAACATGAACACAAGTAGTTAATAGAAATTTAAAAAATCTTATGAGATATTTAATTGGCCAACATTTAGAAATTTGAGATTTAATCTTCCCATGAATTGAGTTTGCATATAATAATCATGTTAATCAAGCCACAAGATTAAGTATATTCAAGATTGTGTATGATCATAAATTTAGAAAATTAGTTGATCTCATTAGTGTGTTGATGCATATTATAATTTGAGTTAGTTGAATCTTTTGCACAACATGTTAAGAGTATAAATAAACACATTAATATTACTGATGAGTCATATGAGTATCTAGTTGACTCTCATAAATAGCTCAAAGAATTTATGATACAAGTATGGCCACATAAGTTCATGTTATGTATTATTGTGAAGTTACAAGTTTTTAATGTAATACTTTTAAAAATTTTGAACAAATGAGAACATATGTATGTTGTTGATTTGCTATCTGAAAAAGGAGTAGCCCAACTTTCAATCTTTCTAACTTAGTTGTATATTAAACTGCAAGTTATTCTCAATGATACATTTGAGTCTTTTCTATCCCTTGTGAGTAAAACAAAACATGTGTCATGAGTCATATCTATTATATGACATGAGCAAATAAATGATATATTAAATGAATAAATTATTTATCTCATGAATAGAGTGTTTTAGTAATTCATTATACATTTGAGGGAGCACCTGCCATCAAATAATTCATATTTTTTTGAAAAGAAGCCATAGTATATAAATCTATACCTTAAATAAAATTATTATAGTAGACAAACACCACCATCAGCATGGTTGAGTTGTTACCATCTTAAGAGAATTAATGAAGACCAAAGAATTATGAACCATTGTCTAAGTTGTCAACACATTGGCTTATACTATTAAAAAGTAATTTATTTATTATTAAGTATATATTTTATTTATTATATATTAAAGAGGTTATAAATTATGTCTTGTAACCTTAGAAATGATGGAGAGAAAATGATTTTTGTTATTTTACCGATCATTCTATGAATGAGAGGTTGTGAAAACTATTATTCAATTAATTTAGTGAGGGAAAAGCTTTGACAACCATTATTCAGTGCCACCTCCAGAGATCGGGATCGTCATTGTTGTCCACCATCCTTCAATCCCCATTTATTGTTGACCACCACTCCATGGCACCATTCACCACCGTTGACCCTCGTCTGTCACCATTCCACTACCTCTTTGATAATCTCTCAAACTACTCATTATTCTAGTAAAACTAATATCTTTAACCCTCATAAGTCCATTTATATCTTATGAAAAATAATATTTCATATTAGTAAATCTTATCTAGAACAAGTTTAAATAAAACCCTAAAAAAAATCAACCATACAAGTTATCAAAGTTGATATTTACTATCCTTTGTTGGGCTTTGACCTTGGATCAACAACATCTTGTCGCTAATTGTAATGTAATAAAGGCATTGGGTGCCTTGGGTTGGTAGAAACTGGAGAGTACGGGAGGAAGCTTCGGAATAAGCAGTCAGAGGACCGTTGAGATCTAGTCTCACTCAGATCGTCCGATCCAGCCTGACCCCACGATCCTAAAGCTCGGCTGATCCGATTGGGAACGACCGAGGCATCTCCACTGGATCGTTCTCCGCAGCCGATCCAAGATAGAAAACCATCGGCAGTTTGTTGGGGCAAGATAGAAGTGTGACGACCGGCCCAGGCCCAGCAGTCACCCTTCTTCGAACCATCCGAAAATAAATGGTCAACCGAGCAATTCATCCTCTTGTAATAGTTGACTTTGAACTTTCCCTCAAGTAGGACCGTCTAAATGTAACGCTTCGTATTTAAGTTGACTAGCCGTGTAAGCAGAGCTTTTCTTGCATGTTCGAATGAGATCCTAGCGTTGACTGAAGCGACTGAGTGTCTGGTTGACCAATTGGCAATCCTCAGAGCAATCCCGATTTGACCAAACGACGTGCTTACAGCAGGTTCAGACAGGATCGAACAGGTGCGAAAACCTGCTCTCTATCTCTCTACTATCCTTGCATCTCAAGAGCGAAGCCCTTGAGTCTTTATCTTCCCCTGGCGGAGCCGCTCAATTGATGGGTCCTCTCACCTCACAGCACACAGCCCTGCTCCTTCCGTTAGGGGGAACAAGAAGTCGTCACTCAAGAAAGAGTGAGAAAAAGAGCGCGAAAGCGAGAGAGAGTGCAGTTCGCCATGAAGGCCTGAACTGGAATCTACGGAGGTAGCGAGCCCAGGAGGGGGGACTCTGCCATCGAGCTGGATAATGGAGATCTCAGTGCTAACCGCCGTGGAAGGGCCCCCGCCGCCAGCTGTCCTCCCCTCCCCTCCTCCCTTACGCCGGCAGAGAGGCTCCTGCGCCGCTGACCAGGGTGCCTTAGTTCTTCCCCGGCGGCGGAAATGACCCGGATGCGGCAGACATTGTTCGAGTGACGATCGACACTTTCAAGTGATGATAATATTTGTCGAAGAAAGGCAACCTTCGGAACGCGGGTTGATGAAATTCCTTGGTCTTTAATCGTATCAACGTAAACGAGGCCGGATCTCAATAGCTTGACAGAATGTGGACATCATTTCTTGTTCCAACAGTCGTAAGTTTCGGCAGCACCGAAGGTTGATTGGATGAAGAACCCTAAGCCAGTAGCAGCGGCGGCGACGACGGCGGCGCCGCCAAGAGCAGTCCCGCCTGAAGAAACCAAATGAAAGTGGGGAACACAGTCGCGCACCGCCCTGAGGAGGTCAGTTACGAGGGGTGGAGGCACGTGGGTTTTGGTTCCCGGCCGGAGAAAAGGACACCGCCGCCAGCCTAATCCCACGCCGCCGCCGGAGGCTTCCTCACCTCTCCGCCGCTTCGTGTCCAGCGACAAGATCAACGAAGCTTCGTCGTAGGAAAGTCGGCGCAGCTCGGTAAGCCAAAGAGGGACGTGGCGTATTAATGTCGGAAGTAATTTGAAGATTGAACCGAGATTAAGACTCGAGATCAACTAAAAATTTCCACGAACAGAGATCATCACGTTGCCGTGGGGAAATCAGGTCCTCACGCCGCTGGCATCTGGGGGCTTTAATGGCTTATAATGCGACGTGTGCGGGACGCGTGGAGCTGCCGGTCGATCCCGCCGCGGCACGGCAGTTGGCGCGCCGCTCGCGCCACCTGTCCCCCGCCGCGGCATTAACGGTGGCGCCGCCGGTGGCCCGGACCGGAGGGTGGGAGGGAAGAACAAAGTTCATCTGAGGAGACGTGACCCTCCTCATCTTCTTCTTCGTCCATTCGAACCAGTGGGTTTCGATTTCGATCTCTGCCCGGTTAGTGGGGATTCAGGAGGAGAAAAAAAAGAATAATAGAAAAGGAGAAGAAGCTGGGAGTTGCAGACGGGTAAAGAATCGCCGTTTTATCGGCCTCAAACCAGGGGCCGCCCCTCGTCGGAAGCCCGAGTAAATTCGATCAAAGCTTTCGCCTTGAATGGTCACTGTCCGCGTATCTGCTGCTACTCCATCTCCGCCGCCGCCGCGTCTCTCGAGGATGAAAGACGATGATCCTCTTTATCTCCGGTCTTCGCCGCCGCGGGTGCGGAGAATTAGATCGTGGCTGGTGGCCCACGGAAGCCTCACAGCCCAAGAACGATGTAGTAGAGGAGGGTGATGGGGAGCGATATCAGCATTCCAAAGAAGACCCTGCGGAAGAATTGCCAGAGGAATTTCTCAGTCAGCACCAACTAAAAGCTTATCTCCACATCTTCTTCTTCTTCTTCTTCTTCTTCTGCATCTATTGGCCTCTCTGATAGGACTCACCCTGCGCTGAGTATGGCGGGGTGGACGTTGTACTCCTTGGCGAAGACGAACGGGACGATCCCCTGCGGCAGCGCCGCCTGACGACGGCGCCGGAGAGATTAAACCGCCGTTAGCAACAACGAAGTAAAACAGAGACCGCCACATTAACTCCCCCATCGCCGTCACTCCCCACCGAGGTCGAAATTTACCTGCACGATGGCGATGTGGAGGAGGGTTCCCCGCAGGCCCACCGCAATGGAGGCCGCTGCCATCACGGCCGGCCCTGTGAGGAACCTCACCGTCATCGCGAAGCTCGCCACCGAGTTCCCGCACGCTATTATCTTCGGCTGTAATGCCATGAACAGCCCTGGATGGAGATCACAACGGAGCAAGAGATTAATCGGAAGTGGAAGACGACGCAGGAGATGAATGGAAATCGGTATAAATGGGGAGGGAAGCCGTGAACCCACCAAGGCTGAACATGGCCATCCCCAGTCCGGCGTCGGAGAGGATGGAGATGGACTGATCTACTATCTTCGGCATCGCAATATGCCACCTTCGTCCCCAGACGAACCAGTCAGGTCCCCGTAAGTAGTAGTAATTCGGAAGGGAGTTGCAGAGGCGAGTTTCTTACCGGAAGGCGATGAGGGACCATGTGAGGCCGACGAGGCTGGAGTAGGTGTTTGGGTTGCGGATAAGCTTCCGCCACACCATGATAAGTATCAACCTCGTCATCACGCTCGTCGGCGGCATCTGCTGTCGATTTCCACAGACCTTCCCCTCCATGGGCAGCCCTCCACCGCATCCACCGTCCTTAGGGAACTGCTCCGCCATAGTCGGCCCCTCCGCCGCCGGCCCCTCCTCAGTCGCCTCCTCCCCTCCGGTTACCGCTGGAGGAAGAATTACAGTCAGAAGCAGAGAATGAATGACGATGAGCATCAAAGAGGATTGAGCGATGTAAGTTACATTTCCTCTGAGGGAGGTCCTCCGGGATGATCATACGAATCTCCTTGGCGTCCTGCTCCGCGGCGGCGAACTCACCGTGGAAGCCACCGACATCGGAGACGGGGGAGGCGCTGGAGCTCCACACGAACATGTGGAGCTCCTTGGCGTCGTGGCTATGGTGGTGGTGACTGATCGGTTTGCCGGCGGCGGGATTGTTCCTGCCGCCGGCGATCTCCTGGTTGGGAAAGGCGGCCGGCCCCGTGAGGCTGTGACCGTCGTCGACGTTGGAAGGGCGAGGAGTCGGCCGCGCCATGGAGTAGAAGTCGGAGGGGTTGAAATTGGATCCCCTGGGAGTTGGGTCCCGGGAAGAGCTCAAGCTGTAGATCTCAGCACCGGTGAGGTTCGACGGCCGGGGAGTTAACAGGGAGACGGAGCGGCAGGAGGAGGTGGACTTGCGGACGGTGATGCGGATCTTGCCGTCGTCGCCGACTTCGGCGTCAGCCTGGAGGAACTGATGGCCGGAGCGGCCGTCGTCGCCGGCGCCGTCGACGAGCGAGGCGACGTCCGAGTCGACCTTGAAGGAGACAATAGAGCCCGCAGTGCCGTCGGGGAACTGATCGAGGATCAGCAGCCTGGCGGCGCGGTACTCGAAGAGGAAGAGGAGGAGGGTGCTCCAGATGATGCACTGGAGCACCACTACCTGCACCATGAGGCTGCCGGAGAAGTCGCCGTACATGGCGGTGAGGAGGGGGATGCCCATGATAAGGGTGTTGGGGAGGGTGGAGAGGGAAAAGATGGTGATAGCCCAGTCAAAGGAGGCCCCTCCGCCGCCGGCTCCGGCGGCGCCATCCGATCTGGACGGAATGTTGGACCAGATGACCACGGCGGCGAGGACGATGAGCTTCTGCAGTGTGTCGGCGGCGACGAAGCGGAGGTTCATGGCGTAGGGGTCGTTGGTGGCGATGAAGTGGAAAGAGAGCAGCGGCACGGCGAAGACGGCGACGAAGCGGTTGATGCCGGAGCACTGGTCGGGGGAGAAGATCCGCCACCACCGCACGGAGCCGTAGGCCAGGATCATCGCTACGTAAAGCGGCACCACCGCCGCCATCACCGTGTAGAAATCCTTCCATGTGATCATCTCCTCCTCCCCTCCGAGCTCCTCCCCAGAACGATCAGAGCCCACCGGCCGCCCCAAGATCCATGAAGGTCCTGATCAGAAAGAGAGAGAGAGAGAGAGAGAGAGAGAGAACAGGGGGGAAGAGAGATGGGTTCTGACAACTGAGATTCCGTAGCTCTCCGGTGAACTCTACGGAGGAGCTTCCACAGACCGGCGACGGCGGAGCAGCCTTGCTTTCTGAGGTGCCCCGGGTCGGCCTGCTGCGGAGGAGCCGATCAGGATTTATAAACCGCATGGGAGACCCCGTCTTCCCCGCCGGGGATTTCGGGGGCCTCGGATTTCTAGAGAGAGAGAGAGTAGGTGGAATGAAACTCACGTGGCGGCCAATGATAAGAAACTGGGTTTGGGGAGGATTGTCACGTAATCACCCTCGAGATCTCCGATCCTTACTTTTATGCCCCTACTCCCCGGTGGGACCCTCGAAAATACGGGTACCGGACAACCGTCATGCCTGACGGCCATCCGCCTGTCGGCGGGGTCTACTTCGTGGGCCCCGCGGCCTGGGTGTGCTATTCAAGGAAGGTCCTTTCGCTTCGGGTGGGCCCCGATGTTAACGGGAAATGGCATTGTCATCCACAGACGGCAGAGGATATATAGGTAATAATAATAAATCCCTCCCTATTCATGCCCTCTTTATTGTATACGATTAGGGAAATTTTCTCGTCGTTTTAGAGAGAAAAAAATGATCTCCGGGGATTTTCTAGCCTAATGACCGTGTTTAATCTGGGCATAAATTCATAGGATTTTTCACACAATGGGTAAAATAATAATAAAATATGTAAATTTAAAATTATTATAAATATAATTCTTTTTAGGCCGCATCAATGTCCTGGTAAATATGCTAAAAGCTATTATTCGTCACAATTACACAAAATTTGAGGGGAATTTGATTTATTCATCATGATGCTTTATGTCACCAATGAAACCATGCTAAATAGTTAAAATAATTTCATCATAGGAATTTAAAAAATTGAGATGAGGGAAGAAGATTACCTGTTTTCATGGGTCCATGGAACATTACTTCTGCTAAAAATCCATATTTATAAGTATTTTTTTAAAAAAATAGGAGTTCCTAGTCACAACGTTTTAATGATTCAGAGAAAAAAAATGTGCATGAGAAGACTTCTTAATTGGAATTTTGACAAGTATAATTTATTTGATAGTGGAAGAAATTATTGGTTCATCTTGTAGGTCTAAGCTGACGGCTCCACAGGAGGGACAGCCCTACGGGGAAGGCTCCTTTCCACGGCCTGATTGAGCCGGTGACCAGGGACCAGCCCACGCTGCACCATCAATGTCTAGTCAACAGCTCCTCTCTCTCTGTGTACTGCGCGCGTGTGTGTGTGGAGCGGGGGAGGTCGAGAGAGAAGAGGTCCCCATCGCAACCCCACCATGCCATCACAATCCTCCCCCTGTTGCGGCTGTCTGCGTCTCCAGCGACGGAGGCGTCCCTCTGCGGCCGCCCTCGTTCGTTCCCCCTCTCGTATCTGCAGTCGTCTTCTCCTCCGGTGGGTTTCCTGCCGCTGCGCATGTGCGCGAAGGATTCGCGATCGCCGCCGGCCCCGTCGCCGGTGACCGCTCACATGGCCCGCCGCCCGTCTCCCCTTCTTTCCGGTTCCCTCCGACTTTCCGTGGAAAGCCGTGCTTGTGCTCTAATAGCTCTTGGCTGGCTCCGAGCTTATAATTCCCAAATCATTGCTCTCTCTCTCTCAACTCTTCTTGATCTGGCTGTTTCGTACGTGCCTTCTCCTCAGAAGAGGAGACGAAGGCAGGTGAGACAGGAAGCTCGACGTCTCCGAGTGAGACACAACCGGCGCCGTTTCGACGACATGACAGCCAGGTCCCCCACTCCGGGCGGAACAGTCACGTGGCGCTACGTGAACTGGTCGCGAATCCATCGAGCTCGAGTTACCTTCCTACCGTCCGTGGGGAGGGAGGACCGGATCGCCGCCTAGTTTCACGTCCGTCGACGGCGAACGGCCCGGCTGAACCTGCCGTGGGTTTTCCTTCATAAATGTCGAAATCGTTGACGTTCATGAACACGCGTAGATCGTCCAGTTTCGAACCAGCGAGTCCTGAATACGTGCAACATCACCATCTACGTGTCCTAATTTGGCGCTGACTACGTCCTCTGGATTACAAAGTCAACGAGGATGAGCAACGTCCAGTTTCTGATTAATTGACGGCGACTAGACGGGCGGATGGAGACAAGATTCCCTCCTACCCGACTTACAGCCGAAACTTAAGGCTCTCCTGATCGGCTGCGAAGTTACTGCGAGGAGGAAACCCCCTGATATTGTGACCAAAAATCTGATTTTTCTCGACGAAGACGCTTTCCTACTCCCCGTGATATTGACTCCATCTCTCATCGAGCAGACCAAGGCCCATATGTTACGACAAAAAAATCGACTCTTTCCCGACAAAGACCTCATCTTTCTCTTTCTCCTTATCTTCTCTCTCTCTCTCTCTCTCTCTCTCTCTCTGAGTCATGGTACATGGAGTTGAAATATACAAGTGGGCAAGTTAGAGACGACGCCTTGGTCTTGATATCTGAGTGGGTGATCGATCTCCCTTGGCCTGAGCTTGGAGGGTCCTAGGTCAAGACGGTTGGGCCACCAGCATGGGAGGACGCGTGTCGAACCCCCATCGGCTGAGTGCAGTTAACTGCGTCCCTCCAGAACACGTGTCATTGTCGGAGAATAGCCCTGCACTGGATGACGGACAAGTTGACCCCTCTCCTACTCCTAGCGCTCTGACGGTCTACGTAAGAACCGTTCGTTTCGTTCGCGTTAGCACCTACGATATCTCCGGGTGTCTTGATGACACAGATTGACAGAGAGAGAGAGAGAGAGAGGGCATTCGAAGTTATATTAACCGACCATAGATGAGGCGTATATATCAAGCTTGGCACGCGCATGATATTTGTTTAAATATGTTTAATATATAATATCATTATATAGAGTCAAAGCTCTTTTTAAATAATTATCGCCTAGTTTATTTGGGTTTGCTCTTCTAGCTTCCATCGGCAAAATCGGGCCTACAAAGAAGAAGACAGGTGACTTCATCATCTGCCCATTTGAGCTAAGTTTAGAATTTTAACAGGGCCAATATCGGTACTAAAATCTCTCTCTCTCTCTCTCTCTCTCTCTCTCTCTCTCTCTCACACACACACACACACACACACACACACACACATTCTCTCTCTCTAAAATAATTGCATGAGTTCTTTTTTGGGCCCAAGCCCATCTGTCCTTTTGGAATGCCCGGTTAATGAGCCGGGCCGGAGAGAAGCCCGGGACATGAACACTCTCAGCTCGGCCCACCACACAAAGCGTTGAATAATCTCTGCAGACCAAGGTTCATGCTCGAAATTAGAGATTTATATCGCGGAGAATGTCAATTGACGAGCATATCGTATTGTATACTATATAAAGATGCTTATGTTGATAGAAAGTCCACTGGTTGACCCCATCGGTGGAGCCTAGGAACCGACCATTGTTCTTCGGGCATCCTCCAAAGTGAACACAGACGGGATTCATCAGAATAGGAGTTGACTTCTAATGATAGAATCGCGAGAGGGAGGGAGTCGGACAAATTCAGTTCTGTTGTTTGGACAAGTATGGGCGATGGTGATGATGCCCGTTGGCCACATCATCGCCGTTGCTCATCGTGGCGGCGGCGCAATCGCCATTAGATCGATCGGCGGCGATCGCCGAGGTCTTCTTCCCCACGCGGCCGCTCTTGGGAGAGACGGCGGCTAGCACGACCACCCCGCAGAGCAGCGCCAGCCCCACGCCCAGCGCGTTGACCACTACTGCCTCCGCCGATCTTGGAGCCGCCGCCGCCGCCTCCCCTTGTCCCCGCGCCGCCTGCAGGAAAGTCAGCTTCTCCAGGAGGCCCGTTTCGGCGGTGGCCACCGCCAGCCCGTACGTGTACAGCCCCACGAAGACGTGCCACGGCAGCACGCTCCCCCTCGTCCGCCGTCCCTCTCCCCTGTGCCAGAAGCTCCAAAACCCCACCACCCACTGCGCCGCCACCACCAATTATTCAGAGAGAGAAGATCTAGAGGGATGGAGAGAGAGAGCGGAAGAACCTGGGCAGCGAAGAGAGAGAGGCAGAGGAGGCCCATCCAAGAGTGGAGGCTGAGGAAGTTGGAGAGGAGGCCATCAGAGGCTCGGAATTTAGCCCAGATGCCGAAGATCCCGAAGGAGAAGGCTGCGCCTTGGAGGGCCAAGTGGGCTGACTTCCGGGTCCCTCGCGACCACCGACCCAGCGTCCGGTGGGCCAGGATGGCTGGAGCTCACCGACACAGCAAGACAACGGTTCGTCACTCTCGAGTGAACATACCGCCGCCGGAAACAGCTGCGGCGGAGGAGGAGGGGGGAGAGGGAGGTTACCTTCGCCGGTGAGGAGGATGAAGCCGATGACCATCAACAGCGGGTGGAGCACCTGCAGTGGGGGAGGGGGAGGAGAGAGAGAGTGAGTGAGCGGAATTGAAACGGAGATGGGGGAAGAGGGGGCGGGGGATTCCTACGGAGTAGACGAAGTCGAGTTGGAGAGTCGAGGAAGGGACGTCGGAGGCGGCGGCGGCGGCGGGAAGGAAGCTGGTCTGGAAGCTGAGGGCCCAGAATATCACGAGCGCCGCCACCATCGCCGCCGTGACCCTCGCCAACCCGACCAACAGTGCCCCCATCGGCGATCTGCCCTCCCTCCACTCTCTCTCTCACACACACTCTCACTCTCTCACTGTCTCTCTGTGGTCTTCCCCTTTGCTGAGGATACGCCTCCAACGCGAGTGACCGCACTCCAGGGATGGGGAATAGACTACCAGGTTTCTCTAGATCTACGCTGCCTCCCCCTCTTTCTCTCTCTTGATTTATATAAATATGCATATCTATCGATCTACGCTTCTTTCTCTCTCTCTCTGAGCCGTCTCTTTATCGACTGTATGATTCGGTGCGCTCGAGTCGAAAAATCCCTTCTTCCTTCCGCCCAGTGGGCCACCGGCTCTGAGATTAATAATCCTAATATTCTTTACCACATTTTCTCATAATTTTTTTTTTTCTCTCTCTCTCTCTCTCTCTCTATCCCCAGTGAGTCGACACGTGGCTCTGGATGGGGCCCATCGGCTTCACAACATCCCTCCCGGGTGGGACCCGAGATCGTGGAGGCCGCCTGGGCTCGGGGCCGACTAGGCGAGGCCCGGTTCGGGCCGGGCAAGCCACAGAGAGCTGTTATTAAAATAAAGATATAATTTTATAAACCCGTATTTTCTTACGGTGCACATTTTTCCGACAGGGAGGGGATCAGAATCTCGTATGACCATCTGGGCTTTGACTGAATCATAATATCATTTTTTTATAAAATAAATAAATCACGGGTCAACGGTATTCTGGGAGCCCCGAATCCCCGCGTCCCGTGTGCATGGTTGGTCATGGCGCTCAAGTTATGGCATTTTCCGCTAATATTTAAATAAAATGAGTAACAAATGGGAGTGGGGAAATTATCGACGAATATTATGGAACAGAAAGCCTGACCGTCTGTCGGAAGGCGAGCGGGGCGAGTTACTGGGGGGTGGGAGGGAAAGTAAATGCGAGCCATGCCGGGTGGATTCGGCAACACCGCCGCCCTTGGAACACGGAAGACCACGTGGTATCGCCATTAGGAAAATTAGAGACCGATTTGACTCGACGATGCTTAGCGATTTTCTCTATTATTCATTGAGAATTAATTATTGATAAATAACGTATCGGGCCCAGAAGGTAGAGTTTTACAGGACCCCGCCCGTTGGCCCCGCGAGGGCGGCTGTCGGAACAGCCGTCGTTGGGGCCCGACGGGGGGCGGCTTCGACGACGACACGCTTGCCTGTCTCGAGCCCGATCATTCAGATTCTCCCTGGTTAGTTGGGGCTTCGGAGGGTCACTCCTCCGTCGCGCCGCAGAAACCCTGTCCCCGGTTTCTTCGTCTTCTTTGTCTCCAGGCTGTGATCGATCCGAGGGGAAGAGAAGCGCGGCCTAGCGAACGCCACACCAGACGATACTGGGATCCTTTGGGTCGCCGGGAAAATCCTAGGATCATTCGGTGATTTCCAGCAAATGCCGTCGAATCTGACCGTGTTAGTGATTAGGGTTGATCTGGGGGAGGCGGAAGGAGGGCGAATGGCGACGTCATCGGTCTGTGCAATCAATGGTGTGATCACTGTTCATCGGAACTGGCTTCGAAGCCTCGGATCATCGTCATCATCATCATCATCATCTTCTTCTTCTTCTTCTTCTTCTTCCTCCTTTCCTTTCGTTGATCTAGGGAGGGGTAATTACAGGGAAGAACAGCTGAATCCTAGTCGAGTATGGAAGTGTGGAAGAATACCTTCAAACCTGACAATAATCGGGGTCAACCATTTGCTCTCCTCTTCTTCCTCGATTTTCTCCTGAAGCAGACGGGGAGGATGCGGTAGGGGATCTTCTGCGGCCGCATGCTGCGCGCGCGGTGGTGAATGTAAGAACAGGAGGGGAGAACCAGGGATGAATTGCTCTCTTCCGGATAACTCACCATAGCCTCGCGATCTCCACCTGGGAGAACTCCACGCCAACGAAACCGTCGCAATCCGTCGGGTGATTCTTCACGGCGAGGATCCGGCAATCGAGATTCCTCACAGAAAAGTGTGCCGTCGAAAATCTGCGGGGAAAACGAGAATGAGCAGGTTCCTTCGGAGCTTCAAACCTTGGGCCATGGCTCCCTTCCTCATCGTTCCGACGAGGTGCCAGTGTCATCGATTATCGGAAAACGGATGGTGGAACTACAGACAGCCACAAGGGGGAGAACACGGAGGACCTCTCTGTCTGTCTCTGTCTGTTTGTCTGTCTCTTTCTATCTCTGTCTCTCTGTGTCTCTGTGTCTGTGTATCTGTGACCGCTGTATGGGAAGAAACCACGGTCTTCATACTAGATTCCCCGGCGGTGGATCCTCAATGGATCGAGGGGCTGATTCGTTCCAAAACAGGGAAGAACAGATGAATCGCTGAGAGCAGGTGACCGGAAATTTGGTATAAAACCGACGAACGGGAACTGCTGTGTTCACCGCGTGGGAATTGGGAGAAGGGATGGAGGGGCCCGAGGGTACTCACTTGTAGAGGAAGCTGTGCTCGTGGAGCCCAAGAATGAGGACAGACGCGCGGATCTCGCTCACCAGCGCCGCCACCGTCACCGCCTGCTCCCCTTCCTTCACCACGATCTCCACTTTTGCCTGCAACACGGAGACCGTCAGGCCACAGATCACCTCCGCCATTCTCTCCCCTCTCAAACCTCCCCCTCGCATTTCCAGGAGAGGGATCCCCGTCAAGATCTCCCTTCCTCCGCGAGCACTTCCCCTCCTCGGATCCTCACAGATTTTCGCTCCGCCGATGAGCTGTGCCAACGAAGCATCCGATCTGATCAGAGGAGACATTTCTCCCGGAGTAGAGGGAGACCTACCTCAGGGACGCGAGAGCAGAGATCTCTGAAGGAGAGCGCCAACTGGAATCCCCTGAGCCGGAGAAGCCGCTGCCTCTTCCTCGACCGCGACGCAGGCAAGACGTGGAGAAGCGTTATCGTATCTCCGCGGCGGAGGAAGTTCCTCACCGCCCACCGGAGCGCCTCCACGGCGGCGTCCGCCTCTTCGACGAGCACCACCACCCTCTGCTCCTCCATTGCTCCCCCCTTCCGATCAACTCCGGCGCCATCCACCGGCCATCTCCGGCCCTACCTCCTCCATGCTCCTCGCTTCCTCTCCTACGTGATCTACAGTCGCGCCCCAGGTCGAAGGCCGCCCTCAACCACCTTTTCTTCTTTATCTGCATTTATACACCGTCAACTGTAAGGCTCCGAACACGCCTCTCTCTCTCTCTTTAAAGATGACGTGGCAGAGGAATGTTCGCGACGGATGCTTTGAGAGGCCTGTGGACGGTCGTGATCTCGAGGATCAGAAAGGTAGGTGACGTGGTGCGAGTTGCTGCGACCCAGGGCTCGACTCCGACCGGGAAGAAGACAGCGGCAACGACGACAGGCAGTCGGTCCCCCGCTTTTTCTGGTGGCTTCCTTGGTCACCCACTCCACGTCGGATCAACCGGTCAAAGAGGGCGGTGAGAAAATCCGCTCGATCCACTGTGGCACGGAGGGCCCCCAACGTGGGACCCACAGTTTTATGCATTCAAATAAATAAATAGAAGCAGGAGATTATTCATAAAATGATTAAAAAATAGGAGTAAATAACTGAGATTATAAAGTCGAGTTTTCTTCAAAAGCCCGATTTTTTTTGTGTTTTGAAAATTAAACCACTCTCTAAATCTCAGTTACGAGGGTTTTGGAAGCGGAAGATGGGTTGACGTCGCCGCCGCAGACGAGTTACCCTCCGGCGTGGTTCGGAAAGCTTGCAGGCCCTCCATGGCTGCCGCCGTCCTGGTCTCTGGTTCTTGTCATCGGGCTTCCTCTCCTCTGTCTCGAAGTCTGCTGTTGGCCCGCCATCTCTTCTTTCCCTCCCCGGAGATCCACAGTGCCTATCAATCCTACGCTCGCCCCCTTTCCTCGATCACGCATTCCGCAGGCACCGACTTGGAGCTCGACGCAGACGACCCAGTGCCTCGTTCAGGCTCCGACACGGGGACCCCGCCGCCGCCGCCGCCGCCGCAGCAGCAGCAGCAGCAGCAACGACTCTCTTTCCAGAGGCCACTGGAGAACGGGCTCGATCAGGGGGTTTTCAAGGTGGGCATCGTCTCGGTTGCGCCTGGTTCTTCAGTTTAGGGTTTTCTCATTAGCCATCTCTTCCGTCTCTTCGGAAGGCGATTCTCGTGGGGAAGGTGGGGCAGAAGCCCGTGCAGAAGTTCCTGAAGAGCGGGCGGCCCGTAACTCTCTTCTCGCTGGGCACCGGCGGGATTAGGAACAATCGGAGGCCGCTGGACGACGAAGACCCGAGGGAGTACGCAGATCGGTGCGCCGTCCAGTGGCACCGCGTCGCTGTGTACCCGGAGAGGCTGGGCAACGTCGCGCTGAAGCATGTGAAACCGGGGTGAGCTCCCCTCCGTCCCTAGGTCAGCCGGCATCGACGCCTCTTAATCAAATTCTCACATGGATTTTTCCGCCCTGCAGACGAACTATGGATGAAAGCTTCTGTTTAATCAGAATCTCTCCAGTAATTGCATCTAAAATAGTTTTTTTTCTCAGTGGAGCTCATTTCGATCGGAAAGAATTGTTCATGCAAGAACTGCGACTAATTCATGTCGTATGATTTCAAGAATTTGTGAGCTTTATCCAGGAGATTGACTGCCGGATCAAAGTTCTCTCTAGGATTTCTCTCATCAGCCTGCTATGCTAGGAATCTCCATCTGGGCAGGTTCGAGCAGAAGATTATAGAATAAAAATAGTGATTGCCCGTAAGTGCTTTCTGAGTCAAAGATGGATTGCCCGGAAGAACATGATTGCATCTATATTTACCCACTAGCTTACATCTTTCATTCGACAATATTTTTCCATAAAAAAATATCTGTTTATCGTCATATGCTTGAAACTCGCCGATGGACTGATTTGGGAAATTACCCAGTTTACGGTTTTATTAAGTTTTCTTATGATTCCAATCATATCATTGTTACCAATGATCGTGATCCAAATTATGGTTTTTTTTTTCTTGGGTTTTGGCTAATTACTCTGGGCTATTCAGGGGTGTCGTGTACTTGGAGGGGAATCTGGAGACGAAGATCTTCAGCGATCCGATCACAGGCCTGGTCAGGCGCATAAGAGAAGTCGCCATTCGCCGAGATGGTACTCCTCTCTCTCTCTCTCTCTTTTCATTTCTTCCCTCATTCGATTTTTTTGCAAAAAATAATTAAAATGGTATGTACAAAAATCCAATTTCTTGGCTGATTTCGATGCAAAATGGTTTTTTTAGGTCGCCTGGTTTTTGTGAGCGGAGAGGCCGAGGATAAGCAGGCGGCGGGGCTGGACCTGAAGGGCGTCGGCTACTACTGAAGAGAGCTCGAGGGGTGGAGCTTTAATGGGCGGCCTTCCAGCTCCTGGTTAGGGTTAGGGTTAGGGTTTCCAGCGGGTTGATTCTACAGGACGATCTTGTTTCATTTTGATTGTCGGTGATGAAGTAATCCTCGCCGTCGATCATCGGCGCCGGTGATGGACGTCTGGTTTCCCTTCATTCCTTATCCACGACGTTGACCGCCATTAGATGGTGGAGATCGAGAAGAGAGGGAGAGGGAGAGGGAGAGAGACGAAGGTCTGGAGGAGGATGAGGTTGCAGCTACAGGGACTGCATTTACAGTCCTCGTCAGGTCAAACCCTCCGACCGGCGGCGCCGCCAATTCCATGCCGCGGTGCTAGGGCCGGGAATTACCACCGCCGGCGGGTGGCGGCCTCCGCCGCAGGGCCGCTGGTTTCAGAGCTCGATTCTCCGATCTCTCGCAGGACCCTCGCCGTCGGCGGCGCTCTTCTACCGCTCCTCCTCCGGCCGGTCCCGTCCATGGCTGAGGACGAAGACCAGCCCGGCGGCGCCGCCTGTGGACACGGAGCTCCCACGCAGAAGGCGTTTCTGGACGTTTCCATCGACGGTGAACCCGCCGGCAGAATCGTCGTCGGCCTCTTCGGCGCCGACGTGCCCGGCGGCGCCGCCAGGTTCGCCGGCCTCGTCTCCGGCGCCACCGGCATCACCTACCGCCGGAAGCCCTTCATCAAGATCATGCCGGGATACATCCAGCACGGGGGCATCAGAGCGGGAGAACCCGGCGCCGCCGCCGGCGGCGACCTGGTTGCCGAGTGGGAGAAGAACCGGGGGAGCTGCCGGAGGACGAAGAACGTGGCGGGCTCTGTTGGGATGATCGTCAGAGACCCCTCAAAGCCGCCGCCGAAGCTGAAGCTGGTGGCACGGAAGGGGAAGCTGGAGATCGACGAGGAGGAGGTGGGGACGGGCCCCAACGGGACGGAGTTCGTCATCGCTACCAAGGACTCGCCGGAGCTGGACGACTCCACCCTGGTTGTCGGCCGGGTCATCGCCGGAATGGAGGTGGCGGAGCGGATCGCCGCCGTGAAGACGGTGAAGGAGAACACCGCCTCGCCCTACTTCAGGTAATCCCGCCGCCGCCACTCTCCATGAACGAGAAAGATCATCGTCTTCCTCCCTTTATCTGAGAAAACCAGAGGGATCTGTGTTCAGGGTGGCGAAGCTGATCGGCGACAAGAGAGCCGTTGTGGCGGAGAGAGGCTTCAACCGGCCCTACTCCAAGGTCGTCGTCACCAACTGCGGCCTCCTCGACTGAGCCGCCGTCCTTCTAGCTACCCTAATGGATCGTACTGGATCATTGTTTCTTACATGGGCTTCTATAATTCCCACATTCAGGCGAAGCCCAGAGAGAGAGAGAGAAAGAGAGAGAGAGAGAGAGAGAGAGAGAGAGAGAGGGGCGGGATCCTTGCGAATCCTGGAGATGGGGGAACCCTAATTATTGGATCTGACGAAGAGGGTGGTCCTGTTCTGGCCCCTGGTCCTTCAGGGATGTGGGGTTGGAGAAATGTTCCATATTTGGGGAGGTAACGTCGTTCTTTCGTCGGTGATGAGCCTCAAGCCCGCTCTCTTCTCCGCGCTGCACCTGCAACTACTCGCCTCCGCCATGAACAGAAGAACGGCGAGCGGTCCTGCGCGGTCGACGAACGCAGAGTTCTGCAGAGTAGCAGAGCGGCCGCCTTCAATTAAAGGGCCCCCTTTCCTCGACCGCGTCGGAGATGGGTAGAAGTCGTCCTCTCCCACCAACGACGGCGAGGACACGGTGAAAGATGAGATTCTTGGGTTTCCGGGGGGAGATGGTCCCCTTCTGCAACCCTAGGAGCTACCCTCCTCCATAACCCTTTCATGGATTGCGGCGGAACTGCTGAAGAGTGGAGAGGATGGGATGGGGGGACAGAGCAGAGCGATTAAATCGCAGAGGAAAGAAGAACCGATTCTATTTCCATCACCAACCTCACTTCTTGTTGTCTTGAGGCATCGCGCCATCCTCCCATCGCATCCTTCCATTATTACTCACATGTGACGATCTGAACATCCTCATCCTCCCCGTCCATCCTGCGTCTTTTCTGTCGACGGAATCCGAGCTGCGGCCCGGTTAATCCCTTCATTTTCCCCTCCCCTCCCCTCTCTCTGAGCTTCCTTTTTACTCTGCTCGGAGGGGGGGTGTTGTCATCCTCTTCCCGCCATTGGAGGAGCCGCTGTAAGTAGTTCCTGGTAATTCTTTGAAGTAGGAGGGAAGGGCAAGGGCAGAGAGCTCCCCACTCCGACGCGCCATTCTTGGATTAAATTTCCTTCACGGCTCATGAGAAACCTCTACCGACTCGGCGCCGTCTTCGTCCTCCCGCTCCTCCTCTGCAACGCTGCCCTCCATGCGCACGCGCAGGACTCGGCTGCTCCAATGGAGAAGAAGGAGCAAGAGTCGCTCTACTCCACCATCCGGAGCTTCGTCGGCAGGTGGTGGAACGGCTCCGAGCTCTTCCCCGATCCCTGCGGGTCGACCCCCGTTCAGGTCCTCCGCCATCTTATATCCTTCTGCAACTCCGAACTCTTCTCCCTGTTCTAACAGAGCGCTCATTCTCTCTCTCTCTCTGTTCGCGCAAGCTCAGGGTGTCCTCTGCGACGTCTTCGACGGACTCTGGTACGTGACGGCGCTGAGCGTCGGGCCAGTCATGGAGAACTCCCTCGACTGTGCTAGAGATTCACACTTCCCTCTGCAACTGTTCGAGCTGGGCCACCTGCGGAGCCTCTCCGTCTTCAGCTGCTTCTCCGACCCAGCTCGCCACCCTGTCGCCATCCCCTCGAAGGGGTGGGAGAAGCTCTCCGGGAGCTTGGAAAGCCTAGAGGCCCGGTCGAACAGAGGCCTCACCGGCGAGGTTCCCGCCGCCATTGGCGCACTGAACAAACTCCAGTCTCTGGTTCTGGAGGAGAACAAGCTATCTGGAGAGCTTCCCCACGAGCTGGGAGAGCTGTCCAAGCTGAGAAGACTGGTCCTCTCCGGGAACCAGTTCTCCGGCAGTGTTCCAGCTTCTCTGGGCTCCGCCATGTCGGAGCTCCTCATCCTCGACCTCAGCAGGAACGCCCTAAAGGGCCTTCTTCCCCCGGCGGCCGGCGGGCTCCGTTCCCTGGAGAAGCTCGACCTGAGCAGCAACCTTCTCGGCGGGGTGATCCCGGCGGCCTTGGGTGAGCTGAGGAGCCTTACCCTACTGGACCTTCGGAACAACAACTTCTCCGGCGGCGGCGCCGCCGGAAGCTTCGGCTTCCTCCGCGGCATGGCGGCGCTGCAGGAGCTGCTGCTCTCCAACAACCCGCTGGGAGGGGAGATTGGGAGCTTCCCGTGGGCGAGCTTGGAGAACCTTTCCGCCGTCGGCCTCTCCAACACCTTCCTGGGAGGGGAGATTCCCGCGGCCATCGCCGGCCTGAAGGGACTTCGGTTTCTCGCTCTGGATAACAACCGGCTTCGCGGGGGGGTGCCGCCGGAGCTGGAGAGCTTGCCGGCGGTGGGGGCTCTGTATCTGAGCCGGAACAACCTCTCCGGCAGGCTGCAGTTCTCCAGCGAGTTCTACCGGCGGATGGGGACGAGGTTCGCCGCCTGGGGAAACCCTAATCTCTGCTACGCCGGCGGCGGAGGGGACGACGCGCCGATAGGCGTGCAACAGTGCCGGGGAGAGCAGGGGCTCGCCACCGACGGCGATTTGGGTGGAGGGACCTCCGGCCTGAGGGCCTCCGCTGCCGTCCTGTCGGCCTCGTCGTCCTTCGCAGGCGGCGGCGGCGGTGGGGCACCGTGGGCGGCGTCGCCGGCGATCTTCCTCGCGGCGCTGCTGCTCTAGTGAGCCAGCCCCTTCCCCCCCTCCCATGGGGGGAGGAGCCAAAAGGTTTCATTTTTAAAACTCTGAACATAATTTTCTTGGGCGCGCAATCCACTCCCCATGATTTCTCACTTCTTTTTTAGGAAAGTCAAATATCACGTTTTTGGCCTGGGATCACTTCTTACAAAACGAAAGAAAAAGAATTAGCGATCGTATAATATAATATCGTAATTATACCCGACCGATGACTAATGATTTAATATTAGGGTTTTATAATTAATAAAACATGCCGATTTAATCCAAGAACATCGTCTTCATCTTTTTATGAGATTTTTGGGTGCTTATTTTTCTTCCCAAGTCTGGTTGGAAGCCCTGAGAGACGCTCTCTCCGTGGACTTTTAGCTGAGGCCCAATAAGGTCAACCATTGGCCGATCATAGTCAGTTTCGCTCTCCCCTGGATTAGTAGAGAAAACATTAAAATGATTTTATTAAAAAAAATCACTAAAACCATTTTTTTAATAGTATTATAAAAAAAATATTTATGGGAGGGACAAGTTAGCGTTCTTAGGGCTAAGTATAGCAAAGTCAACCCCATTGACTTATTATTATTGTTATTATTACTTTAATGAAAATAAGCAACTTGGATCCGCATGTTGTGTATGATCTTAGAGAGTGTGTTAGGGCACTGGGACATGAAACAAGGCTTTGTCTAGTGATTGCTACTCTGCCTAACATATTAGAGCAATAAGGGACCATGAAATCGACCAGACATACGAATCGATGCGTGTTAGGTCTGTACGCATACGGATACCATTTGTGGGTCGTTATCTTGGGGATGCAAGCCACGTACCATATCTTGACGGTAGATTCGAGTAAAGAATCAGGTTTAGAGGGCTTTTCCTTTTATTTTTGATATATTTTTATTTATTTATTTATTTAGTTATTGATCTTAGGCATAGAACATAAGGCTGGGGTGGGGTCTGACTTGTGGAGGCGCTCTTGTCTTCTCGTTATTTAAAAAGTCAACGCTTGTTATCCAACAACAGTGATTGAAGTTATTATTACCGAAGCCTTTGCTTTTTTTGCCCAGTGCCTATGCATCATGGCCTTTGGAGCTTACTTGATTTGGATGGGTTTCTAGAAGGAAGGAAGATAACTGGATAATCCCCATCGCTAGTGGAGATTTACCTCGTCTAGGGTCAACTCCGGCGGGCGGTTACCCCGTTTTTCTTACGGGGTCAATAACTCCGGAGTGAGAAAGTCCATCTGTGTCTTCTTTCTCTCTCTAGGATAGGTGAGTCGGGCCGGGGCCCGGCTCATATGATTGCGAAGGTAGCGGCGCCACAAGAAAGACATGGAAGGTCCCATGCGGTGGAGCCGAGGGGGATCGGGACGGCTAACTGTAGCCCATGGTGGACCCGTTTAAATGCTTCGTGAGGTGGTTTGCTCCATTGACTTTCCTGTCTCAAGAAGTCAAACTCGAGGAGAGGTGGGGGCAGAGCGCGCCTCCACCACTGGCTGGGTTCCAAGGAGGTCTCTCTCACCCGCAGGGCAGGGACCCCACAGTCACCCGACACATCATTCAGTTGTGGACAGCATTGTTCTCATCTCGTCATCATATGTCGCGGCTTTGAGAGGAGAGAGACACCTTTCTCTATCTGACCCTGTTCATCTCTCTCGCTCTCTCCCGCTCCCCATCAGGTTAGACGCGGGCCGTCGACGTATTAGGCAAGGCATGGCGTTGTCGCGAAAGAGAGTTCCTCCACCGATAGCCACGTTCTGAACTGGTTCACTTCTCTCTCTCTAAATGAGTGCAGTTACTCCGGCTTACGAAGTAAGCCAGTTAGGCCAGCGTTAACTCCTGGTTAGGGTTCGTGCAAGCCCGTCAGGACTGACGATGACGGTCTCCCTGGGCTTCTCAGGTCGTCCAAGCCCCGTCTTCTTCTGCATTATTTAAGTTCTTATCACCAATAAAAATATCTGTCTCCGAGTCATCTTGGCTTCGAGTGTCAACAGCGGCGGTTTATTCTGATGATAAGTTGCTCCAGGTCAACTAATTCCATCTCCAAAGAATAATCAAGACCATGGTATTTAGAATTCCGCGCGAGCAGTAGGTGAGCAAGATCTCACCTTCTCTTCATTTCGTCCTTTCCTCATGCAGAAATGCCCCCTTCACAGGTATAACAGCCGTGCTTTCTTGAGGTCCCCAGCCGCACCTCCACGGCCCTCACCAGGTTTCCACCCCGGCCCTCTGCAACTCCGTATCCCCTCCTAGATGGGTTCTCGTCATCCCACTCTCTTCTCGTGCTGCTGCTGCTGGTGCCTCTTCTTCCTTCCTCCCCTTGGACCCCCGTGAAGCCCCGGCTGCTCCTCCACGGTTGCCATCAAGCAGGTCTCCACCCGATCCACTCTCTGCACTACGGATCTCCTGCCATATGGGTTCCAGTAATCCCACTCTCTTCTCGTGTTGCTGCCTCTTCTTCCTCCTCTTGTACCCCTTGCCATTCCATGGCTATCGCCTAAGCAGAGGCGGCGGGGCCGCCGACTTCTTGCCGACCGCTCCAGGGGAAGGAAGCCCCAGCCCCGAAGGTCGCCGCCGCAAGCCGGTTACGACGAGCTTCACGTTGCCGGGAGGGCAGGGCTTCGCGTTCCTGCCGAAAGGGTCTCCCATCCCGCCCTCCGCGCCATCGAATCGTCACAACTCGGTTTCAGACTCCATCGGTAGAGCTCCATAGATCTCAAACTCGAGCTCCGGGTTTTCAAGGCTCACATCTCTCTCTCTCTCTCTCTCTCTTTCTCTCTCTTCTTTCTCCCTCTCGCTTCCTACTGTATAACTTAATTTGTTTAGACATCAAGGATGTAATCTACAGGATGAGACTGATGTAGCCATATCCATGAAGCTTGCGATATTTCCCCTCAATAATGGTTTTGTTTACTGTTCTTGGAACACTTAGCTAACTCGTGTGGACGGGGTTGAGATTTGGGGGGGGGGGATCGCCTCAGATTCTGCACCATATTCGCCGCCGACTTCGTCAAACCTTCCCACTCGTCCTCCCTACGCTGCAGTTGATACTTCCTTTTCTCCGGTACGTCACCATGGCCATTGAAAGCTCCTGCGACTGGCCTCACTCCATCCATCGACAACCCCACTCTCACCTTCTAACAGCCATTTGTTTTTCCCCTGTGGGGACGTCATGGTCGGTGCACCAAATCAAGGCAACCTAATGCTCTTGCACCATCCACAGATGCGGCCCGTCCCTTCCCTCCCTCTCTCTCTCTCTCTGTATCTATCTATCTATCTATCTTTCTCTCACTCTCTCTCACGCGGACAGCTTGAGGCCAATTGAGAAACTGTTGCCCGACACGGAAGTCAAACCCGAGTTGGTTTCATTCATGGCAGTTCAGAGGATAAAATGTTTGGAGTTTTAAGAATACTCTGACAAATTTAGCTCTCACGGACAGGGTATTAAAGCCCATTTAAAATCTTCTTTTGGCCTTAATTCATCGACACTGTTGAAGGTATCATCCACGTGCATGTCCAGGGATTTTCTGCATGCCGTAGTAACTCTCATAAATACTACTAGCCTACTAGACTCATCTGTCCTCTGGTTCTCTCTCTCTCTCTCTCTCTCTCTCTCTCTAAGTCCTCGTCAAAACCGCTCAGTTTACTCCATCGAAAAAATCGTCGGGAATCATCTCGCCACTCCACAGGATCTCTCTCTCCTCGCTCGCTCTAATCACCAGCATTAATCTCTGACATAGAATAAAAGACTTCGTCATGCAGGTCCCCTAAATTTACGACGTGATATCAATACCTGTCATGCACAGTACCAAGGTTTTATGCGAAAAGAAGTGATCTGGATGGAGAGAGAGTGCATGACAACGGACACAGAGATAGAGAGTGAGAGACCGCCGTTCTTCCGCGGCGCGAAAAACGATTAATCTGTATCGAGATTTAAGAACAGCCCAAATAAGTCAAACTGGAACAATTAGACTCGATCAAGCGGGTATCCTAATGAGATTCAGATTTACCCTTTCGAGCTATAAGATCATACTCTAATCCGAGTTGAGACTGCGGGTGACCGATACGATTATGAGAACAGTAGAGAGAGAGAGAGAAGTGTGGACAGCGCAGAAGGCTCTTCTCTCCACTTCCCCATTGGGCTTCGTAGCTCCCATGGTCGAAGAACAATAGCTCTGTATCGATTTTTAATCTTATTAAAATTAAGAACAATAGCTCTGTATCGATTTTTAATCTTATTAAAATTAAGAACAATAGCTCTGAAATAGACTACCCAAAAAAAGAGAGACGTAATCTTTGAAACACTGAGAGCTAAAACTTGAACATCACATTTATGTAAATATAACTTCTTTTTCATAATTCATCAAGACAAGTTGTTCAAATGTCCCTTGCTTCTTAGAGAAAAAATAAAACTATAAAAAAAAATGAAGTATTTTTTATATTTTATAAAATATTTGAAGATCATATAATTTTATAAACGTTCAAGTTGGTATGATTTGACTAAGATGGGGACAACCCACTTTCAATAAACAGTCAAGGCGAAATTTTTAATGAAAACAAGGGGAAGAACTATTCATGGTTAGATGAAGACCCAAGATGTGACATTTAGCGGACTAGAGACGTTCCTGAGATGCCTCCATGTCTGCCCAAGGAGAGTCTCATCGTCGACCCCGCACCGTAGATCTTCTCTAGTAGTGAGAGAGAGATGAAATTCGACGACGGGAGAGAATCCGGGTCTTCAGCTACCTCGCCCTGCCGTAGGGCTTCCCCCCGACGGCGGACTCCTTGCCATCATCCATCACTGTCTCTGATGCAGCAATCTTATCACTGCCGGACTTCTCTACGTTCATGCGGGTAATAAGGTAGACGCTGGACAGGAGAGGGAAAGGGAGAGAAAGTAGGGGGACTGCAGGGGGAGGGTAGCAGGGTCGGTGAGGTGTGGTGTAACGGATCGCAACCGACGGACAGACGAGCTCCGGCCAACGCACGGTGGGCATTCACTGGAGTCCAGTGGCTCGGGTTCCTCTCTCCAAAAGAGAGAGAAAGAGAGAGAGAGAGAGAGAGAGAGAGAGAGAGGGATAGGGGCATTCGCCGTCTTATTTTCGAAGCATTCCCTCCCCAACGACGGCGAAAAGGAGGGGATTGGGGGGCGGCGGCGGAGAGAGATCGATGGGGCGACGGCGGGCAGGCTCAATGTTGAGCAAGAAATCGGAGAAGAGACACCGTCGGAGTTCGGGGTTTGAATCTCGGTAACCCGCGTGAAATGGTAAACCCGAGAAAGGAGTCTGAGGGAATCGCCCGTGATTTTCCATGTCGCATCTGCACCCAACAGGCCGCTGTTCGTCCGTCCCCGAACCACCCTTCCCCCCCCCGTCAATCTCTCTCTCTCTCTCTCTCGCTTCACAGGAAAGATGGACCCTTTGCCATGCTGGGTCTACCAACACTGCAGCGGAGAAACAGAATGAGGGGATGGTGGTGGTGGAAGCTCGAGATCCCACCGCTGCCGGCGTCAGAAGCATAACCAGCGCTCCATCGGAGGAACCACCGACGCCGGTGGGGCCGATACAAGACAAGATAGATGACTACATCACCTCTCCGGCTTGCCTCCGCCGACGGTCAAAGATCCAAAAGTGGGCTGTGGATTTGCCTCTCGAGGAGGTCCCCTTGTCAGACTTGCTGAGATTCTCAGAATTCCCTCGGGCTCAAAGATAGTTACTGATACAGTTCTATTTATCCCTCGCTCGGGCTCCTGTCTTCCCCCCCCCACACCCGGCCTCCCTAGATTAAGATATATCCAGAGATCCACATCTCGCTTTCGATCATTTTCACTTCCTACTTCTGGAAAGCGAGGGCACGGAGCTCCGCCTATGAGCGAGAAAGAGGGCGGCGGCTGCTTAATTTCACACCGGACGAGGAGGGTATACAGCAATGACAGAGATCAGCATTTATATACAGTACCATCCCATGGGTGGGAGAAACAGACGACCCCACTGACCGGATTATTGGTACAGACGAGGCAAGAAAGGGGAAGAAGAAAGCGAGAGTTGAGGAGGAAACTAGTGAGAGAAACTGCGAACGAGTTCCTTGCATCTGAAAATAGGAAGGCTTCCAGTTCAGACTCTGAGAAGGTAGATGCTGAGCTCGGGGCCGCCGTTACCGTCGGGGTTCATCATGTAAAAGGCCTCCGAGTCTCTGGAACCCACCACCCTCTCGAACCTCGCCCTCATGTACATGATCCCCCCCTCAGATTCTCCCTCCCCCGCCGGAGCAGGGAGGACGCCGGCGCCCATGGAAACCGGCTCCACCGCGCTCAGAACCTTCAAGTCAGCGGGTCCACATTCCCGGCGGACGGCGTAGCCGCACTTCTTCCCGTTGCAGAAGGTCCGCCACAGAGGCTCCTCAAGGAGGCGCCTCGAGGCGGCGCCGTGGGGCTTCTTCTCGCACTCAAGGGCGATGCGGACGAGCCCCGAGGCCATCTCCCGGACGAGGCCGCTGGTTGGCGTGGCGAGCTCGATGAGGAGAACTGGGGAGGACCTAGGGTTTCCTTGGAAGGCGAAGTGGACGTGGCCGCGCCGCCGGCCATAGAGAGTGCCGGTGACCCGCGTGCCGAGGCCGTTGCCGGCGCCGCCGCGGTGGAGCCTCCCGCTGGCAATGGCGGACATGAAGGCGGCCCTGAACCTGGACATAGCCACAGCCGCTGCAGCACCTGGGTGCTTCTTCTTCGTGGGGGCGTTGAAGCTTCCCACGTCGACGGTGTCGCCGGCGGCGGCCGCGAAGCCCTGGGCTTCTTCCTCCTCCTCGCCGTGCTTCTCCTCTTCTGGCCTCGACTCGGCCTTCCCGCCGGGCCCCGGCTTCTTCGTGATCCACTGGAAGTGTCGCTTGGAGAAGGACACGGACGAGTCGTGGGGAGTCCTCGCCATGATCGTCCTCATCGGAGAGGGCAGCTCCGATTACGCCCAAGAGAGGGATACGAGACAGAATCAGTAAGAGAGAGAGGAGCTTTATGTGAGGGGAGAGTAAAGACAGTGGAGAGATCGGGGTGGGGGAGGGGATGGGCTGCCTCTTTTTCTTGTTCCTGGTTGGGTGGGGGATAGGAAGGGCGTATAAAAGAGTGATCTTTTTGGCCCACGGCGGGTGGCGAGAATGAGAGAGAGAGAGCTCATTTATTCCTTGCTTCTAGTCCTTCTTGTCAGCCGTTCCTGTCGCTGATGTTGGGTTGGGGGGGATCGCGATGTCGTGTTTTTATTCTGTTGCGGTGTTAGCTACAGGCCTACTGTGGATTGCTGCCAGCGCAATGTACAGAGAGAGAGAGAGAGAGAGAGAGAGATAGAGAGCGAGTCCTGACAAAAGCAGGGGAGATGGCCAGTCCCCGTTCATATACAACGAAAAAGAAACCAAACGAAAGTAGCCGCTCTGGGGCAGGCAGCCCAGATTCATCAGACCACCCTGTGGAGAAGACGATGGCTAGAAAGAGAGAGATGCAGAGAGAGAGAGAGAGAAAGGAGGAGGAGGGGGGGGGGGTTGCGGGCCGTCAAAGGTGTTGTCTTTGTGGTGCATGGGGATGTGGGTCGAGATGGTGGGGTTCCAATCAACGCAGGAAAGCGAAAGGATGACCAGAGGAATGCCGGCTTGACTGCCTCCGCGCGCCCAGTGAAGGCAAGGCAAGGCAACGGCGCCGCAAGCGCCGCCGGGAGACTGGCGGCGGAATCGCCGACAGGCGCAGCGGCAAGAGATTTGATAGCTTTCAGGGGCCGTCCGGCCTTAAATCTCCGGTGCCCCTCCGGCAAACCGGCGAGGAGCGCCGGCGACGACGAGGTCGGACAGGGCTTGACGATGACGAGCAGAGAAGGTTGGCGACAGATTTGACCGCCAAAGTCACCGTCAGTTCTGTCTTCCCACTCTTACCTCAAAAGTCATTAAATAATTATTTTCAAGTATTACACATTTCCAATTATTAACATTTTCGATCTATTTATTACGAGGCCAAAAACATAAACAAATTGTTTATTCAACCAGGACATAAAATCTACATTTTAATGAGGATAAGAGAGAGAGAGAGAGACTCCATTCCTTCTTCTTCTTCGGAAGATCACCGAAGGGGAATCGAGAGGAAACCCTAATCGAGCAGGAGAAGAAATGGGGGAAATCAAAAGGGGCTGACCCGGCGAGCGAGCTGCAGCATGAACTCGGGAACCAGGCGCCGCGAGGGGGGAGCGTTGGCGTCCTTGGCAAGCTCGATTGGGTCGCCGGCGTGGATTATGCTCAGTATATCTCGCAGCAGTTCGTCCTTCCCGCCTCTCAGCGGGTCCTGCACATTCATTCATTCACCGCCCACCCATCAAAACTGGGCCCAAAAAAAAGCAAAAAAAAAAAAAAAAAAAAAAAAAAAACCCAGATACAATAGTAGCCCACCTCTGAAGCACATGAGAGAGAGAGAGAGAGAGAGAGATGTCTGAATGATACGGCTTGCAATCTCTTACCCTGCCTTCTGCTAAGTGTTCTAAATATGGCCCGGCATTGCTTCGGCATCAGTTCTATGACGGGTTGCAGAGAGAAGAAGCTAAATTATACTAGAAATTTCTGCGATAGAACCATTTCATCTTTTGAATTTAGTTCAGAAGAGAGGAACTGAGGGTTTCCAATGAACATAAAAAATAAAATAAAATAAAAACGAGAAATAGATGCCCGGATTGGGAATTCCGTAAATTCACATTTTAAAAAAGAAATTTCCATTTTTTAAAGAAAAGTTAGGTCCTTTTTAGCAAGAAAATGTGGAACTCTCCCAAATCCTAATCCTAATCTAGACTTTTCTGGGATGCAATCCGAATGAACATACCAAGAAAGTGAATTTCTAGATTAGCCCAACCCAATTATTTCTCGTTTGGTACCCTGACTCCAACGCTGCTGTCAAACCCTAAAATATATAAGAAAAAAAGATAATATTTTGATACCTCAAAGACTTCACAGAATCTGTGCTACCACTATGGCCAAGTTAGCAGGCAAATAACAAATATGTATATATATATATATATATATATTTATTACATCTATAGATGATGTTTTTGAGTGCCAATCCCAAGGCTGTCGATGGGCAAGATCATACTACGAAAATAACAAAGCTTTCATAAGATGCAGAAGCCAAAGGAAAAGAAAGTCAAACAAACGAAGTATTAGGTGGTCATTTTACCGAATTGGGCGGTAAAAATAAATCGATATTTGTAAATTTCATACAAATATTCCAAGAAGAAATAAATATTCATTTAATCCATTAATCTTTTACCTGAAGAAAAAGGTCAGTATGAGTTTTTCCTTCGTACAAGATTAGGTCAACTTCGGCACCAACCCGTAGGAGAGCATCGGCGAACATTTTACTGCAGCAAAAGGACCAAAGGAGTAATGGATCCTGATAACTATGCCCAGCATTTCTTTGCGAAGGAGCAGTCTCAAGGATTCCCTCAATAAATCATTGAGGAAAGATAAAAGTGGAAGAATCGAAAACATAGGGTACGACAAGCATAATATGTGACCGATCAAGTTTGCTTAGTTGACTGTGAAACTCTTCAAGACTTGTTCATTAGCATAGCACAGGAGACTGCGCGTCACAAGAAACTGGCATGAAGCATAACATGACGACTAAGAAACCGTGTACCATCTAAGAAGAAAAATAATGTCACTGTAACCAAAGGATATGAGGTTGGTATTGAGAGATACTGAAGAAATATTACATGAAAAGACCTTGGCCCTATAAAATAATCTGCCGGTCTCCTCTGAGTATAGCATGTATTCAGGAAGCAGAGACACCAATCAATATGAATCATCTACACGAGATACTGCTTACTAAAGAACTGTCATGTAACCTCATCATTTTGGTGTTGATTTCGTGGACACAAAATATTTAAGCAACTTCGTGAAAACAACTTTTTTTTTTGTGTGTGTGTGCATACGGGACGAAAACAGTCTGCATAGAAATCACAGGCATTGCTAGTTTATTGGACAGTTTTGTTCAAGATAGCCACAGATTTCAGGTTTTCTACGGTCAACCTGGCATCTGATGGTATGGAGTAGTCTCCTGTCCCATGGAAGAGGATAATGCGGGGCAGAAGATGTACAGCACATCTGACACTTTCGTGTTGCACTGTGAGTTCAGGGGAAAAGCGTTGCAAGGATTGCTCCCCTTCCATTATTCTGGAATATGGCACATAAAGAACGAAAGTTGTCAATTTTTATGTATATCATGATAAGTAAGGAAGAATTGATGAAGAGTACCCGAGGAAGATGGACCTATAGAGGCCACGCCCGTGAAAGTAATCGATCAAATTCAGCATGTTGTACCTGTCGGAAAGATTTCTCAGACGGACGTGGAAGATTTACGTTCATCAATTCAGTTTCTATGAGGAAATCGTTCATGTCACTTATTACAGATATCAGAAATTCAATCACGAACTGTTGTGGTGATCACTGACCGTCTGAAAGAAAAAATGAATCATGATGGTCTTCCTATCGGAAAAAAAAGTCTATAGTCATAACCCGTAGGGTAATTTTTATGATGTAAGATCATTCACATCACCCATGAGCCCTGAATAATCAATCAATCCAATAAAAAATATAAACTGCCTCTTTTTTTACAATAAAAAATAAATCGCCGGATTGTTTCACGAGAGTCAAAACTGAGGGCGGGATTTATCATTATTTTTTTCCCAGGAGCATCATTTACATACATTAATAAAATCATATATCGCAATATAAGAGGCAAGAAACCGGGTGCAGCCAGCCGCTTCAGAAATTAGATTTTTCTGACCGTCCAATTCGTATAAAACGGTTAATAATCACAAGATCAGACATGCATTTATCACTGAACTTACTTCATAACCAAGAAGAATGACAAGTTCTCTGCGAAGAATTCTAGTACAGAAAGGAACAACTTTGTTTCTGGGCTTCATTAACAATCAGACTCAGAACCTGACTCTTTGATCGCTCGAATGCAATTTGTCACAAGTTATTCTGTGATTGTCAATTATTAACTAAATGGGTACCCTAGGTGCATAAGAGGAGAAATGTAAACAGACATAAGCATAATAATAATACAAAAGGGTGGACAAGCTCAACAGACGTTATTAACTAATTTTTTGCGATATCGCTAGCCGTCAAGTGCAAAAGAGAAGTTCTAGGCTGACTCAAAATCATGCTTCTTTTCTTTTATCTGAAACCTTTATCTTAGTCAAACATAAACTCTCAACTTGATGAGGTGGCCAAAAATCTAAAATTGCATACACAAAGAAAGAACCGGAAAGTTAAAACAACCTCATAATTTGCTATGAATAACATAGATGCGACAAGAAACAGTCAAAGACATGTTACAGAAGCTATTTTTACAAAGCACAAGAAGGAAGTGGTAGCAACATCAATATGATAAAATAAAGATGAAGAATGTACTAACGTTTTCAAGAATGACATGGCAATTACCCGCCAGATATACCCATGTAGGCCTTCAGCTGTGAGACATTCCAATCAGAGTTTTCTCCTTCACCACACTCTTTATTTACCTGCTCTAGTAGGGCACAAGCAGCAATATGGGACCCAGCTGATTGTCCAATTAGGAAAACTCTACAATATATAACAGAAAAAGACATACAGCATTAAGCATGCCTATTGACATCCAAAAAATTCGTAAGGTAGAAGGTTACGCACCGGTTTGGGTCACCTCCATAGTTAGCAATATTGTTACATACAAACGAGATTCCTTGAGATGCATCTTGCACCATATCACCGATGGTTCCCTGAGGAAAGTTTCTGCAATTGTAATAAATGCTAGTCAAGATAGTGTACCATTGCACGCGTCAAGTTAGATACATCACATTGAAGAGAGAACCTGTAGTCAATACAAGCTACTATGATGTCCCTTTCTGCCAGATGCTTTCCCAGAAGTGAACCCCATGCTTTATACCTGAAGAGGAGAAAATTCTCATAAATAAGGAAAAAATAAAATAAATCACATCCAGAGATTAGGGAGATTATCAAAATTTAGATCTCTCAAGACGTCCCATTTTACAACACTCATTCACGATTTTGTTTTACTATATGTTAACTCACCCTATTATCCATGCTCCACCAGTAACAAAAGCCACAACTGGCTTTGGCCCATCAGTATTTCTTGGTAAATGGAGATCCAACCTGACGTAACAATTTGAATCACTGGTTAGTCAGGTGACATAAATTGGAATATATGGTTGCAGTACAACCCTAATTTTTAACTATTTCAGAGTTCTCAATTTGTATACCTGTTTCGAGCTTGTTCCCCATAAATTATGCTTCGTCGTACCTGAGTTGAGAAGAAATAGTAGTAGCCAACTGCAAGGAAAAAATGATCACCAGAAAATAAAAGAAGTCTGGACTTTCTTGTTAAGATAGGGAAACACCCAGAATCGGTGGAGTTGCAAAAAAAGATAAGAAAACGTTTAAGTTGCAACTGTGAACTGAAATTGTATAAACATGAAATGGGTTTACTATAAAACCAGTATTACAACTAACCATACTAAACATTCTCCTACAACAATGATGCACATCCAAGATATACATTTTCTAAACGAAAACAACAAATACACCCACCCTGTAAAAATCCTGGCATTAGCAGTATTGCATAGCAAGTGAGTGCGAGAAACTTCGTCATCCATCTGTAGCCTATCCTGAATAAAGGGAAGTGATCAAAAGGCGGATCAAATCTACAATACAGACAAATTGCACTGAATAAAGTCGCTGAAAAAACGTTTCACGTTTAAGTTCTACATTTCAACAAACTTATCAAAGTGAAATTACAGATATGAACTATAGGATCATGAATAAAAATTACGTATGAAAGAATGATGGCATTGAAATAAAGCTCAAGTTTCCCTTTGTCCACAATTCTTAGACTATATTTTACTACATGAACCCGTCAGAATCATGCGAGAAAAGAGTTCGTCCAGTAAGAGGGGCGAGAAAAGAGCTCGTCCACCGAATGTCAGCCAATATGTAATATAGTCATGGATCAAATATTAAAGGTCCACTCAATCATCACTCACATAATCAAATAATTTTTAGGATAAATATATGAAACATCAAACTTAAGGAACCTCCACCAGGATTATGCAAATTTGCAAAATACCTTTGTTAATGCAGGGTCGTATGACACTAAAGAAGATAAAGTAAATTGGGTGCAATCATAGTGATCCATTTTGTTCACGCACCATATAAGGAAATAAGCGATATTGTACATATATTATGAGACATAAGGAAAGGGAACTTGTCTCTGGTTTTTAATAGCTAATCAAACTGAACTTCTGTCAAGGAAAAACATCATTTGGCGAAAAAAAAAAGAGAAATTTACATTGATAAATATTTACCAATGATACACATATCTTAAAAGAGAGGAATCTGAACTATATGAAGGGAAAAATGATAGAAAATATTAGAGCCCTGCTGGTAACAAGAATCTGCCAACACTCTCTAATTTTCAAGGTTCATCAGAAAACTAAATCCAAAAATTTGTGGAGCAGCTCGCATCAATTTACGTAAGTGTAACATTACCATTTGTTCAGATGGTTCGAATTCAATGCTTCTAAAAGTTACATAAAAGCCTTCCAACTAACTCTAAAATAGTCAAAAAAGAATTTGTGCATGTTATCCCAAAAGTGTGTGCTCCACTGTCCCAAAATGAAAGGGAAAACCTCAACAAGCTAGTTCTAAAACAAAAAATACTGTCCCAAATGACATTAAAGCCTAGGTAACTCAGCTGCAAAGACAAGGAAAAAGCTTGCACCTTTCCTTAGCAGATCCAGAGAAATATCTACAACCAATACATGTTAAAATCGAAAAAGAATCAAATGCGTTTTTCAATTTGGACCTTTTAATACTAGGGGGACTACAATAGGTTCTAGCGGTTATAAATATTTCTGTCACCCAGCACTATTCGAAGGTTGGCCATTTTCTTTTGAATGGAACTGGTTCATAATTTTTCTTTAATCTATCAGATGATAATGATGCTGCATAAATTTAAAAAGTTACAACGAGTTACACGGCCCGATTCACCAGGAAAAAAGTGAAATAAAAAAGGCCGTTATAGTCCAATGCTCAGTCGGCACAACGAATACCAGTGTACGCAGAACAAATTATACACCATCAACACTCGCATATATCCCCTCGCCAACTACGTAGCACAAAATAGAGGGACATAAATGATCGAGCAATCACTAAAAAAAGTGTCATTAGAAAACTCTTACCCTTTTTTCACGATGGATCTACAGTCTAAAAAGCACATTACGTGGCGAAGTGTCATTGAATCATAGAGTAAACTGATGTCATACCCAGTGCATCGGCAGCTGGACAATCTTCGCAGCAAAAGAGACGTTTACAGGGAAATTGTACGGAGGATAACAAAACCAGGATGAGAACCAGGCGGCGAGGATACATAGGAGAGGACTCAGGAATTACCCTAGGTACCGGAGAAGCGTCAGAGTAAGGCGGGTGACCAGGTATGTCTCGGCAGCCGCGTGCCCCACCTCGCGGCGAAATGACGCACCCCGAGAGGGAGAAGCAGGCAGCGAAGAGAGCGGATTGGAGAACGGCAACGACACGCGATGCAGAGACGCCTCGCTCGCCGTCCTCCGCCTCCTCTTCTGAGATGCTCCTCCGCCCCCACCGACGCTGACGGAAGACGGAGACCTGAGGAGGAACGGTGCATCTACGCTCCCATCCTCGGCCGAGGACGACACCGCCATCTCCTCCTCCGCCGCGTACCCCGCCGTCGCGGCAAGCTCCGATCCCATGGTGACCAGCGAGCGGCGGCGAGGAGGAGGGCCGCCTCGAGGGACCTGGAAAGCCGGAGAAATGGGCCTCGGCTCCTGGGAACGAGCGGGTGGCAGTTTGTTCGTTTCTTCTCGCAGTTCCGTGTGCTTCTTCTGAGACGTTGCGTGCCGTTCTCTTGGCAACGTATAGCTGACGTGTTGCGCTTACCGTGAGATGGTCAATTATTTTGGGCCTACTTATCTTGAAGAAAAAAATCCTTCGCAATAATGTCTCCGAATTTTCCTGGCGTATTATTATTTTCATTAATCCTTAAAAAAAGCGGGCCCGCATACTATTCGTTCATTCAGAAATTCATACCACTCCATGCTGATTAAATTATTTATTTTTTTAAAAAATAGATTTCCCATTTTTCCTAGAAATAAATAAAAATAATAAAGAAAAAAATAATTCGCAATAATTTCCTCCAGATTTCCTGCCATAGTATTGCTCTCATAAAAACAGAAAAAAACAAAGTTCAGGCCTACATAATCTTTCTTCACTCGGAAATTCCTAAGTAATCCCACTCCATCAAGATTAAATTATTTTATTTTTTAAAAAAATATATCTTTCCCATTTCTCCTGGAAACAAGTAAAATTCATAAAGAAAAAAAATATTTCGCAATAATTTCCTCCAGATTTCCTGCCACATTTTTGTTCTCATAATGTCAGAAAAAAACAGAATTCAGGGCTATCTAATCTTTCCTCATTCGGAAATTCCTCAGAAATCCACTCCATCCAGATTGAATTATTTAATATTTTTATTTATTCGCATATTAGCTTCTATTTTCTTTCGATGATCAAACCGTTGACATTTTGAGTAAACAATCAGGCCGGAAATACCCGTAGATAAAACTAAATAAAAATAAAAATCAAGGATTTAATTTCGGACAAGCAAAATAGAGGTGGGCTGTTTCTGGAGAAAGAGGACTCTTAGATTCAACCAATGAGGGGCAGCGGCGGCGGCGGGGGAGAATTAAATAAGCATCAGCAGTGTTTTACATATATACACGCCGAGGGGGGGTTGCACGGCCACAACAGCTTACAGAGAGAGCAGGTTCACGTATGAGCAACACCTTGGAAGTAGCTATGGTCCTTCTTTCAACAGCAGGATTGAAGGGGGGAGGGGGTGGGGAGAAGAAGAGGAGGGTTGACCATACCTCCCAACTAGATCTTCTCTTTGTCGGCGAGCCCTTGCCACCGGGTGCTTCTGGGCAATCAGAATGAGGCTACAGAGACGAAAGAAAGACGGTGGGTGGCTCGTCAGAAAGATGGCCTCTGTTCATATTTATGGTCAGCCCATGAGTCAGAAAGATAGTCAACCCCTGGCTCAGTCTCTCTCCTTTGCCAATTTTTTTTTTCTAATTCTTATTTTTCGTCTGCCCAGGTTTGACATCCAAGTCTGGGTCAACCCCGCCGGATGGAAAAAAAGATAGCTAATTTCTCTGGTGAATGGAGTGATGTAATCACCTCTGCTTTGGGGATGCTCCGTGTTAGGAGCTGGACAGGAAGTGATGAAAACGCTCGACTTTAACGGCGTGCAAGGAATTTGCCCGCTCCTGAGAGGAGGATGATGATGAGCTCCCACCAGACGAAATCCTCTTCTTCTTGCGGCAGAAGAGATCCTCCGTGTCCAGAACGTAAGAAACCTGGGGGAGAAAGATGCAGTCAATGGATAAGCATTTGACCAAAGACCCCATTTCCATTTACCAGAGGAAGCACCTTGGACGAGCTGCATGATATCTTGCACTCCAGCCCGTTGACCACCCGGATCCCTTCCATGGCTTTGCAAGAGGGAGAGTCTTCGTCGCCATTTATGCGCTTCCTTTTATTTCTGCGAGGATGGGCCCATCAACCACGAGTCAAATAAAAGGAGAGAGAGCTCCTTAGAGGGAGATGTGGCCCGGCCGTACCTTCCGAGGAAGACATTGTGGGGATCTTTCCTCCTGGGGACGATGGAGAGAAAATCGTTGTTCAGGTAAGATGCGAAGCTGGAATCGATGGAGACGGCGGGGACTTCGGGCTTTTCGTGGCTGTACTCCATCAACTGTATTGAAAAGCGGGCCGGGTTGGAGGACTGCAGAGAAGAAACAAGCAAGATCAGCCGAACGCGGCGGCGGCTTCTTTGGTTAGGAGGTCAACTCTCATAGAGCGCAATGAAGTCAGATCAAGAACCCACGCATTCAAACCGGTATATGCTCTCATCATGAAGCAGGATGCGAGCATTCTCATGGTAAACTAGATCGACAAACTGCCCAGGTCGTCGTGATCTTTCGTAGGAATATAGCTGGAGAAGCTTGTTGTCCGTATCATCAGACGCAATAGCCTGAAGCTGCAGCAATTTTTCGCAAGAGTCTCAGAGATATAAGTCAACTGGTTTGACCACAGTGAAAGCGAAAATACCTGTTTGACCACTTTATATATCAACTTGTCCAGGGTGAAGAGCACGTAGGACTGAGTCCCAATGATGGCACGGCAATCATCCTCAAACTTTGTATTGTCGGCAGAGCCATCGAGTAGATTGTAGAGGGCGCTCATGAACCTGGATACCATGTTGATGCAACAAGGAAGGGGATATATGAATAATTGAGGAATATAAATATGATATGTGCGAGGTTAAAAAAAAAGGAACTTACTTAGCATATAGGTTGGGAGAATTCGCATCCTTTGATGATCTCCACTTTCTCTCGGAGGAGGACGAATTCATTTTCGCTGAGAATATTCTCTCATACAGAGTCTGCAACACAAGAGAGGTGGATGATGAGTGGCGCCAAGATGCATGCATGGAATGATAAGAGACTAGATCGTTAGTATCTCATACTTGCTGGAGCCTAAAAAGCAGGTAGAAAGAGTCATTGCCGTAGAAGATGCGGGAGCCTTTCTCCTCTGTAATATCGAGTAACGCTGAAGGAACGTGCTTGGCCAGGGGCTTTACTGTGTGCAGAAAACACTCCGAAAATGCCAATGATGTGCCCTCTCCCTCGGCATCGTGTACATCAGCCATTCCTTCTGCTTCACCTTCACTCTCCGCCTTCCCATCCTGGTCGTCATGATCGGCGTCATCATCCTCTTCATGATCCTCATGAGAGCACTCTTCACCATCACCGGACTCGCTGGCTGAGACCTCTTCCCCAGCCTCAGAAGCATTCTCACTGTCCTCTGAGGATCTTTGGGCGCTTTCTTCGCCTTCGTCGTCTGCATCGGCGTCATTTTCCCCTGCCGCCTCACCGGAGCGACCCTCTACTTCTCCAGGTTTGGCTTGATACGCCCGACTGGGAGGACCTTCCTGAGGGTTAGGTGCGGCCTCAGCAGCAGCTTCAAATGCCACGAAATTATCCTCCTCAAAGTCACCGTTGGGAGATAGCTCGCCCTCCTCCCTTTCACCTTTGAAGTTGTCATGCACTGTAGAGCCCTCATGGTACCTGTGAGCTTTGGTGACTTCCATCGCACATCCTCCGTTTACAGAAATGACTGGCCTCATATTATCATCTCCCTAGAGCAAACGCCGAAAATGTCAAATCCGGTAGTACCGAGCCAAGAAGATTACATAACAAGAAAAGCCAAGAGATCATACCTCTGAAGAATGTACAGCTTCATTACTAACTCGGGTTGCAAGCCCTGGATCACTACCAGGTTTTGAAGGAGTAGTTGCATTGACACCTAGATAAAATAAAAGATAAAGCTTATCATTCTCACTTTTCCTAGAATAATAAAAGTCTCCAGCTATTTCTAGGGCACAAACCTGATGTAATTTCCAGACTGTTCCTGCAACAGTTGGGCTCACCTCTGATGACGATTGATCCGTTATCAGTGAGCCTTTCAGCAGAACCTGTCTGCATGCTTACACCTGACATCTCATCGGCAGTCTGAAGATTGTTTGGTCCTTTTCCATGCAAGAGGGCGCTACTGAGTGCATCATTTCGATGTGCAACTCGATCAGCATCGTAGGCATCTTCTTTCTCACCTACATCCCCGTTGGCTGACCTTGCCCTGCAAGAGCTTGTTTCCTCGGCCGGTTTGCTTTCATTGCCATTACTGGTAGTATTTAACTGTATGGACGTTGCAGCAGCAGTGTCAGCACGGGGACTTCTGTCACCTTCCCCTGATTTTGTATTGTTGCTCTTGCTGGTGACATTCTTGCTCTTAACTGCATCTTCAGTATCTTCTGCTCCCTGAGGTCTTGCAGGGACACCGAGCATTGGCTCCACGAAGGTAGTCCAAATCCGCATGACTTTATCCATCTGATCAACGGAGGAGCAGACCTCTCCACATGAATATTTTATAATTTGATATAGATCTCCATGAATATCTGGATCTGAAAATTCAAATTCCATGTCTGAAACAATAGGTCGTCGGTTGCCAGCAGCAATAGCAAAAAGTGCATCATCTTCTTTCCGCTTCTTTTCATTTATTTCTTTGATCTCGGCCAACAGAGCTGAAAAGTAAAGAAAAGCATCGTTAATGATTATAAAATAAATTACAGGAAAATCGTACATAAAACTAGGAACAGATCAATAGACAAACTCCGAACAGCTTCTAAATCAAACCAAAATAGCACACAGAATACCTCAATGAAAGCAGCAGCGAAAAGGGGCATCGATTAAACAAGAAAGCAGATTCATCAGCATAAATTATTTTTCAGCAGTATATAGACTTTTGGTTCAAGAAGTCAACTAATCAGAGCAACAACAGAAGGCCCAGTTTGAAACTGGAGTAACCTCCGAGGAGCGGAATCATCGAGGACTTGCTTGAAACAGGCTAAGTTAGTTGAACTCAAGGGTAATGGACATCCAATGATCAGAGCCATTAGTAACTAGAAGAATAACGGGAATGCCATAACAATGGACAGAGCTTTCCCAACAATTCACAGATTTATATCTACTCAATGGATGACCCAAAAATGATCGAAACTCCGATTATCCAATAGACTTAACATTCACCTCCAAAGTTCAAGAGATTTTTTCAATTTTAATCAAAGGCAGGGAATGACACGGAAAGACACCCCCGCCTAACATGGGACATCTCGGTTGCGTATCACTAAATACTAGAAGGTAAAAGAAAAAGCTATCTTAATGTTCACCCAGAGCAAAAAAAGGAAAACAGAGTATGAAGAATGATACCTTTAGTACTCAAGTTCTTTGTGTCCTGTTGTTTGAAGTAGAAACTTCGGTGATCAAGTGATTTATGATAATTCTTTGCATAAATTTCAGCCCAGACCTTGTTGAAGTCTGCTCGACACTTTGACCATTCCTCCTGCTTCTGCTTCAAACGAGTTAATATGACGGGAAGTGCAAGACCAGGGTTCTTCCGCAAAATATCCATGACATCCAGCCCGTGATCACCATATAATCGTTCAATACATCTTAGATTTAAGGCTATACATGTAAACAGTAAAATATTCAAGATAAGCACAAAATCATAAGTAATCTTTGAAAAAGGACACTAAACGCCACAGAATATTAGTTCTTCACACGGACCTGTAAGGTGGTCGTCAATACGAATCTGACTTTCTGGTTTTATTATATTATCATGCATTGCTTTTAGCAGATCTTCCACCTGCCTAGTGGTTACATTCACCGACTCCAATAGCATGTCAAGCTCAAACCTGGTAAAACAATAAATCGAAGGGACAAAAAAAATAAGGTTGGTTATTATGGAAACACAGAAGTCCAAAGGAGCATATCATAGCTATGAAGAAGATTTTTATCAGTGAAAATCGATTAAAGGTTACCAGCGAGCACAGCCTACCAACCCGCGGCAAAACAATAGTGTAGCATTATGGAAATAAAAGATTTACCTATCATCTTCACATCTGAACAGGCTTTCTTCATACTGGTTCTTCCGCATGTGCTTAAAAGAATAGTCCTCGCTACCGGAAGTTACTGATACCCAAACATCATTTAGCACAGAAGCGCCAAGGTCGGTCCTATTGCTTGCTTTAGGAATTGGATACTGCAAGTGCCATATATTTTTATGAATGGAATCAGCATAACATAAAGAGCAAAAAATGGAAAAGACACGGATGAAAAATGGCTTACACTCTTTGGCAAAAGACGGTAACTGGGGGTACAACGCTGACAGGCGGACAGATCAAGCTCCGAAATTGGTTTGGCCCAGTTGTATTTATCCTTCACAACTGAAGGCACCTTGTGGGCTGCAGAATCTTTTAGCCTTTCCCGGTCTTTGTCTCTCTCTCTCTCGTGGTCTCTATCTTTCTCCCTCTCAGATTCCCGGTCTTTATCTTTATCTTCTACCTTGACCGGTCTAGCTATATTTCCTTCATTTCATAAGGTTATATTAGTAAAAGGGGCATAAAAAATAAAACCTCTGACAAACTAGTGCAAGCATGAAAAGACGTGCATCCAGTGAATCAAACAAAAAACAGAGCGAAAAGCTTGATGCAGATTACGAATAAAGGAATTATGAAATGAAAAAACTTTGTAAGGAAAAGCTACATACTTTTACTGAAAACTCCTGCAAGAAATCCATCTGCACAAAAAGATACACTTCAGAAAAAAGCAGCCACAGACAAATTAAAAATGCAGTCACCTGCATCTGCAATACAGAATAATTTGTTGACCTTACCAATGTTCTCACAATGCGCCAAAAACTCATTGAACCCATCCATAAGATCAGGATACTTTCCAAGGAGATCGCCAACCTGAGACCAATACACAATAGCTATTGGATAACTATAATTGAAGTATTGCCGATTAGGAGGGGAAATATATTTAGAATATTTCACAGAGGAATAATTTGAAAGATGTGCAAAAGTATCCAGCATAGTTATACGTTCCATGATTAGGAAGATTAGAACGAAAAATACTAAGTCAGCTGTGAGCTGATGCATACGCTAACAAGCCAAAGGATGAAGATAGATGATCAGAATTTGTGATTGCCATCAACCCATCGACATGAGTATCAAGCAAATATTATCATCGGACACAAGAGGATTAGCAATAACCAGGAAGATCATTCAATTGGACAAAAGAGTTTCCTCTTGGCAAATCAGGAGATCTGACAGACAAAAAACTAAAAGCAAGCAAAGAATCTCCTTCAGATTGACAGTAGTTCCCACTAACTACCTGAAGAACTGAAATAACCATACAAGATGCCGCTCAGGCAAGAGATTCAAGAATGGTGCGATGACCTTTTATTTTCTTTTTTCCTGAGGGAGGGGGAAGGGGCAGATACAAAGGCAGATGTTGTCTCTCAAATGCCTGAGTAATCAGTAGCTATTTGTTCCCTTTTTGTTGCTCAGAACGATATCACGAAGGTAGGAGACTCAAGAATGGTGTGGTGACCTTTTCTTTTCTTTTTTTTCCTGAGGGAGGGGGAAGCGGCAGGTACAAGGGCAGATGTTTTCGCTCAAATGCTCGAGTGATCACTGGCTATTTATTCCCTTTTTGTTGGACCTCAGACAAGTATCGCGTTGGTAGTTGCAACATTAGCCACCTACCAACTTCCTAACAGCATCCGTAGGATCAAGTTTAATTGGCATAAAAGAAAATAAGTAGACATAAAAGAGAAACGCCATCTCGAGATGTGCATGTGTTACTGAATGCAATATTAAGAAATAATTACTCCTAAAGAGCAAGTTAGGAGGCATGAAATAAAAGAGATCATGTTGACATAAGCCATTAAATAAAATATATCACAAGAAAATGGAAAATAAAAGTAATTTGAGTGATGCATCTGTACCAAATTCTTTAGTTCAGTTCTGCTGATAATTTCGTTGCTGTAGATGTTGAGGCACTTCAAAAATTCCTGGTACGTATCAGCATGAAGCTTATCTTTGACTTTCTCACAGAAATTGAACTCTTGGGTATAGACACCTGAAATAGACATCCTTACTCCAGTTTTATCAGATGTTCCCAAAATGCTTAGTTGCGGAAAATGTAAAACATTGAAATAAGTCTCAATATAGAAAAATAACCCTCATGACTATCATAGAGAACATTTCCGGACAACTTTAATTTCAACAACTTCCTTTCTACATAGCAGAAACATAACTTCGGTTTTTTTTATAACAAAGCACCATCAGCAAGTGCGATAGACAAAAACTTGGTAGAATGGATAAGCAGTTTTGAATCCAAACACAATAATACCCAGTTGTGACTCACTTTTCAGAGCATTTTTGTCATCATAGGAAGAAGCTGTCATGGAGTAAACGCCAAAATTCTCAGCACCTTCGCCACCTTGGTGTGGTACCTCTGAGGGTGAGTCATCAACCCTCCGTGAGGATTTCCTCTTACGATGGGCATTCTCCATCTCCCTGACATCATGCTCTAGATCTTTATCCTCCCGCTCACGGTCTCTCCTGTCCCTGTCATCCTTTCTTTCCTTTTCCTTCTCAGAACGTTTCCTCTGTTTCTCATGCTCTTGCTCAGGTCGGTCAACACTGACGTCACGATCAGCATGAGAAATATATCCTTTGTCCCTCTAAAACACATGTAGAAAAAGGCATAAGCATAATCTAACAAAAAGACCCAGAAGATTCTGAAGGCATATCACAGACATAAAACCATATCGTAAAAGCTTGCAAATAGATGACAGAAAAAATGTTAGAAGTATTCAATGGAACATATCCATCCATAAAAATGGCCCAGATTTTAAAGACAAATATTTCTTTACAGTAAAAGGTAAGTCACCTTCGAAGATCAAGCAAAAATGTCCTTGTGATGAACAACAACATGTTGCAAACTCATCATTTCTAAATAGAACTGCGTTCAATTTAGTGGTAAAAATGTAAACGTTCATGTATGAGACAATACCTTATCCACCTGTCCATGCCTGGCAGTAACTACACCAGAGCTCTTCTCATCCCGTCGCAAGAAACCTCTGCCTGCTGCCGAATGGGGACCTGTTGCTGTTTGATCTGGTAAGAAATGAGTAAATTCATCCAAGAGGTCCTGATGACTATGAAACAGTACTGCTACCTGCAGTTGACGACATCAAAATTTTAAGCCCAACATATTACACAAAAAAATATATATAAAAAAAGAATTGTATGTAATGCACATACTTCCTGATACACTTCTCCAATCCCCTTGTTCTCCTTGCGGTACATGTTAAGAATATCCAAAAATGACTTATAAACATGCTCATCATTTTGAAAACGCGTCTGGAAGAATGAAGGAAAAAAAAGTCAGTACGTAGCATAGAATAAAATGAAAAACATAAACACACTAACACGATGGTCCGATCTGTTCCGTTCACCTTTATTTTATTCACAAAATTGATAGCTTCCTCAAACTCAACAGGCTTCTTCTGTTGGTACTCCTCTTCAGGAGGGAGAGTGATCTCATATCCTTTAGGCAAGAAGGTGTTGAAGCCCAGAATCAGGTTCCGATGCCCTCTGAACAGGTCTTTCACCCTCTCAATAACGCCCGCCGTATCTATCCTGCAAGAATAGTAAAGAACAGTGTAAGAGAAAAAACGAGGACAAGACAGGTAAGTAGGAATCCCAAATTTAACCATTGCAAGTCAAACCTCTGTGCTTTGAAATCCTTCATCACTTCAAGGAATTCATCATATTTTTCTCTTTTATCCTGGAATATTTCTTTCACGTCCTTCAAATATGCTAGGGCATCATTGGTTGTCAGTTTCTGTGCACCACTGCCAGTAGTTGCAGTGGCCGTAGACATTTGCCCAGACCTTTGTCATTGACGCCATAAAAATCAACATATTATAAGCAACAGAAAATAGTTTCAAGATTGTAAATTATCAACGCATCTGATGTTCAAGGCAACCATCGATCTAAAAAAAGAAACACTAGGGTAGTACCAACAAAGACCTGAAAAATCAATGTTTTTATCAAGTATCAAAAGATCATAGGCAACATCTCGAAACTAGTACAGAGAAAACATCCAAATATTCAATTATCGCGGAAGAAAAACGAGGTCGAGGAATTGTAAATAAATATCAAGCGTGCCTCTCGTCCGAGTCAATTACTACATGCATGCTGGCACCGGATATAATTAGCGACGAAAAATAATAAAAATACCCGCGTTCCCGGCGTTATCGCCATTTAAGAAACAAGACATGTCCGCATGTAACAAACCAGAGGATAAAAGCGAAAGCTGAATAACCAGAAATAGATCGACTGAGGCAAGAAGATGAAAAAGTCCCAACGAAGATAAATAGAGAATCAAAATCCTGCACGTAATAGAGAGTTTCCTCCTTGGCATATCTCACCATATGTAACCAAGTAAATTAGACGCAAGTACAGAGCGTAGGGATTCAGAGCCGCGAAAAGAGGAACAAAATAGAAAAAGAATAATTTTATCCTTAACCATTCCACCAAATCGTCTCATGAAAAATAAGTACGGCCTTGATCTAACCCCCGAAACCTCAAACACCGCGCAGGACTACCAAAGGAGAACGGCCAAAAAATACACCAAAAAAATATACCAAATAGAAATAGGGAGGAAGGCAACGAGGTAACGATACTCACGGATCCCCTCGGGAAGAGTTCTGCCACTTCATATTCGAGGCCATGTATCCATCCTCCCGGGACCTTTTCATTTCCTCATACACGCCCTCGCAGGCCGGGAACCAACCGACCAAAACGAAGAATACTCCTCCCCCCACCCCCCGGCCGCTCACCGGTAACCAACACCACCACTACCAGAGCCGATCACGGCTGTCCAGGGCCACCACACCCCCCGTCTCCCGCTCCTCGAGCGGATCTACAGCCACCAGAAAATTCTCACCGATTGCGTGAAGAGGGAGAAACAACAGCCCCCCACGGAACGACAGAAGAAAGATAGCGCCGCCGAGTGGATACGAATCGCCGCGCCGTCACCTTCTCCTCCTTCCCCAACGCCTATCTGGACTTCGAGCTCTGGAGGGAAAGCCAAGGAGGAAGAAGAAGAAGAGGCAAGGAGGGACGATGCGAGCGGAGAAGCGAGAAGAAGAGCCCTCTAACATCAAAGAAATCGAGACCCGGAGATCGACCTTTATATACCCTGGTGCCGCAAACGACTCCCTTCTTCTAAACGAATCACCCGCAGTGTGCAAGGGCCCTTACAATTGCTCAAGAGCCGCTGCCAACCGCAAGATGGATGTTCCCTCGTTTAATGAGCTGTGTGGACCGTCAGATCTTTAGGTTTCTCTCTGCCGACTAGGGCACCGTGCGGACTAGTCATCAGGTGGTCACTGGTCGTGGGACGCCGGGTTGAATCGCCCACCCCCCACCCTTTCCCCCCGGTAGCGTTCGGATTCCGAATCGGTGAGTCCAGGGGGTTGACCCTTCGTAAGCGGATTCTACCCGTTCAGATCAAAATGGGCGGTGATGATGGAGCTTCATCTCGCTCGCGAAAATTATTGAACTTCCGCATCGCTGCTGACTCCAGGTTACCTTGTTTGAGCCACGCCGAAGCCCAGTTTACGACCAAAGACGGGCCTACTGAAAAGGCCAATAAACCGATCATTTTCCACGTGTACAATGAGAGGACGCCACGTCGCAATGCCCATTCTTGTTACTGGGCTTGAATTTGGCCCAATAACAAAATATTCGATGATTATCCACATACATAAACTCTCTCTCTCTCTCTCTCTCTCTCTCTCTCTCTGATATATATATATGGGAGGATAAAGTGGGGCTGGGTCTTCGTTGCAATGCAAGTCGGGGCTACTCGCTGTTCGGTAAATGAGGATCGGATTGGGGTAATTCTATCATTAGATCCGAAGAATTGGAAGGCGTCATTTCGTGATGGAGATACTATGATTGCCAAATTTTTATAACTTTTTCTTTCCAGATTTCACAGGTATCGCCATTTGCTTTGATCTTGCGGGAGCGTAATCTCAGTTCTGATGGAGATGGAGACGGTGAGACGAAGAATACAGTTCAAATGCGTTGAAACAAGCTGAATCTTCGAGATATCGAGGAGATTCTGACCTTGTCCTTTGGAGAGGCGACGGATTATCCTCGGCTAGTGGTCGGAGAATGGACGGATTCAAGGAGGAGTTCCTGCATTGCAGGCCAACCGGATGTGTGATCGAATTCCGGAGAATGGGAGATCGGAACAGAGGCGGTTCAGATTTTCAGGCGTTCTATCCTCTGTTCCATCGACGGTGGTAAATCGACGGCGGCGAGGTTTCTGCCGGCGATTTCGCGGACGATGTTGCCGCGGCAGATTCGCGTGGCCTTGCTTGCTCTGCCCGATGATCTCATCTATGGCTCCGAATTCCTCGAGGTTCTCCTGACGCCCGAGACTTCTTATTCTTTCTTCGTTTCCGTCGGCTTCCTTGCACGGTTTCTCTGAATCCATACTTTCCGTTGGTGATCGTGATCTCTTCCAGTCGACAAGCAGATCGGCCACGGTTATAAGTATTTCTTCTCCGATTTGAAACCGACATAGGTAGAACTTGTAAATGCAAAGCTGGGGTTTGAGAGGAAGCATAATTTGCCGCGGCCCCTGATACTCTGCCAACACAGTGGAAACAAGAAAACAAGCATGAACAAGCACATATTTATATACATATGTTTGCGCATATACATAACTTTAATGAGTCGATCCCTTTAACTCTGAACTAAACTTGATCATATCATTCAGCACAATCTTTGAGAGCTCATCTTTCACACCCCCCCCCCCCACACGTCACATTTTTTGAACTTGAATTTTTTTTCATGAACACTTATTATCCTCCCTTGCCCTAAACATCCCATGCATTTCCATCTTTGAGAAAAGGTTCTGGATGGTGTTATTCTTCTTGTTTTTTTTTCAAAGGGAAATTGTCTAGATAATTGCTTGCTTAGATTTTTCACTATCTATGAGCGAGGGGTGATTTGATTATTATGCACATAGACTATGATATTTTTTAAAAAAATAGAGATTATCACAGGCTAAATCACTCCCATAACCACATGAGACCTCCATATAAATTTCTTCCTCAAGTTCTCCATGTAGGAATGCATTCTTGACATCAAATTACTGTAAGTTTCAAAAAAAAAATGTTGCCACTTTTGGATGTATTAGATATCTAACTATTCACTAATCTTGCATAATTTTATGTTTTGAGTGGGAGAAAAATGTCATAGGATGCAAAAAACAAGTTAATTTACTCCACAAAATACTAAAAAATTAAAAATGCATATAATAAATACTGCAAAACATGATATCTACATACTTTCAAAGTTTGATGATGGTCACATGACATGAGAAAGGGAATTGAAGCAAGATTTTATACAATAAATAAGGAAAAATAAATTAGGTGCAAGAGATCATCAAGTGAATTTTCCATTAAAATAGCACACAAGTCCTTGCTAGAACCATAACTATTAGACGGTTGAATTTGTGGGTGATAACCTTTATGATCTACCAATATTTTTTTCTTCTCAACATAAAATCAATCCTTCTCCATGAGATAGCCAAATAAACAATTAGGGTAATCTTCAAAGTTTCGTCTCACAAGCTTCCCTAGTGCATCAATCCCATCTTGGCTGAAAAAAAATCATGATTGCCGAGGGGGATAGAATAGAATACACAAATGGCTCATGGAAAACACTGACACATATTCCTCAATGGCCATGAGGACCAATTAAGTAATATGATTTTTAATGATCTTATATTAAAATTTGTGAAAATATAGTGGTGGGATGAAAAACTGGGAATAACATTTTCCCCCAGTGTATTAGTCTCTTAAAATTTCCCTTGCATACTTTTTCTAGTAAAATAGCTTGACCTAATTAACTACTCAAGAGATCAATTCTTCAATTAGTCATTTCATAATCCCAAGATTGACCCATATATTAATCCATATTTTTTATTTTTCTCATTCATTTAAGAACAAATATGGTAGCTTATTTTAGTTTAATGCATTAATGTTTCCCAAGTATTTACCTCTGCCACCCGATAGGGATAAGCGCACCACTGATGCAGAATTGAATGGGATACTTCACGCTGCTTTGGGAATAACACGTGTTAGAAAATCTATTTACATTGGGCCCCCAAAAATTCGTTGAATTAAATAGGGTATTCTCTACATGAAAAATATTATATATTTTCTCCTTATTTGGAATAATTAATTTGGAATCAGGTGCCCTCTTGATGGCCAAGGCCAGGAGGTCAACTAGCTGGACCGGGCCCACAGGTAGACGTCTCCGAGTCCAGCCCTTGAGGGTGCCTTTCATCAGGTCAAGATACACTTTCCGCCCCGGGCCCGCCGCCCCAATCTCTAATGTTGTGCTAGAGACATTGAACAGCAGCGGATGGGTGTGTGTGTAAGAGTAAGAGAGAGAGAGAACGAGAAGAGAGAAGAGAGAAGAGAGAGAGGGATTCGGGCCGGGCCGGATAAAGACTGGGGGCCCAGTTACAGTCCACACCAAGAGCCCGTTATTATTCGTATTCCCTGTCAGTCGCTGGGATATTCCGCCGCTCACGGTCGCTAGGATATTCCCCCGCTCACGGCACACGGCCTCTGTGTCAGCCAGCCCGAGAGAAGGTGAAGGGATTTCCTCCTATCGAACTAGCCGATTCCTCACGTCTATAAACAGTAGCAGATGCCCATATCGTGATCTCCTGCGATGCTCCTCTTTGGTTTTGATGGATCTCTCTCTCTCTCTCTCTCTCTCAGACACACACACACACACACACACACACTTTCCACGTTTGTAGGAGGATCCGGGGTCATCATCTTCTCGCCGACCCATCTTCCGCATCTTGAGGCTCTCAGTCTCCAGCGGTCTCTCTTCCCACGGCAAGGAAAGATCCGAACTTACATCCTCCCCAAGCTTCACGAGGAGACAACGCGAAGCTCGGGCATATCCCAGGGAGAATACTCACAGCATCTTCAGCATTCCACTGGAGCGAAGCCACCCACCCACCCTTCCTCCCTATCCTACCACAGTTCTTCCCTCCGCTGTTAGCTTTCCTCAGCTTTCCCAACGGAATATGCCGCCGACGGCGGGTCAGGATGAGTCCGTCGTGGGATTATTCCGGCATCCTCCTGGGGGCAGCCGTGGAAATCACCGGGGAGGCTATCGATTCTTCGAAGAGCCCATGGAGTAGGAGAACCCTATGCCTTGGTGGTTTATTCTCCTTGGAGGAGAAGTTGAGGTGGGGAATGGAATTCGGGAGGGACGATGCGATAAGATAGCTCCGGAGATAATGCCGCTTCCCCGCGGTAGCGGTGGCGCTGCCCCTGCTTCATCCTGGTGCCGGCATCTCATCAGTGGGGAGGTTACGGTGGGGGGATTAGGGTTCACCGGCGGGGGCCCCGGCAGGAGGGTTGACCACTTGAAACCCGTTTAATGTTTGGTCCTCATAGAGGAAGTCAGAAGCTGTGGTTGTTCTTTGAAAGCCAGATATCCTGTTGTCCGTTTGTACTCCCAAGGCTCTCTCTCTCTCTCTCTCTCTCTCCCCGGAGACTCACCCTGTATGCAATCCCCGGACAAGACTTTATTAAAGTATAGACCGTATCCGCGGAACAACCAGATCAAATATGGGAGAAATGGAGTCCACAAGATCTCATTTTGAGCATAGTTGACCTTTTTGAGGTTCCTAACTATGGGACGACGGGTCTTGCGGTACAGCTTACACTCGGTGCGTCGTGGAAGAAAGAACCGCCATTAAGTGACGAAGGGGAGCAAATCTTTTCAAAACCCAAGAGCGGACCTCTTCATGCTTTACTTAAAATGAGTGGGGCTACTTAAAATATCACTAAGCTAAGAGGCTCTTATCCCCAGTTGGTGGAATCCTTGCTGGTTCAATGAACTGCATTCCTTTTTGCCCTTGATCTCCTTACTAGCGTTTTCAGGCTCTTTCTCTCTCTCTCTCTACACTTCATCTTGGGTATCTCTTAAAGAAAGGAACTGATCAGAGCTTATTTCTTGACGCTTATATACGTTCATGGGAGTTGAAAATAGTGATAAAATATCAGAGTATAGTCTCTTGGATTGTGGGGGGTTGAGCGGGGGGGGGGGGCAGAGAAAGAGAGAGAGAGAGAGAGAGAGAGAATCATCTCCTGGTACTTTGTCCCTAGGCATTTTTGACTTGGTATCTACAGATTTTACCATGGTTTAGAAACCTATTTTCTAATCACATGGTTTTGCGAATTCATAAAGGGTCTGATACCTGGCTAAATGATCGTTTTCATGGATAATTTATTAACAAATATGCATATTATTGATGACATTTAAATGGTCGTAATATTAGGTTGAATGTGTTCTCCGTGTCCATCTGGAGGCCCGTGTCTCACTTGCTTCTTTCCTTTCCGATCAAACCATGGAGAGATCCAGGAGGCGTTTCAGTCACGCCGAGGGCGCCTCCAACATGCAGGCCCGCTGTGGCGAGCAGATCATGCCACCTGGACACCAGGTGTTCTTCCTCACAACATGCCGAGTCGCGGCCACCGTGCACCCGCCAACTTGGACTCTCAGGGGAGGATGGATAGATAGATAGATAAAGGGCAGATGCAGGATGAATTTGAGAGAGATGAATGGATATATAGCTAGAGGGACGGATGATGAATCAGGGGAATGGATAGATACATAGATGGATAGATAGATCGAGAGAGGGGAGAGAGAGAGAGAGAGAGAGAGAGAGAGGAATGGAATGAGTGAGAGAGAAGAAGGGGGGAGAGGGCAGTGGAGGATTGGCATATTTGTGGGATTTAAGAACATTTTAGAATGTGCTGTCGACCAACAGAACCAAAGCCGCGATGCTCCGCCTCCTCTCTCGCGCGCTACCCCCCTTTGTACCGCGAGAGAAAGCTACATAAAGGGAACCATGACCTTCACACAGAATGAACACCCCGGTAGTTGCTGGCGTGCACGGAGGGGAGAGAGAGAAGGAGAAGATGGTGAAGTTCTCCAAGCAATTCGAGGGCCAGCTGGTCCCCGAGTGGAAGGAGGCCTTCGTCGATTACTGGCAGCTGAAGAAGGACCTCAAGAAGATGCAGAAGCCTCCCGGCGGCCAAACACCTCCCCAGAGGCCTTCCCGGCCTTCGCTCAGCAGAGCTCTTCTCTCTCCGCTCGCCATGTTCGCCCGGTCCTTCGGCTACGGGCGAGAACGGGACCATGGCGTCATCCAGGCATCTCTCTCTCTCTCTCTCTCTCTCTCTCTCTAACACTGATCACCTTGGTATCTCTGATAATCTCCGCTCAATCGCGTACCACACAAGAACCCAATTCGAGATTAAAATGATAATAACTGCATTATGATGCCATATTTTGATTACGTATCTATCCTTTCTCATCCAATGCTGGATTACGGCTTGTCTCCCTCTCTGTCTCTCTCTCTCTCCTTCTCCATACGTATTTGTCTGTTTCTCGACTGTGTTCATCTTCTCAAAGGTCCCATTATCCATGCATAGAAGCCATCAAGGGGGATACTAATATAGACCCTGAGTTGACATATCGGCTTCTTCTGGTTATCAGGTTCACAAGAAACTGGGTTCGTCGGCGAGCAAGGGAGATCTGTACGAGACAGAGCTGCTGGAGCAGTTCGCCGACACCGATGCGGCGAAGGAGTTCTTCTCCCGATTGGATCTCCAGCTGAACAAGGTGAACCAGTTCTACAAGGCCAAGGAAGGGGAGTTCCTGGAGAGAGGGGAGTCGCTGAGGAGGCAGATGGAGATCCTCGTTGAGCTCAAGGCCACGCTGAAGCAGCAGCGCAGGGGTGGCTCCTCAGCGGGCGACTCCAAGGACGACCCCTCCATATCCTGCTCTATCGCCTGCGGTATGTAGAAAGAGAAAAACCAGGAAGCTCAAGCATCTTCCCTCCCCACCCCCTTGATTCATTTTCATTTGGCGATGGCCAGGGTCAGTCCTTGCCAGGTCAGGGGGGGGCTTTCACGAGGCCCCTATAAAAGCCCGGAAGACGGGCTACAACCCTGCATATGCACCCATAAGAGCGTCAGAGAGAAGAGAGAGGATAGAAAAGGAGAGAGAGAGAGAGAGAGTACGTCTTCGCAGCTGTGGCGTGGAAAATGGGTTCTCCACCCATGGATCTAATCTTATCCAAGTCCGAAATCTGACGGCACAAAGATCGGGTTAGACTTATTTTCTCCTCCAATCTTGACTTTGAGAAGTAGATTTCCACAAAAATCAGGTCAATTAGGGATCGAATATTACCCAGCTCATTTACACCCGTAATCCTGACGTGGTTCTCCTTTCCGAGTCATTCCCTAATCTTACTTTTTGTTAAAAACATGATCTTTTTATTAAAAAACTTGGGCTTTTTTGAATGATACCGCCCGGTATTTGGCTAGAAAAGCGATCAGATTACTAGGCTTCCTCAGTTGAGTAGAATATCTATGCGGGTATATATAACTTTTGGGTGTTGTTTTATATATTCTAATACTTTGGTGGAAACGGATAATCATAAGATTGCTTTTGCAAACATTTCGATAATATGACTTCTAAAGCTATCTCTTCATGGATTCTTTCCCAAATGGAAGGGAAGAATGGGTAGCTCTAGGATGCTGTTCTCGTTCGACTAGTGGGCATGAACATTCAGACCCTCTCTCTCTCTCCTTCCTCACAGCTCTCTCCCGACACGGGACCGAAAATTCATGATGATATTTCTAGAATTCTTCTAAGGTGTTTAAAACATCATGGATTGCAGAGGAGGACTCGATCAAGCGCGGAGGAGATGATGACGACCAGCTCCAGGAGTGCCCAGTCTGCGACCTCGACAAGAAAGATCCGCAGGCGGCCGAGTCACCAGTGGGAGACGACCCGGACAAGTTGGACAAGGCGAAGAGAGAGGAAGGGAGGCCCAGCGGCCTCTCCGGTGGGGTCTTCAGCTGCCAGGGAAAGAGCCTGAGGATGAACATCCCGCTAACAACCCCGTCAAGGACCATCTCCGCTCTCACCTCCCTCCTGTGGGAAGATCTGGTGAGCCAGCCCAAGAAGTTGGGATCTGAGGGAAACGGCAGGCTCAGCGTCAACCGGGCCAAGCTCCACCGCGCCGAGAAGATGATACGCGGCGCCTTCGTGGAGCTCTACAAAGGGTTGGGCTATCTCAGCACCTACCGGTAAATCCTTCTCAGCGAAAAATGCACGAACGTCTGTTGCGCATGGGCGGCATTTTTTACTCGCCTCATCGGACTTATCTTCCGTGATTCACGCAGGAACTTGAACATGATGGCTTTTGCGAAGATCCTGAAGAAGTTCGACAAGGTTAGGCCACGGCCACGCGGCGGCCATGGAAATCTTGGGGTTTCCCAAGTTCCGCCATGAATAATGGTTCTCTTGTTGCAGGTTACCGGGAAACAAGTGCTTCCAATCTACCTCAAGGTCGTGGAGAGCTCATACTTCAATAGCTCGGACAAGGCGATCAAGCTGATGGACGAGGTGGAGGAGCTCTTCGTCAAGCACTTCACGGAGGAAGACCGACGGAAGGCCATGAAGTACCTCAGACCCAACCAGCGCAAGGACTCACACTCTCTCACCTTCTTCATCGGTAAGAAGACAACCTCTGCGATGGGGCGTCGTCCCTCTCCTCCGTGACCTTCCTCCACCGTCTCTCATGGCCTCTTAACCTTATCTCCTTCTCCAGGTCTCTTCACCGGTTGCTTCATCTCGCTCTTCGTCGGATACTGCATTATGGCCCATGTCGCAGGGATGTACACTCAGAGATCTGACTCCATTTACATGGAGACCACCTACCCTGTCCTGAGGCAAGTTCATCCTCCCTCCCTCTCTCTCTCTCTCTCTCTCTCTCTCTCTCTCTGTGCTCTTGAATAAGGAAACCCTGGAAGATGTTTCTCTCTCGTTGCAGCATGTTCAGCCTTCTGTTCTTGCACCTTTTTCTCTACGGGTGCAACATCTTCGCGTGGAGGATGACGAGGATAAACTATAGCTTCATCTTCGAGTTCGCCCCCACCAGGGAGCTCAAGCACAGGGACGTGTTCTTGATCTGCTCCACCGCGATGAGCGTGGTGGTGGGGGTGATGTTCGCTCACCTGTCGCTCACTGTGAGGGGCTACTCTTCTGGCCACGTCCAAGCCATCCCGGGCCTTCTGGTTCTGGTAATCATCCTCAACGTGCTCAATTTCATTAGTATCTGTTAAATAACTTCTCAAAGAACATTCATAGTTTCAATTCCATCCGAGATAAAACCCGGATTTGAAGTAGAATGGAGAAATTGGAGTCTCGTTCGATGCCTGGCTCGGTATGATAATATAAGAGCGAGAGAGAGAGAGAGAGAGAGAAAGAAAGAGAGAGAGGTGAGCTACCATTAAGGTAATCTTGAGACATTTGCATTGCGTGATTCCCTGAATATGAAAAATCTAGGAGTAACTCTCCCCATTGAGAAGCCTGCTTATCACCCACGTGGTATACTCCCAGAGAGGTAGCCTAGCCTATACGGGAGAGATCAAAGTGGAGCACAATCATCAAACTTAGTCTCTCTCACGCAGATGTTCTTGGTCCTCCTCGTGTGCCCCTTCAACATCCTCTACCGGCAGACCCGCTACCGCTTCATCGGAGTCATGAGGAGCATCGTCCTCTCTCCTTTCTATAGGGTAAGAAGCTCATCTCATCTCTCCGGCGAGTGGACGTCCAGCGGCGGCCATTGAGATCCTCCCTCCGATGGTTTCAGGTGGTTATGGTGGATTTCTTCATGGCCGACCAGCTGTGCAGCCAGGTTGTCATCCTCCTCCTACTCCACCCATTTCCTTGGAAACTTGCTTCATGTTTCAGAGAGATCTCACCGCTGGTCAAGAGATCAACCTGCGCAGGTTCCCATGCTGAGGAATCTGGAATATGTCGCCTGCTACTACATAACGGGAAGCTACAAGAGACAAGACTACGGCTTCTGCAGCACCACCACGCACTACAGAGACCTCGCCTACGCCGTCTCCTTCCTCCCCTACTACTGGAGAGCCATGCAGGTCTCCACATGACCAGAAAGCTACAGATTTCGTTCATTTCAGCTCATTCTCAGTCGGTGATTCTGAGATGATGATGGCCCTGCAGTGCGCTCGGAGATGGTTTGACGAAGGGCAGACGAGCCACCTGGCAAACCTCGGCAAGTACGTGTCCGCCATGCTGGCGGCGGGGGCCAAGGTGGCGTACGAGAAGGAGAAGGGCATGGGGTGGCTCTCCCTCTTCGTCATCGCCTCCAGCTTCGCCACCGCTTACCAGCTCTACTGGGACTTTGTCAAGGACTGGGGGCTCCTCCAGGTCAACTCCAAGAATCCTTGGCTCCGGAACGAGCTCATTCTCCGCCGCAAATCCGTCTACTACTTCTCCATGGTAGACAACCTCTTACATCGACCGCTGTAATTAGGTAGATTCAGCTTTTGTGATCAGAATATACGTTAATAGCGGTGGAATTCGCAGGTTCTGAACTTCGTCCTTAGACTGGCGTGGCTACAGAGCGTCCTCCACCTCAACTTCGCCGGATTGGACTACAGAGTCACCGCCTTCTTCTCAGCGGCGCTCGAGGTGCTCCGGCGAGGGCTGTGGAACTTCTACAGGTCGGTCCTCGAGCTTAGGCTCGCTCTCGACTGCCTCTGAGAGCTTTCCCTTTTCAGAAAATCATGGCATCGGATCTTTCGCAGGCTGGAGAACGAGCATCTGAACAACGTCGGTAAGTTCCGTGCGGTGAAGACGGTGCCGCTCCCCTTCCACGAGGTGGATGAGGATTGACGGGCTTCCGCCGCCGTGGATCGAGCGGCGCCGCCAAGCTCGGCGCATTAGACTATACTCTACGAAGATGGATCATTTAGGGTTTGCATGCTGGGGGCTCCAAGAAGCGCCGTTGATGATTATCGGGGAAAGATCGTGTGATTGACAGATATCTTGTTTATAATTTATACAAGGAAAGAAGCCTGTTTGGATACCCCTGCTTTCACGCTCACGGACAAAGGTGATGCCCATCGGGGCTCGATTCCAATACGTTGACTATGTTTGACCTCTTCACTCCCGTTGACCTATAAGGACAAAAATGCTTGTCCAGCTAGACTTTGACCACGAATGAATTAGGTGCCCAAAAAGTCGAGTCAACCTTTTTACCCTAAACAGGCAATTTCTCCAGGTATTTCACTAATGTCTCCTAAAATTAGAGGTATCAAGAGGTCGGAAGATAGCATGCGAAGCATCAGAGGTGTTTTAAGTTTATAACTTTACAGGGGCTTATGTATAAAATGCTACCCCCCCCCCTTGTTCTCCAAGGGGTTTCGCGAGGGGGAGGGAGGGACGGAGGAAGGGTCCCGACACAGGACGGGCTTTCTCTCCGGCAAGCATCGGTCTTGGTTGATGGGTTCGCCATCGTTGGTGACGACGCGTGCTTGGGAGAGGAGCTTGGCCTTCTCTCCCCAAGCTCCCTCCTCTTCTCGTCCTTCCCTTCGAGTTCGAAGGGCTCAACCCCTGACTCTGCCTTCCGCCCTCTGCTTCCCATCCAAGCAGAGGTGAGGCTCCCCTCTCGTCTTCGCCTTCATGGTCCTTTATTTTCCACATGATCGCCATGTTTAGCCATGGTTTGATGCTTTTAATGACACTCTTCGTGTTCTATCTCTTGTTCTTCAGTCTGTCGGCTGCTGCCCACGTCCGTAGCTGCCGCCCAATTGCCGCCTGCTTGAAGACCACTTCGAGCTTGGGGATCCCCGACGAGAATGGCTACTCTCTGGGGGATTCCGTGCCCAGCCCTTCTTCCTCCTCCTCCTCACATGCGGTAATTGAATCCTACATTACGTGGATTTTTTTCCGGTAAATCTTCAAGAATGGAAGAAAAAAAGTATTCTGAAAACTTTGCGTGGCTCATAATAATTCCACATTCGGGCGCGTTTTCTCAAAAAACTTTTTATTCTCTAACTCATTTCTTCTCACCCGGATCCCCTTCTTAGCTGAAAATTCTGAAGAGCCATGATTCGATTATTTTCTATGGCTATTTTCCGATTTTCTCTTACCTATTCGAACTGTCTGGCCCAGCTTTTGCTTAACTTGGGTTGTTCTCTGCTCACTTCACTCTCGATTGACTGACATGGCGGATGCTGCACTGCTCCAGTATGGTTTGGTGGGTCATGCCACACCTCTCCTGTGCACGACTGACAAAGCCCAGGTCGCGTTTGGGGTGGAACCTGTGGGGATGTAATCTATGGTCCATGACCTTATACAAATTCGTTGAGATCTCACATAAACAACCTGCATGCATTGATCAATTTTTTTGTTTGTTTTGTTTTGATCTGTGTGCATTCAATTCTAGGGTGGATTGTTCGATTGAGTCTTAGAAACTTCCAGTTCTTAGTGTTTGGATTGAAGAAAAATACAAGAGCAAGCCTGTGATGAAATCTTTGATTTAACATATTCCTGCAACGAATTTGTGTCAGGCCATGAACCTTAGATCTCCATTTTTCTCTATCATTCTTGTATTTAATTGGGCATGCTTATTATTTTCCTATTTTGTTCGTCATTCTTTAGAAATGTTCAATTTTTTTACTTTTTCTTTTCCTCGTAAATTTCTTGCAAATATTATGGTCACGTTTTCTTGAGCACATTTGAAACCGTCGTCCTCTACAGTTTTCAATTTTTATGGCGTCTGTATCAACATCTATGGGACTTTGTACATATGAGCGAATGTTTCAATTATAAAATGAATTAAAAGTTACTTGGCAACTGATGATGTTCAGTTTTAGTAATGTTATCTAGTAGATCATTAAGTAGGGAAGTTGCAAAGATTTTCCATTTATTTCAAAAGATGGTATTAACTTCAGCTGTTTCTATCCCATAACTTTAATGCACATTATCAACAAGACTGATGCCGAATGTATATCTATTAATGGGGGATGATTTTTTGTTCTACAAGCTTGATTTTTCTTTGATAATTTCTTCTGTTCTTCCATGTCAAACAAGACGGGTCATGTCAATTGCAGTAGCATCCATATGAGCTCTGATCACAAAGCCGTGGACAAAACGAGCACACATAAGACGACCACGCCTATACTATTCTGTCATCATTTTCTTCTGTTAGTCAACGGAGTGAAAGATCTTCTAAGATAATATCGTGGCTATGATTTTATTAGAAAACCCATATGCTGAATAACATTGTGAAGTTTGTTTTATTTTATTTTATTAAGGTTTTTTATTCATGCTTCGCGTTGACATAAACCAGGAAGCAGCTTCTGATATAAGGTTGCCTAGAAGGAATTTGCTGGTGCAATTTACATGCAATTTATGTGGAGAAAGGACTCAAAGAATAATAAACCGAGTGGCCTATGATCGAGGGACCGTCTTTTTGCAGGTATTAAAATCATTTATTTCTTTGTCTTCCTTTAATTGCATCATAATGCTCATAGAGTTCTTGAAAAGGGGTCACTTCCCACTCTCCTCACATTTTCTCCTCATTGCTGTGCTTGACTTTTGGAGATATGATTTATATATCAGCGAATGAATAATCTGACGAAGAAATCAGACCTAGAATTGGACGACTATTGGTCGATTGACTTATGTATGAAAAAGGGTTGTCTCCCTTTTCTCTCTTCCTCTTCTTTGATCTTCTCTCTAACACCAAAGTCAACATGGTTGAGTTATTCACACCTCAGGAGAATTAATGAAGACAGAAGAAGTATGAACCATCATCCAAGTTGACAACACATTGGCCCAAACTATTAAGAAGTAATTCTCTTTTTATTAAGCATTTTTATTTATTAAATATTAAAGAGGTTATAAATAATGTCTTGTAACCCTAGAAATGGCGGAGGAAGAATATTTTTTTTGTGATTTTACCATCCGATCCATCCTTGCGTTTGGGTTGTTGGAGGATCTCGCTCCCAATGTGGGTGCGGGTCAATGCTTATTATCTTCATGGTACAAACCAACATACATATAGATGATCATCCGTTTCTTTCTTTAAAAAAATAAATAAATAATAATTCACTCGATTTGAATAATTTTTCAATTGATGCTTATTTTTAATCGAGTTTTAAGTTATTTTTTGTTATCCTAATGATTCCATGTGTGGAGCAGCTTTTGTTGCTACAAATTCCAATCATACTCTCACTTTTTGCGAGTGATTTCTCTCCTCCTGTTACTCTTCATAATTCATAACAATATCAATTATTATTATTATTATTATTATTATTATTATCATTTGGGAATAACATGGTTAATTACTTGCAGAATAATTTTAGAATTAGTGCTTATTTTTAATCGACCATTAAGTTATTTTTTGATCTTGAAGAATGTTTATCCAACGAATCCTGGAGCAGTTTTTGTTGCAATGAATTCTAATCATACTCTCACCTTTTGTGAATGATTTCTCTCCTCCTATTATTCTTCATAATCCAGAAAAATATTAATTATTATTATTATCATTTGGGAATAACATGGTTAATTACTACAGTGTGCAGGATGTAAAGTGTACCACAAGCTCGTGGACAACCTCAACCTTGTGGTTGAGTATGACTTGCGTGATGACAGAGATACATCTGATGATGCTGGCGGATAGGGCCGATGCATTATCATTTTACCATATTTGGAAGGTCAATATTCAAATCGATTCTCATATCAGAGATTCAACCCCCTTCACCCCCCAAGAATTTAGTGTTTTCCTATTATTTTTTCTCCTAAATGTATGTGTTTCTTCCCTGTTTTTGCTAGAAGATCCAACTACTGATCCTACCCCATTTACAAGCTTTTAAAGAAAATTTCTATATTCAGCTTCATCATCTATAAATAGAGGCAAAGAATGAATCACAGCAAGAGCAGATTGATATTGCACCAGGAAATTAACCAAGAATAGTACAGCCTGATGAGAACCCACCTGAGGAAAATCCGCAGGAGCACCCCCGCACTACATGCAGGCCATCATGCAGAAGATGTTGTGCATCTTGGTCAACAACTTCGTTGGGTAATTTATCAGGGAGTGCGGCGGTGGTGGCGGCGGCGGCGGAGGTGGCGGTTTGTTCTTCTTCCTCCTCAGCTGAAAGAACTGCTGCATGGCGTCTGCACACTCCGTGGCCAGGACGCCACGTCTTATGCTCATCTTCGGGTGGAAAGGGTGCACAGGCCCGTCTCTCCCCTCATCCCCAGTGGGGAATAATCTGGCGGACAACATGAAGAGCATAGTCAATCTCTTGGTTCCTCTCTTTGGCCCGGGCCGGGCCCTGTGAAGCCCAGTCTGAGAGAGAGAGAGAGAGAGAGAGAGAGAGCTAAAATTGACTGGTTTCCTCAAGATTTATAGAGCATGGAATGAAGATCTGACCTGACCCAGCTGCCGTCAGCTCCTAGAAGCTTGTTTGGAGCACCCCACACTATGGTGTCTATTCTAGCCTGAAGAATGGCCCCGGCACACATCGGGCATGGTTCCAGCGTCACATAGAGAGTCGTTCCCTATAAATAAAATAATAAAAAAAAAGAGCACAGACACAGACTTAATGGGCCATTTTCATCACACCGATTATGCCTCTTAACTTGTGTTTATTCCTAAAATTAGAAAATATTTGCCAATATGAAGTTCTTATCCACTCTGCTCCACAGATTCCCCAACAGGAAAGAAATGTGGGAGGAGAGGATGGGGGTGGAGAGCATCATTAGTGGTGTTCTTCAGAGATTACTCCTAGTCAATGAATTATATTGGGGTGGGATCAGCAAACCTATGTATAATTCGTCCATGAGGCGATGGGTGGCCGTATATTTCCATTTTTATCAAGTACAATGAGAGGTCAACGTGGAAAAAATAAATACCCAAACAGAGAAAAGTATTACCGCAAGACGCCATGTTCTGAGAAGGGTGGAAGCTTCTCGTATGCATATCATCTCAGCATGCGCAGTTGAATCCCTCAGATCTTCGACGCTGTGTGAAGCTCAATAAAGTCAAGAATAAAATTACAGAGAGGATAAAACTATAATAAGAGCAGAGTGGAATGTGTTGCTTACAGATTGCAGCCTCGAGCGATAATCTTCCCGTTCTGCACCAGCACAGCCCCTACGGGCACCTCCCAGATATCCGCGGCCTTCTTAGCTTCCATCAGGGCTTCTCTCATGAAGAACTCGTCGGTTGTCCTCTGCTCAGTTTCCAGCCTGTATGCATCTTCCCATTCCTCGAATTCCTCTCTAAGTACTTGCTTGTTCCTTTGAAGAGGTTTTCTCCTCTTCAGTTCGACATCCTTCCCCTCCATAGCATCGATTTCAGATGCCTTCTCTTTTATTTGTATGCCTTCTCTTTTATCAGTTTCTGTCCCTGCACCAGATGTAGAAGCTAAAGCACCTCCAAACGAAGAAGGCAGACCGACCATTGAAGGCGCAGAAGGAACGCCTGGCATTCCCTTTTCATCCACAATAGGGATTAAATTTTCTAGGGGAGGGACTGGGAGAGAGACTTGGGATCCGAGACTTCCCCCAGTGCTCCCTGTTGGGATCGACACATCAAGCTTAATCGGCGTTACCTGATCTCCTGGTCTCAAAACCTCGGAGGGTACTTGACCCAGGCTTGGACTCGAACTTGAAAGGGGTTTATCCACAGCTGTTTTGGACAGCTCTGACTCCACTGAGGCTCTTCTTCCCTTTCGTGCATTTTCTTCTTCATCATATTCTAATTCATGGCCAGAGTACCAAGCATCACTGCTCACAGATTCATTTGATGAACTCTTTGTACCGGATTTGACGGTTGGCTTTTGAGGATCAGCACGCGTTCTCCACCCAATTCGAAATATGTCTGCAACATAACCCCATAGGGATCTGCCAGATCTCTTAGTGATGGCACCACTGGTGCTTGGTGGAGCACTCGTCACGTCTGGAATTCTCGCAATGGAAGAGTCATCAGGTTCTTCTGTAGGGGAAGGCTCCTGAGAGGAAGCACCCCTCACATCCCAAACTTCATCAGATGGCCCTGTTGGATCAGACGTAGCTGAATGCTGTGGAGGGTCTTCCTGATTTCTTATCTCATCTTTATGTTTCACTGTAGCCTTTTGTTTCTGGGAAGATGATGGCTGACCTTCCCTATGAGTCTCAGATGAACCAGAGGATGCAGAATTAGATTCATCCGTAGCAGACACCTTCTGCTGCATTTTATCCAAAAATGCCTCAACATAGTGTGCAGAGGACTTATCGAAATTCGCAGCAGACTCGAGTACATCATCTTTGACAGGGTCAAACTCGTGGAGTGTCTGCCTTTGCCCAGTGGTGAAATGACTTTCCGATTTTCCAGTAGAAGTTCCAACCATCTCCTCGACCGAATCTGACTTTCGTTTCCCCTTTGCTTCCTGAACCAATACTAACAAAGAATCTCCTTCATTTGTCCTGGTATCAGATGACGGTTTTGAAACAGAAACATCTGCTGTTTGACCCTGAATGAAATCAAATGCCCTCTGTTGGGAATCATTTCTCGACATGATTTGCTGGGTTGCTTGCTTGTTCTCACTCTTCCTCTGACTCTGCACCTCATCAATCAGATTCACAGTTGACACTGAACTCTGTTCTTGGTCAACCGGTGCAACACTGGAAATTCCGGCTTCACTTCTGTAGACGTCTGGAACATTGGGGTGCCCTTGGGATTCCTTGCTAATACTTAATTCCACAATTACTTGGCGATCATCTATAATTTTCTTCTCTCTTCCCGCCTTAACCAGATGTTGAACTGACGTTGATACCTCTTCTTGGTCCTCCACCATGGTTTCAACACGATTTTGAGTTCCAGATGCTATGGCCGTATCATTCTTGTGCATCTCCAACACATCAGCAGTCTTCTGAGAACTTTCTCTCCAGTCAACACCTCCAATAACTTGTTTACCGATAATGCCAACTTGGTCTCTCCGTTCATCAACCAATCTGACTGCTGAACTTGTATCCTCTTTCTGCAAGTTCACTCTAGTCACATGATCCCTCCGCAATATTGAGTCAGTTTCAACACTGGTACTACGAATATCTCTTCTTTCATTGACTTTCTGTGAACTGTCTTTCAAATTGGTGTACCTAATGTTCTGCTCATCTAGAACAATATTAGTGTTATGCTCTTGATTTTCCTGATCCAAATAGACAGCTGAAGTTACACTCTTTTTGTTGTCATCTGAAACTGTAGTCAGACCCATTGTGTAGTTCGAATACCTCCCAACATTAGTTTCATGAGAATCTGACGTCTTTGCTTTTTGGCGATTTTGTCTCAAGTAATTACTGGTCTGCTGGTGGTCATTCGCGTTTTGCACCATCTCTTCCTCAACAAAATTAACACCTGAACTTGAACTCTCTTCCCTGACATCAGAGATTTTTCTGACTGATTTACTAGGATTGGTTTCCCTTACCTCGTTGTCCTCCGTCTTGAATGATCTCATAATCTTTCGACAATTTGCATTTAATTGCTCCATTTCAACACGCTGTCTTCGAACTTCCTCGAGCAAGCTCATTTGCAGGGAAGATCTTTCCTCCAGGTCTTCAGCCTTTGTGTGGGATGCGTTACTGGAGGAAGAGGCCTTCATGAGATTGGTGTCGTCCATCTTTGTTGTTCTAAGAAGGTTCTGGTAATCCTTCCGCAACTGTTCAATTTCAGTGCGCTGCCTTCTCAATTCCTCGAGCAAATCCACAGTTGAAGCTTCTTCTTTCATCACACTCAACATCTTTTTACTCCTGAAATCTGTCTCTTTAGCACTGCTCTCCTGCACAATGGATGTCCTTGAAACCTTTTCCAGCTCTTCTTTTGACTCCTTTTGTCCAGTGAAGAGGCGGTCATCCTGCACATGCCTCTCTCTGGACTGGCGGTCAGAGCTCAATGATAAAGTAGTACGATCCTGTAGATCTCTCTTCCTCACTTCTCTCTTCTTAGCGTCAGTTTCCGATCGAACAGTGCCATCTGAGGCATAGAATCTCCTTCTTGAACTTGAGTCATTTTCACTCTTCCAATCCTCTTTCTTGGCTATTTCATCATTCTGGCGATAGTAGCTTGAAGATTCGGCTCTATCTTGCCTCTGGCGCAGTTTACTGCTTCCAGATTCAGCTGAACTTGATGAAAATGAAGAAGCTGTTTGATGAGACGAACTCAAATTGCTTCTCCGCTCTGTATGATCATTCTTCCTTGAGGAATCTCTCTCGTTCCTGTAGCTTCCTCTAAACTTCTCGCCATACGACTTATTTCCAACCTTCCCCTTTACATAAGCATCCTCAAAAGCACCACAAGTACCTGCATTTACATCTATTCCAGAACACTCCTCGATCTCATCTAGTAAGCCCGACATATCCTGGAAGATCTCACCGGAGGCTCCGGGCCTAGAACCGACCCTCCTGGAGGCACAGCAGGTCCGCTTGCTCCACACTGCACTTGGACATGGATCCCCATTCCAGACAGCCTCCAATTTCCTGTACCGAGCCGCCGATCCCCCACCGTCGTCACAGGCAACGATTCTAAAAGGCGTGCAGCGGATCAAGGTCGCCTGCCTCAATAAGTACGAGTAAACAAACCTGGAACTCGCAAGGGTGCTACGGCAGGAAAATCCCGCCGCATACAAGGACGGCTGCGAGGTTCCCAGAAGGCATCCGCTTCCGCAGCAGCTGCCTCCCTCCGCCACCCGGTCGCCGGATAAGTAGACATGGCGGCGGTGATAGAATGAATCCTTCGACCTCAAGGCCAGTGCGGTGCTGTACATGGCACCGTCACAGGAAATTGAAACCTGTGAACCAGATTTCTGCAGCTGAGGAACTCAAACCAGATCGATGAATCCTGGCAATAACTGCTACGATGGAAGGAACAGACGACTCCGAGTTCACCTCTGCTCGATGGGATGCGACGACCGCCGAATGAGGACATACGGAGAGGATCGATCCTCCGGAGAGAGATGCGTACGCCAATCTCTTCCTCGATCCTTGGAACGCTCCTCCTCGGGGAGAAGCTGGAGGAGCCGGATGGGAAGCGCCAGAAGGGGGAGGAGATGGGTGGAGCCGCAGAGGAATGAGCTTCTGATTTCCGTGATCCGCAGGAAGAGGCCAGATAGTAAATTCACACTACGTGGCAAATTTATACTGGTCAAATAGTCAAATCTCGGTCCAAAACCGAGGCTCCCTCCCAAAGGAGTCCACAGTTACACTGGTCACTGTTTCGTTATTCCCATCCAAATAAATACATAAATGATATTATCCTTGAATTTTTATTTTTTTCTTAAAATAATGTAAAACGCGGGTGCAAGTTAAGGGGATTGTGTATGGGCCAATTTGATGGGCTGGATCCATAATAAAGCCCATTTAGGTGCCAGCCAGCCAGGCCCATTAACAAATATAGTAAGCTTATTTTTATCGGATCGTAATGTCGGGCCCAACCTGATCCGATTTGTGATGGCTATTCGCCACTCAGTCCGAGACCGACGTTGCGCCGTCCAATCTCTCGGCACGTCTCTCTCTCTCTCTCTCTCTCGCTCCAACTCATTTTTGGGGTCTTCTTGCCTTGGATTTTCGTCTCGAGGGCTTTAGATTCCAGTATCCCCGAAGGAAGAGAGCGAAGATGGACGAGGGCGAAGAGGATTTCGTCTTCTATGGCACGCCGATCGAGCGAGAAGAGGAGACGTCCCGGCGAAAGAGGAAGGCTGTCGCGGATGCGGGGCAGATGCGGAGTCTGCCTGTGTGGAAGCAGGAGGTGGATTCTTCACTCCCTCTTTCGTCTCTGGAGCTGTTTCTTCTTTTGAGTGTTTGCGATAAATGATTATCTTGAGTGCCGGGAGAAGGCGTCGCTTATGCGTTGTACTCTGCTTGGGATGTGAATTCTGTTCCAGAGGTCTTATCAGGTTTTCTATTTCTCGCTAGTGACGATTCTCTCGGATAGTGACGGGAAGAAGACGAGTTTTAGTATCGTAGCGTTGTTTATCTTCATGTTGTTAAAGATTTAACAATGCATATCCATTGCCCGCTGTCTCATTTGCCTGTCTTGCCTGTTCTACCGGAGAGGATACTCTCTGCATGATAAGAAATCTAGGTTTTGGAAGTTTTTTATACTATGGGGTACTAAACTGAAAAAAATTCCTGTTCTGAGTAGTACCCCGTGAACAGACGTTGAAAACTGTTTCAATGAGTATCCATAAAAAACATGAGATTCTGGTGCATTTAAAACCCTAAAAGCCACGATGACTTAGTCACGTAAACATGCTGTAATAACTCAATGCAACTAGTTTGTTATTTATGTGGCTTGGGTTTGAAATATTTAAACCACAGTCAGTAGCATCAATGCTCACCGAAACAAAACAAAAAAGAAAAAGAGGAAGCTTCTGACTTGGCCCGCTTCCTCATTGTTGGCATCATGTGCATCAGACATAGACACAATGAGCGAGATATTCAGCTTCTCTGCCTCAGGCCATGAATTTCGCATGCATTAATGCAAAATAAACTTTTTTTTTGCCACATGGTGCTGCAAGTTTGTCGTCCTGCCAGTGGTTAAAACTTACAGATTCGACATCGTTGGTAATCCCGTACAGTATGAGATAAATCATCAACTTTACATATCTGGAATGAGCGTGCTCCACATTACATAAATAATTATGCACTTAGGTGTTGTTTCTCCCATTTAATGCATCAACGAACACATTTGCTTTACTCATTTTGAACCGTATTTCCAGGTTACTGACGAGGAAGGGAGAAGAAGATTTCATGGCGCATTTACTGGAGGATTTTCAGCAGGCTACTACAACACAGTTGGTTCAAAAGAAGGTGTGCATTCAAAGAAATTCGACCTCTTGACATTTGTTCTGTTGGAGTTGTAAATCATTATTTAATGACTCTCTTTTTCAGGATGGACTCCACAGACATTCACGTCATCACGTAAAAATAGGGCAGAAGTGAAAAAGCAGAGCATCTATAGCTTCTTAGATGATGATGAGAAAGCAGTATGTCCGATATCCGCATTCTTTTCCTCCGTATTAAAATAGCTTCAGTAAACTACTGAGTAAGTTGATGGGAACTTGGGCAGATATTCTGAATATTTCACGAACCAATATACCTCGCTTCTGTGCCTTGTAGTCCTTCAGATCAATTTTCTTTAAGTTCGAGCTTTTTAATGCGTTTTTTTGTAAAACAAAGTCCATCCTTTGAGGGTTTCTACCATGTGGCCACTACTATCTAAACAGATAGAGACATGGTATTCACATTAGCTAATAAATCAAAACCCATCAGACAAAGTTGAGAAGGGTTGCAGTTCAATCGAGTGCCAGTAAAGCTTGAAATAAAGTTATTGACGTGACGTGGATCAGTGGAAAGACCTTGAGGTTTAGCAGACGATAAATAAATGTTTTATAAGCATGCTTAATGTCACATTTTTTGAAGAAAAAAAGTGAAAACCTCGCAATTGACATGGTATAACTCCATTAATTATGGGGCGGATTGACCCAAATATGCATAGGCTTATGCACTTAGGTTGAAGTTCGGATGAAATAAGAAGTCTAGGCTGGAAATAAAGAACTATCGTTGGCATGAAGGCTTCGAATCAAGAATTCATGTGAGACAGTTGAAGCTACCTGATTAACCGTTTTAAATGATCCAAAGGCTCAATGTCACCTGCCTCTCTACAAGCTATATTCTTTAGTATTTGCGTATTTTCCACTTCGATTTTATTAAATTGTCTACCTAAAATATTGGAGCATCTTTTCTCCCTTTCTCCTTTTATTTATTTTTTCTTTAATTCTTACTTTCATATTTTTTTAAAATGTTTAAGTCACCAACTAGATGTAATCAATCATAGTTTTGCTTCATATTTGGAATTTTGGGAGCATCTCTTCTTCTGATGTTGGGTGGCTTCCTTGCATTAAAATCTTACTGCTCGAGGTAGTAGGTTTTTTTGGTTTTCCTATGTGCCACATCATGAATGGATTGCAGATTAGTTAAATTCTGGAGTTCTTGGAATAGATATGTATCTATGTATGTATGTATGTATGTATGTATGTATGTATGTATGTAGGTATGTATGTATATCATTGCAATGAGTTTGCAAGGAGAAATATTGCAATGTGAGCTCTGTCATTTATCACTTGGGAGTTTGGCAGCTGGGTTGCATATAAATGTTTCTGATGCACTTTTGATCATTCCATGGGACCATTGGTGTTTTGTATTGTACAGTTAGAATCAGTCTACTGTTAGGATTTTTGGGGAGAAATTTGGCCTTTGTGTGAATATCTGAGAGTCACGAATCAATTTATGGGCCCAAACACTTAAATAATTACATTCTTAGGCTCATATATGCATTTTCCTTTTTTTATGCTGTTTTCATTTTCATCTTATTACCTTGTCATTTCGCTTATTTGTATGTCCAACTATTATTTCTGTTTTTTCTACTCGATTTTATTGATATACTGCCTATATTTTTCACTGTCTTTCAAATAGCATTCGAGTTTTGTTCCTACATATGTTCCTACTGGCTGCTACATTGAAGGAATGATTCCTCTGTGGCTCCCACATTGAGCATATCTACTTGTAAATGCCTTTCTTAAAATGGGTTATTATGCTATCCACTATTTGAAGAATTGTTTATCTTGCTCTTTCCTTTTTTACGGTGTACCATTTAGGCTTCATGTCGCCATCTTTCATGTGCTATTTGAGGTAGTTCAAGTGTAACAGAACACTGTGAAAAACTGTCGAGGATATGAGTTCCTTGTTCGTACTGATTTTCTTTTGATGTGAGTTCAGTTTTTGAAGTCGTCACTGAACACCTACGAATCCAGAGATTGACACTTTTCCTATGAAAACCCAAATTTTTTCAAAGAAGATATCACCTGTTGGGATTGATGTGGCCTGACAAACTAAATTTATAGTTCAAGATAGTCATTTTGTCCAGTATTCAACCTGCAGGAACTAGGAGGACATGGACTGGAAACTTCCTTGCAGTTTGATACCTTCGGGTTCACTGCTGCAGAAGTTGCTCGAAAACAGGCTGAAAAGGAGCAACAGATGAGGTCAGTTGTAGTGGCTACGTTTTTCTGCAGGTTTTATTTTCAAAATTGTGTTAAAGTCATAGGATTCGTCTCTATTTGTCTCTGTGCCAGTCTACTTTCTTTTTTTGGCGGTTGAGTCTATTTTTATCATTTGTGCAATCGCAGACCATCAGCTATTCCTGGACCTGCTCCTGATGAAATAGTGCTTCCGGCAACAAATTCTATTGGTTGGTTCTTGTTCCCTGGTCGACCAGTTGGGGCTTATCACTGTCACAAGAACAATAAATTCATTAATATGGGTCTTTTGTTATAAGAATAGGTGTGAAGCTGTTGTTGAAAATGGGATGGCGGCATGGGCACTCAATCAAGAGTTCACATACTGGGAAATTGTATGGTATGCTACTCTGACCAGCCTTTATAACCGAGAAAATTTTCACTTGTGTCATTCTTGTATATTGGTTATAATGGAAAAAAAAATGCGTGAAACATAATATTTCTACAAAATACTTGAGTGATGCTCTTTTTGTTAGTAAAACTTCAAGCGAGACTGAAGGCTCTACAAATGTAGTTCCATCCTTTTCCTTTTATTATTGTTTTCATATGAACATATGTGGTCTATCATTTACTTTACAGTGATACATCTTAGTGCTGGGGGCCTTATAGTTTTCGATAGTGTATTCTCCGAGAGAATTCAGGAGTTTTCCCTCTCAGACTGATGTGGATGAGGGGATGATGCAAAATCATTGTTTCAAACAGTGTATGATTTATGTCATTTTGCCAAACTTTAATTCACTACTCATGCTAATGAATGTATACATTGATGAGCTAGACATGAAGCCCTCATATTTTTGCCAAGTGTCCCTGTTTATGATCCCCAGTGCCTGGTTGGTATGTATCTGATGTTTATTCTGACTTTCCAAAACAAGGAAAAAATATATCTGACATCGGAGCAGGATCATCTTGAATATTAACTATCTTTGTCACTGACTATATAATGCATTGTTTGCTGATAGAAAAAGAAGGAAAATCCATAGCTTGATGGTAGACATGAACAATGGAACCAGACGCTCAACTTTGGTGTTATCCTACCGGAAAAAATATTCAATTAATCTGTTTTCATTTGTTGCCTTGATCTCTCGTTGTTTTTATTTCCCATCACTTAATCCCTACTGCATATTTTTCTTAGATGCACGTAGAGAAGCCCGAAAAGCATTCCTCGCATTGTCTGGTAACGATGACAGTTCAGAAATTGCGGAACTTGAACCCAGTAAGGTTGACTCTCAGAATCTTCTTGAGAGACATAATGACAGTGCCCAGGGTTTTGGAAGCACACCAGTAAGTGACATTGCTGACACCGCATTTTTTTTGTTTTCTTTAATCTGATCGCATTCTGTTATCTCATCTTTACTGGTTTTATTTAGTAAAGTGTTATTTGATCACTAGTTTCTTGCGAAATTGATTCATTTTTTTGGTACTCTGTCGATGGGAGGATCTAAGGATGACTCGAATTTCCAACAAATACCCGATCTTGGTTCTGTTGAAAATTTGCTAGTTGTTATTTTCTGTGTTCTTATTGGACTTCTTTCAGTATGCACAATACATAGAGATAGACTTATTGTAATTTTGGTTGTTCTTCATATTTTTAATCAAACTGAGAACGCTTTTGGGTATTTTCTTTCAAGTACATGATAAGTTGAGGAGATGATGCTATGATTAAAATTCTGAAGACAGTGATAACAAGCTTGATGTTAGATTGCCGACTTGTGAAATGGATGCAGGGTTGTAATATAAGTTGCGCCAACTGTTAATAAATTAAAAGAGGAATTGAAGGTGATTGGAAAGAACAAAACCAGCAAGTGACTCCCAATGGCGTGATGGCAGGATGGATTTTTTTAAGTTTCTTACACTGTTTCCATATAAATGTGGTGATTGAAAAAAACGTTCATCTGTGTGGTTGTTTACGCTTTTTATTTTCAAAACTTTATTTCAGGTTTTTGTTCTTGAGCCAAAGAAAGACCTACATGGTCTAGGTTTTGACCCTTTTAAAAATGCTCCTGAATTCAGAGGTAATAAGTTCTCAGATCACATCAGTTCCTTTCTGAACATTGTTTAACCACCAAATTTAATCAATATATCTTGTTGTAATCTTTTTCAGAAAGGAAGGCTTTGCATACATCTGGTAGTAAAGATCCGGGAACCAGGAATGCTTCTAGGAAAGGAGGGCTGTTTGTGACAAACTGCAAGTTTCTTTGTCTAAACCTGTTTTGATTATTTTTCATACGATCTTGTATATTTGAACTTATCTCGAATTGACCTTTTGGCTCTATCACCAGCAGGAAAACTTGCTCCTGGATTTGGAATTGGTGCACTGGAGGAGGCTGATATTGAAGATGAAGATATCTATGCTTCTAGTAAGTGCTGAATAATTTCAATATATCCGATGAATTTCTTTGAGCATGGTCGTTTTCGTGACTAATATAATGGTTTTAACTTATGTTATCATTTTATTTTGTTTAATTATATATGCGGGGAAAGTCATTAGCCACATTTTGCCAAAAAGTTGGCTGCTCCATCCTGTTAGCTCCAGCTGTCCTTATAATCAAGAGACTAATTATGTACGTTTTTTCCATGGAAATATATGTTCTTACATATCCTACTGAGATTGATGGCCATAGTGTGGCTACAACCATTTCTATGCACGAGCCTGCATGCTGTTTCTATTTATACTCACACCCACATCTGCTCCTTGGACCCACGTCTTACTCTGAGGGTCTGTTATCTCACAGATCATGCATTTCCATTTCGAAAGTGAATATTGACGGACTGATTGTGTTTCAGACTTAGCATATGTTTGCTCCGCAGATTTAGTACCTTCTGGCTTGGATTAGCCAATTCGGGTGGGAATTGACTCTCATCATCTCTAGAGTACTCATTTTTTATTAGATAAACTCTTTTTTTGGTACCAGGAAAGCAGAAGATTTTCTTGCTCGGTGAACCCCTTGTAGCCGTTCTGTTTTCCTCTTTCACGTTGCCCAGCATTTTTCACGGTTGCAGAGCTTCGTGGACATTAGTATTTGCTGAATTAGAAGTGAAGTAGTTCGGCCATCCACGGGCATTATGGCAATGGCTGCGCGAATGTTTTCTCAGGACAGTAGAGATCTTTATCGCCATATTAAGAAAGTTGACATTCGGTGAGGCGCTGGACATTGAGTCCGACTCTGGATCAACGGCGAAGAACTCCTCTTCTCTGCAAATGTAGAAGCTTTCATGTAATTTCTTCCAGTCGAGATCATTAGTTAGGTGATTATGGCCATCTCATGATCCTAAAACAAAAAAATTTAACGTTGGAGATGATATCATCATTGCCCTCCATTCAGTTCCGTTCCTTGGTGCCTGCCATGAAATTTGCGGCGACGCTACTTACCTTATATGTCTGCATCAACACTGATTTTCTCTTTGAGTGGGAGATGAGCTTCTCTGGCCTAGTTTATGTGGATGAAGTATTAGTTCCTTGTTTCGTTCAGAGGGTTTTGGAGTTGATGGCACCTCTGTTCCGACATCTTGTCTATCTTTGGATGGTTGTTCTCCAGATTTTGAATTCGAAGAACCCTATGTTGAAGAAGCGGAGCAGCCTTTGAGAATTGAACAAGATAGCAAGCTGAGATTAACTCAAAAGGAGCATAATGTTATTCGTGGCTTTAAAGCTGCCTCTAATGCAGATTACAACACAGAAAGGTAGCTCTCTCTCCCTCTCTCCCTCTCTCCCTCTCTCTCTCTCTCTCTCTCTCTCTCTCTCTCTCTCTCTCTCTGTGTTCTGACTTCCGTCACGCCTATTTGTCCTGCAGATTTCGTCCTCCAGTGATTCCACCCGATTTCCAGCCTCACCACAAATTCCTTGTTCCTCTTCAAGTTCTGAGCAAGCTGGGCAATCTGCCTCCCCCCCCTGAAGCACCTGCCCCAGAAGAGAAAGATCTGAAGCTCCTCATTGACGGCTTTGCAACGCTGGTCGCCCGCTGCGGCAAGTTATACGAAGATCTCTCGAGGGACAAGAACAAGGCCAACCCTCTCTTCTCCTTCCTCAGCGGGGGAAAGGGCCACGATTACTATGCGAGGAAACTGTGGGAGGAGCAGCAGAAGCGCCCTGACCATCGTGAACCGCAGGTCGATGGGCATCAACGGGCCTCATCCGTCAGGAAGATGACAGCAGAGAGCCGCGGGCGAATTCTGGGCGAGAAGCCATTAAAGAGGAGCGACGACAGCTCCGCCCCATCACCACCCACCTCTAAGCAGGCCATCCAGCTGCAGTACAACCTTTCTGACTCCTTCACGACGCCTGAATCTCTTGTGAGTGGGTTCTGCTTCTGGTTTCTGCACTCGGCAGTCCTCTACTCACTCCATTGTTCTTCGTCTTGCTAAGATCAGCAATTTTGGTTTTCCTGCGCAGGCGGGGCTTCCCGAGTCTGTGAAGCCATTCAGAGATGATCCGATGAAGCAGGCGAGGTTCGAACAATTCTTGAAGGACAAGTACCAAGGTGGGCTTCGATCTACGTACGCCGCCGGCAACAGCACCATGACGGAGGCGGATCGCGCCCGTGAGCGACTGGACTTTGAAGCCGCCGCCGAAGCTCTGTCTCAGGGGAAACCCCAGAGGACCCCCCAAGCTCAGCCGCTCCCATTGGTGGCCATGCAGTTTGTATCAGGTGGTGCAGAGGTAAGTAATGCCGGCCGCCCCATCATTAATTTTCTATTTCTGGATGGGTTTCCCTCACTGATAGGCTCTGTCTCGTGCTTGAGCAGAAAACGTATTCTACTCAGCACGAAGCGGCGGCAGTGGCGGCGGTGGCGGCGGCTGCAGAGAAGAACAGTTACCCGAAGCGGGAAGAGTTCCAGTGGAGACCGTCGCCCGTCCTGTGCAAGCGTTTCGACCTCGTTGATCCTTTCATGGGGAAGGTGGTTCTTCTTGAAATCATTTCTCCCACTGTGATTGATCATCTGGGTTTCTGAACAAGAATGTGGTTGATCATCGCGCAGCCTCCGCCATTGCCCAGAGCGAGAAGCAAGGTGGAGACACTGATCATCATGCCGGAGGTTTTCAAGTCCAAGTTTGAGGAGGCTGCCGACTCAGGCAGAGATACTCCGGCGTCATCTCGGTCGGAGATGCCTGACCAGATAGCAATCCCAGAGGCCGATTCCCAGCCCGAAGTCGCCATCACTGAGAGGCCTGTCGATCTGTACAAGGTGATCCTCTCCCCCCCCCCCACCCAAATGCGCCGCCAATAGTTCTTCCTCCACTGTTGTTCTGATCCCGTGCTTCGTTTCTCCAAAGGCCATATTCTCAGAGGACGATGAAGATGGCGACGACGAGGAAGAAGATGATAACCCTGCCGACAATCCCGCCGCCGGCGGAGGGATGAAGGCCGAAGGGGGTAATACCACGCTGAACCGACTGATCGCCGGAGACTTTCTTCAGTCGCTGGGCCAGGAGCTTGGACTGGAAGTGCCTGAACTGCCGCCGCTCAGCTCATCGAGAAAACCAGCTCCGGCGGCGATCTCCGGTGAACCAGTTCTCCTCCCGCCACCAGGGCGGGGACGGGGGAAGACGGAGGTCAACCTCCCTGGACCTTCCGAGGGCTCGTCCCCTGCTGCCGGCGCCGGCGACTTCTCAGAGCAGAAGAAACAGCGCAGAACCCACTCCGGCCATCGCCGGAGCGCTAGCGATGGCTCAGACTCTGAATCTTCTCAGTCAGACGGCGGCGGTGGCGGTGGCAGCAGGTCAGACAGTGACTCGAGGAGGAAGAAGCGTTCGTCCCACAGAAGCAGGAAACGGTCGTCGAAGCACCGTGAACGGAGCAAGAGCAGGGGATCTCCTTCGAGGCGTTCTTCTCACGGCGGCGGCGGGAGGGAGGAGAGGAGATCGAGAGGAGATCATGGTTCAAGATCGGGTAATCATAGGAGACACCATTGATGTGCAGGTAGCTGCTGCTTTGCATCAACCTGCTGTTGAATTGCAGGAAAAAAACGTCAATTTTGATCCGTGTTTATGGAATGAAGAGCCTTCCGTGATGTTCTTATTCCATTAACCAGTTGCAGCCATGGATGTGCTGGAGGTGCTGTTCCTCTAGCTCTGACCCATGTCTGGATTTTTCATATTACTCCCGTGATAGATAAGCTCCCTCTAGTAGGCTAGGTTGCAGGCAGCCATGGTGACCGAAGCTTCTTGGGCTGCATCTTCAACAGAAGAGACACTCGGATGATCGAAGGAATCTCTCTCTCTCTCTCTCTCTCTCTTTCTCTCTCTACTGCAACTGCATGGGTTTAATATGCGTTTTCATATTCATGTAGAGAAAGAGAAAGAGAGATCCCTTGGATCATCCGAGAGGATTACTGTCTATGATGCAACTGTGTGGGTTTTAATATGCATTTTCATATTGATGTAGAGAGAGAGAGAGAGAGAGAGAGAGCCCTTGGATCACCGAGAGGATCACTCTCTATGATGCAACTGTGTGGGTTTTAATATGCGTTTTCATATTGATCTAGAGAGAGAGAGAGAGAGAGGAGAGGGGGATTTGGATGGCGACTGTGTGGTTTTGGTTGGACCGCATAAAAAAGAAGGTATTTTTATGAGAAGTCCACAGGGCAACTTCATAACCCGGTGGCAGCCCCCGTTTGGCACGTTTCTACGCGTCATGTGGACCATGTGGGACGACCAAGTGGGCGGCTGATCTTCAGCCAGCGGTCCCCGGAACCAATTGAGCTTCGGCCTTCCTGTTGGAGGAATTAGACTCCGGCTCTTCTCTCTCTCTCTCTCTCTCTCTTTGAATCACATGCCGCCACAAGGAACTCGTCCTTCTCCTCGGCGACTTGACTTCCAAACACCGCGTCTCTCTCTCTCTAAACGAAGACGAAGAGAAGACGAGATGTGTTGCCTCTGGAGAAGAAGGTACTGCCTAGTTTCCTCCTCAGAGACACTAGACTTGGCGTGGGCGTCACATGGATTGCGGCTCGAAGGTCCCATGAAGCGATCCAGTTGACTTCCGTCCGGACGGGACTCCGCGTACGGGTTGAAGCTTGGATGAGGGGCTTTCAACTACCACGTGGCAGATTCTTTTGGTTCAACCGGCAATCCGCCGCTGTCTGAATGCCGTCCTGGAAATTTCTAGAAGCGACCAACGGGCTACCTCCGCCGCCGCCTAATCAATTATTCGACCCCACTATTTTTTCTATTTTTAAAATAAATTATTTATAAGATTAAAGCTTCCACTAACGTGCAAGGAGAGAGAGAGAGAGAGAGAGAGAGAGAGATTACACACGATTTCCGACAAGAAGATTCTATAGAAATTGCTTGTATCCATTTAACTATATAATTAAAAAAATCCTCTTAAATTCGTGTCGTGAGGTAGACGCCGACAGAAAGTCACGCAGTAAGACGTGGGCGCTGGCGTCGTTCTTCAACAGGGCCAATCAGCCGGTGCCACCTTTCAAGATATCGGGCGTCCACGGACTTATCGGGTTTGGATCCGATAACGTCGCATTCCGGAGCTGCGGTCCACGGGCCGTGGACTTGTCTCGGGCACCAAATCCACACGTGAAAAGAAGAGAGAGTGGGGCCGCATATCCACACACGGTATCACACGTGTGAAGAAAGGGGGGGGACTCTTCTGAACGGTTGCGCTATATAAAATATTATTTTCCGGAATTAATTATTTATCTATTTTATTATTATTATTAGATCATTTCGTATTCTCCACCCCACGAAGTATTTCCCGTTTATTATTCACCTTTTTTTACACGATTTAATTTTTTAGGCGCACTTGTGCAACGCCGCTCCATTTTTACTAATTTTGAATTATTATCTAATTAAACTAAATGAAAATATATAATTTAATGATTATTCAGGTCAAAAAGAAGCTAGCTTGAATAGCCACGCGAATTCAGTAAAACGTGGTTGCCATCGCATTTATTGCATTTAACAGAAGGAATTTAAATAATCTTTATTTTATTGGCCTCCCAATTAGCATCACACCGTAGGCCAACATTTTCGGTGACGGTCCCGCGAAAACGGGGTTTTCTTCGATATGTACAAGAAATGGGGTATAAAAGCCAAAAAAAGCACAAGTAATGGGTCGGACGCAAAGAATATCATCAAGTTTTCTTCTTTTTTCTTTTAAAAAAATCTGGGTTTTGATGCTGATGGGTGCGACGCGGTAATTGCACCAAAGGGGTCTCCCGAAACAGGTGAGTCCGCTCATTGCCCTCGAAACATGGTCGGTCCTTGAGAACCGGAAATGTTGAATAATTTTTATAATTTTCATAATTTTTATAATATCGAAAAAATGCTCGAAAACGTTGAGAATATGATGAATATGGAAAATAAATCGGAATCGCATGTCACGTTTAATGGCTGAGTCTTCGGTTAGTAGTCCTACGAGCGGTGAGAATATGTGGAGCGGTGAGGTTAACTCCCCCTCCTGGTCATGTTCTTCCCCCGCTTCCGTAGAATTTTCAGGTGCCCGAGTTTCCCTCCTTGCTGCACACACGAGAAGGGGCAGAGAGAGAGAGAGAGAGAGAGAGAGAGAGAGAGAGAGGAAGGAGAAGGTAGAGGGAAAGGAATTTCCTTAGGAAAATGAGGGGAAGATCGCCATGGCGACTGGGAAGGGGAAGCCCATTTCCTTCCCGCCACATTCGAGCAGGGTTTCGACGAGCACTCTCAGAGCGTTGACCTTGTGAGCGGCGAACAGGTCCATATCCTCTCTCTCTCTCTCTAGAGTTGTTCATCTCAACACGGTGACGGGGGGTGGGGGGAGGAAGAAGAAGAGGAGGAAGGAAGGGGCTATTAAGGTCTTCGGTCGTCCCTTCCGCCGCCGATTTTCTTATAGATTTCTGGGTGGCCCCAACTCGTTTTCATCGAGTCAAAGCCGAGAAGGATAGGCCCCCAGCTTCCTTACCCGTTCAAAGATTCAACCCATGCCGCCTCTCCTGACGAAAATTTCAAAGCTGATGATCTTCTTCTTCCTCCCCGTCCCCTTCCTCCCCGTTCTCCTCCACACATCTTCCCCATTTCCTCGCCGTCATCTATAAACAACCTGGGGGGAGGTCCTCGCCGCGGAGTCTGCTGCCGGTCAGATTCAGATTAAGAGCCCTCTCCTCCTCCTCCTCCGGCCGGGAGATCGGGCTCTGCAACTGGGCCTTCCCTGATCTTCTCCAATTTCTTCCCGCCGCCGGCGGCGGCGGCCGGTCGCCCTCTGAGTGTTCGACGTCGGCACCAAGATCTAGCAACTGGGTCTCCATCTTCTGCAAGCTCGAGCCGCAGGAAATCGGCCCTGATCCATCTCCGGAGTCTGCGGGTGGGTTTTGGAGATCAATTAGGGAAGAAGGCCTCGGGCGAAGTGCTGCTTCTCAGAGCTTTCCCCTCCGGCGAGGTTTCCGCAGAGATCGGAGATGGGGGGCGGGAGGAGGAGGATACGGTTCAGTAAGATCTACACCTTCTCTTGTGGGAAGCATTCTCTGCAGGAGGAGCATTCCCAGATTGGAGGAAGAGGGTACTCCCGCAGAGCCTTCGTCAATGAGCCCGATTGCCTCGAGGCGAGGAATCTCGCCTATGTCTCCAACTACGTCTCCACAACCAAGTACACCGTGGCCACCTTCCTACCCAAGTCCCTGTTCGAGCAGTTCAGGAGGGTCGCCAACATCTACTTCCTCATCAGCGCCTGCCTCTCCTTCACCCCCCTCGCCCCTTACACCGCCGTCAGCGCCGTCGTCCCTCTTATCGTCGTCATCGGCGCCACCATGGTCAAGGAGGCCGTCGAAGACTGGCGCCGCTTCCAACAGGTAAACCCCCACCCACCCTTCTTCTTCCTGGTTTCTCCTCCCCTTCCTTCTACTTGCTGGTTTCTTCTCCACCTCCTCCTACTTCCTGGTTTCTTCTTCTTCTTCTTCTTCTTCTTCTTCTTCTTCTTCCTGGTTTCATCATCCTCTTCTTCTTGCTGGTTTCTTCGTGGGCAGGATGTGGAGGTGAACAATCGGAGGATCAAAGTGCATCGGGGGGGCGGCGAGTTCGACAGCACGGATTGGAAGAATCTGAGGGTGGGGGACATAGTGAAGGTGGAGAAGGACCACTTCTTCCCCGCCGACCTGGTCCTCCTGTCCTCGAGCTACGAGGACGGGATCTGCTATGTGGAGACCATGAACCTGGACGGGGAGACCAACCTGAAGCTCAAGCAGGCCCTGGATTCTACCTCTTCTTCTCAGGAGGATTCGAGTTTCAGAGACTTTCGGGCCGTGATCAAATGCGAGGACCCCAACGCCAATCTCTACACCTTCATCGGCACCATGGATTACCAGGGCCAGCAGCTCCCCCTCTCCCCCCAGCAGATCCTCCTCAGAGACTCCAAGCTCCGCAACACAGAGCACATCTTCGGCGCAGTAATCTTCACCGGGCAAGACACCAAGGTCATGCAGAACGCCACCGACCCGCCATCGAAGCGGAGCAAGGTCGAGCGGAAGATGGATAAGATCATCTACCTGCTCCTGTGCATGCTGTTCTTGATCGCCGCCATTGGGTCCGTCTTCTTCGGCATCGCCACCGACGAGGACCTCTCCGGCGGCAAGATGAAGCGGTGGTACCTCCGACCGGACGACACGGAGATCTACTTCGACCCCAAAAGGGTCGCGGCGGCGTCCATCTTCCACGCCCTCACGGCCATGCTCCTGTTCAGCTACTTCATCCCCATCTCCCTCTACGTCTCGATCGAGATCTGCAAGATCTTGCAGAGCATGTTCATCAACCAGGACGTGGCCATGTACTACGAGGAGGCCGACAAGCCCGCCCACGCGAGGACCTCGAACCTCAACGAGGAGCTCGGGCAGGTAGACACGGTGCTCTCCGACAAGACGGGGACGTTGACCTGCAACTCCATGGAGTTCATCAAGTGCTCCATCGCCGGCATCGCCTACGGCCGCGGGGTGACGGAGGTGGAGAGGGCGCTGGCCAAGAGGAAGGGCTCCCCGCTGCCGCCGCGGTCGGAGGACAGCGAGTGGAGCGACGGCGCCGCCCCCGCCCCCGCCGTGAAGGGATTCAACTTCAAGGACGAGAGGATCATGGGAGGGAACTGGGTCAACGAGCCCCGTTCCGACGCCATACAGAGATTCTTCCGCCTGCTCGCCGTCTGCCACACGGCCATTCCCGAGCTAGACGAGGACTCCGGCAAGATCTCCTACGAGGCCGAGTCCCCCGACGAAGCTGCGTTCGTCATCGCCGCCAGGGAACTAGGCTTCGAGTTCTACCAGAGGACCCAGACGAGCATATCCATCAACGAGCTCGATCCCTCCTCCGGCCGGATTGTCCAGAGGTTCGTCGATTCCATGCCCAACGACAAATACCTATCCGCATAGAATTAACCAACATGCTGGTGTTCTACTGGTTCATTTCTTGATGATGATGATGTTCCTTGCAGGGGGTACAAGCTGCTGAACATCTTGGAGTTCAACAGCACCAGGAAGAGGATGTCCGTGGTGGTGAGAGACGCAGAGGGGAAGCTCCTGCTGCTGAGCAAGGGCGCCGACAAGTTCGTGACTTTTCTGTGCCGAGAATGTTGCTGAATCTGTGCTGCGATTTTTTGCTTGCTGATCGGCGTGTCCGTGGGCGTGTGCGCAGCGTCATGTTCGAGCGGCTGGCGAAGGGGGGAAGGGAGTTCGAGGAGGCGACCAAGGAGCACATCAAGGAGTACGCTGATGCGGGGCTGAGGACGCTCATCCTGGCCTATAGGGAGCTGGCCGAAGAGGAGTACCAGGCCTTCAACAAGCTCTTCACTGAGGCGAAGAACTCGATCAGCGCCGACAGGGCCGACAAGGTCGACGAGGCGGCGGACAAGATCGAGCAGAATCTCATCCTCCTCGGCGCAACCGCTGTGGAGGACAAACTCCAGAACGGGGTACGTGGGGTTTCCTCCTTCTTAGTCCTACGATTATTACCATTAATAGACGATCAAAGGGGGAGCTTATACGACGCCCCGGATTGGATGATTTCAGGTCCCCGAGTGCATCGACAAGCTTGCCCAGGCGGGAATCAAGATCTGGGTGCTCACCGGAGATAAGATGGAGACAGCCATCAACATAGGGTAACCATGAAAGCCTCTGCCTCTGCCTCTGCTCGAGAGAGGCTGACCTTCGTCGTCAACCTGACCCCTCGTGTCCTCGTGTTCCTACAGCTTCGCGTGCAGCCTGCTGAGAGAAGGGATGAAGAAGATCATCATCACCCTGGACTCGCCCGAAATCAAGGCTCTGGAGAAGGAGGGCAACAAGAGCACCATCTCCAAAGTAAGCGAGCTCTTCTTCCCCAACATCCAGACCGAGGGAGCAGCCGGCGGGAAGTGGTTTCTCACTTGCCTGTGTGCCTGGTGGTGTTTCAGGCATCGAAGGCGAACGTCGTGCAGCAGATAACGGAGGGGAAGTCGTCTCTTTCCAAGTCCAAAACGGACGCCTTCGCCCTGATCATCGACGGGAAGTCGCTGGCGTATGCTCTCGAGGACGACGTGAAGAATATTTTCCTGTCTCTCGCCGTCGGCTGCGCCTCCGTCATCTGCTGCCGCTCCTCCCCCAAGCAGAAGGCCCTGGTCAGTCTTCTTCTTCGTCATCATCATCTTCTTCTTCTTCTCCCTGGTTTTCATCTTCTTCGTCTTCTTGTTCTTCCTGGTTTCATCATCTTCTTCTTCTTGTTCTTGCAGGTGACGAGGCTGGTGAAGACCGGCACGGGGAACACCACGCTGGCGATCGGCGACGGCGCCAACGACGTCGGCATGCTGCAGGAAGCCGACATCGGGATCGGCATCAGCGGCTTCGAAGGAATGCAGGCCGTCATGGCGAGCGACATCGCCATCGCCCAGTTCCGGTTCCTGGAGCGGCTGCTCCTCGTTCACGGGCACTGGTGCTACCGGCGGCTGTCCACGATGGTACGGACCCACGCGCGGTGGCAACGCCGCCACCCTCTTCTTCTTCTTCTTCACTCCGCCTTCACCGTTGTACTGGCTGACGAATGTGGTGTGCGCCGCCGCAGATATGCTACTTCTTCTACAAGAACATCACCTTCGGCTTCACGCTGTTCCTGTTCGAGGCGTACACGTCCTTCTCCGGGCAGGCCGCCTACAATGACTGGTTCATGGCCTTCTACAACGTCTTCTTCACCTCGCTGCCGGCCATCGCCCTCGGCGTCTTCGACCAGGATGTCTCCGCCCGCTACTGCCTCAAGGTACACCGCCGCCGCCGCCGAGCTCAATCGAGAGACCCTGCAGATTTGATTTGATTCGATGTTAGTGAGCTGAATGAATAACCTGGTGGCCGGATGCAGTTCCCCATTCTGTACCAGGAAGGCGTGCAGAACGTGCTCTTCCGGTGGCGGCGGATCATCGGGTGGATGCTGAACGGGGTCTGCAACGCCGTCGTCGTCTTCTTCTTCTGCGCGGCGGCGCTGGAGCACCAGGCCTTCCGGAAGGGCGGCGAGGTCATCAGCCGCGACATCTTCGGCGCCGTGATGTACACCTGCGTCGTCTGGGTGGTCAACTGCCAGATGGCACTCTCCATCAGCTACTTCACGCTGATTCAGCACGTCTTCGTGTGGGGCAGCATAGCCACCTGGTACCTCTTCCTGCTGGCCTACGGCGCCATCACGCCCACCATCTCCACCACCGCCTTCAAGGTCTTCGCCGAGGGGTTGGCCCCCGCGCCTTCCTACTGGGTGCTGACGCTTCTCGTCGTGGTGGCCACGCTCATCCCATACTTCGCCTACGCGGCCATCAGGATGAGGTTCTTTCCCATGTACCACGGCATGATCCAGTGGCTGCGCCACGAGGGCCAGTGCGACGACCCAGAGTACTGCCAGATGGTGAGACAGAGGTCCTTAAGGGTCACCACCGTAGGGTACACCGCGCGGATTGAGGCCAAGTCCGGCCACCACCACCGCAAGCACAAGGTGCACAGTAACCTTTACGCCTCGTGAGATTCTTCTTCTTCTTCTTGCCTGCAGCAAGGGAAAAAGTTGGTGTATAGGGAAAAGCTGAATTGTGGGCGCCGCCGCGCCTGGACTGCGGGTCTCTGTGAATACCTGTGTCTGTATATCGGGCATCCAGGTTCTGGGCTTCTTGATGGAGCTTCACATTTTTGATTTGATTGATTTTTTCTTCTTCGAACGCCCCGGCGGCGTTTCGTTGTATCCTCCCTGAAAATAAATCTGTAGATGAAAATTAGAAAAATATGGCTTCCCTTGTCGGAAATCATTGTTCTGCTTCTCGATGGACCGCCTGATCTTTCTGTGTCGCGAGGGGGACAGGGGAAAAGTCAAAAGCTTGGAACCGAGCGAACGTGAAGAGCAAGCAAGGCCACGTGGGTGGTTACAGCTGCCTCCGGCTGATTCCCGCGGCATCGTGCTTTCCTTGACCTGCGTCCGAGTCCTAGTTCAAGGAGAAGAAGAGGGGAATCAATGTCCTCCGGCCACCTCGCTTAAGTCGTAGTCATCCATCCATGGTGTCGTAAGAGGCGTGCGGTGGACGCACCCGAAGCTATGATACAACATACAAGTAGTCAGAAGTGTTGATTTAATAAAAGGGAAGGAACAGCATCCCTTAAGTGGAATAGTTCACCTGTCATTTAGAGGTTTTAATAAAACAAGTATAAGCAATCAATTCAAAGACAAAAAAGAAATCACTAATACCGGTGATTGGTTGAAGGCTTAGACGCCTCTTTCTTTGAGGCATGTGTCTTCGTCGGGAGATCCCCGAGAGTACGCACTCTCATGAGAACATGTGATACGTTCACATGTATGGTCAAGGGCACCATGCCCACTCGATCTTCGTGACCTTGCTCTAATCACGCTGATGGTGACTTAGCTGGTGCCCTTGATGACTGGGAAGACCCAGATGAAGCCGTTGATTGAACTAAAAGCTCAGTGTCTTGTATACATTAAAAAGGATGCTGAATTTACATCTATGTCTATTCAAAGAATTAATACTTTAGTATTTGAAACGTCACAAGATGACAGCAAAGCAATCTAGTACATTGAGTAGTCAATATGTGCAGTACAGGAGACAATATTAGATGGTTATAAACTTAACAGAAGCAACTCTCTGTTGAACCCTGATACGATAGGTTAGTTACCTAGGATTGATCCTCTCTATACGCGCAAGGATTAGCCAAGTCACATGATAAATGTTCTTAAAAAATACCTATCGTTCGTAAGATAGTCCACAGACGAAAGCCCCGGTCCCAGATGGGTCAGCTCGAATAGCAAACGAGTTGGGGCGATTAGACACAAATTTTCAATTTTCAGGCATCAAAATGATACTGGGTTTTTCAACATTGGTTTAAACATTGCAAACATCAGATAAACCTGCAGATCATTTCCAAAGGAGCCACGCATTTGCTGCTCTAATATTACTATTATTTAAAATATTTTCCCATTTTGCTTGGGTTCTCCAGAAATGTCTTACTAGCCAGGTTTTTAACACAGGTGAGACCAAATGACATGATCAAACATATTTTGCATTATATACACCTTCAAAGTTTGAAAATACGTTTTTTGGGCCTTATCAACGGCACAACATAGCAGAACCTGCTCAGATAGCAATAGTTTCATTTAATTCCAGTGGAAAACTTAGCCAAATTAACCACGAAACTGTCATAATGACGCCGGTATTCTTTGTATCCGTCAAAATATTAGGTACCCGTTTTCCCACTAAACATATGCAAGGGAGACTACTACTGTGTATGCACGAACTACATAGCCTCATGTTTGAATGACTAGGCTGGAGATATAAGGCTCCACATTGCCAGATAAATTTAACTGATAACTTCACTTGTTCTTCAATAATTGATCCTGATAGTCGTCAAAACAATGCACTTAGCACCAGTATTTTTCCAGAATATTTCGTAAGATACCAAGTGTACTCTCTAGCTTTATCAAAGTCAATGAGAACAATCTCAGGTGTCGCATCCCTGAACTTATCTGGCGACTGTCAGCTAGGATAGTAGAAGAGAACGAGCTTCAAGAAATCATATGATGGAAAATTTTAGGATGCCAACTCATATGCATAGGTAAGGAATAAGCAGAGATTATACATTCCAAAATATATTGCAACGAAACATCAGTTAAATAAATCTGAATATTTAGAGCACCGACTGAAAACAGAGACGATCATAAAGTACGAGTTAACAACTCAAAACTGCACGATGAGAAAGATGAAATCCATTGCTAAAGAATTAACAGCCACTACGCGAATCCCATGGGAAAATTCCTGACTTCTATTTGAATTTCAATGATAGAGGGAATATTCAACGCGACAGAGGTAAAAAGATGGAGCCCAGGTACTCATGCGAATCAGGAAAAACAGCCACAACAAGGTGGATCGAGGAAACAGCATCGAGATAAACGGATGATATCGATTTCCCTCTATCTTTTTCTTTCATTCTTGAATAAGCATAGTGTAGTTCTTCTCGTCACAATCGAGACCGGTGTGCTCTACTCACTTTGAACCGCGGGAAGAACTTGGGCTTGAAATGACCTACCGACGACGTCAAGCCAGCCGGCCGGTCAGGTGGAGCTGAGACGACAACGACGACGATAACCCAGCAGCAGCCGCAGTGCTGTCCACATCTTGTGCGGCTCGTCTTCCTCCCCGCCGGAGAGGAATGAAGAGTAGGAGGATCGCCCGTCCACAGGCCACCACCACACCGACGCCTTGCAACTGCCACACCGCAGGTAGGGGATACAATCACCGTTCCAGTCAGCGAAAAGCTGGTATGCCGTCACCACCAGGTGCCTTCGATCTCTCTCGTTCAACCCAGGGATAACGACAAGACGTAACGGCCATCTGATCAGATCAAGAACATCTGACCACTGCTGACCGTCGATGTCACCATCTCCCCTCACCGGAGACTTTTAACTTACGCCAACCGGACTTCCACGACACGGCCGGCGGCGCAACCGGACTTCCACGGCGGCGCCCCCGCGTCGTCCCCTCCTGTCCTCCTCCTCCAGAAGCTTCCAAAGCCGAACTCTCCCCGCCGGTGAAGCTCCGCCATCACCTCCTCCGCCTCCGCGATCGCGCAGCCGCGGCAGGCGGCGGTGGCGCCGCCCCCTCCCAAAACGTCGCCGTCTGAGAGCCACATTGCGACGTCCGCCAGATCTCCACCGGTGGCGGCCCCCTCTCCGGCAGCACTCCGGCGTCCTCCACCGCCGAGCTTCCTCCTCACGAGCTCCCTGGAGTTCCTCGCCAGCCTCCGCGGGACGCCGACCACGAGGAGGACGAGGATCTGGACGACCAGGCAGGGGCAGCAGCTGCAGACCGCCACGCAGTCGCCGGCGAGCTGCCGCCGGTCCTCCCCCATCGGCGGGGCAATGACGATCCACATCCAGAGAAGAGGAGGTCGCCGCTTCTGTGAAGGTAGTGGGTGGCTTGAAATGGCGGGCAATCGCTCATCGGAAGAATCGCATAAAACTCGGGCTCCAATAAAGCGCGCCATCGATACCATAAACAATGCTACGACCCTTCATTATTTATAATATTTGCAATTTTAATATTAATCCACTATAATATATTATCTGAGAGATTGTTTGCACCAGATTATTCTAAAAGTCGTTATTTTTGCTTGAGATAAAATAAAAATAATAGACGAGGGATCGTGGTTTAGGAAAAGGGCATATTTGGTATATGTGTTTAGTCGGGGGCTTTCTGCCATAGCCGGACCGCGAGGGGGGGGGGGGAGGCAGCCAACCGCGCCGGAATCGGCCGGCCGTTCCGGTCACGTGCCGAGTTTCCGTTCCGGGGCGATGCCGTCGACGGGGCAGCGACGGGCTGCCGGGCCGGTCGCGGGAAAACGCCGGGCCACGTCAGCGAGTCACGTGCGTCGGCGTATGACTGTGATCGGCACAAAACGTAAATATGGTAAATTAGAGGGGTAGTTGAAGAAGTGAGAGTAACCGCTTCTCTGCGCCTCTGCCTGTCCCATGCAGGCTTGAAGCAATGAGAGTGAGGACACCTCCTGTATTACGTCGGTTACCGCACCGCCCGCCTCTGTTGGGGCTAATATAACCTTACGCGGTAACGCAGGCGGAGGTCCGGATCCGGGCCGTAATCGTACGGATATACGAGGTTTTTCTGTCTATTTAACCTTCTTCCTTCTTCCTCACCAGGCCTCATCTTCTCCTCCTGGTCTCTCAGATCTGCCTCTCTCTCTCGCTCTCTCGTTTTCTCTGCGGATTGCTCAGGTTCTCCGTCGGTCGGGGATCCTGGGGGGGTGAAGATGGTGACCGCGGAGACTGCTCGGAGTATCGTGGGGATTACAGGTGCTTGAGGAGTACCTATGCTTCGATGGATTTGCTAGGGTTTTTTGTCCCTTCGATCTCTCTATTGTTCTGATGCTTAACCGATAAAACGCCTGACCACTGGACGGGTGATGAAGCACTGAGTTAGATAAATTTGCGTGCATGAAATGCTTCGTGAGTTGATCTCGGACATGAAAATAGTATCGACACCAGAAGGACGTACTACTTTGGCGCTTCTTTTGGTGTTCTGCTGTTCTGCTCCTATTAAACCGACAGTGACACTGGAATTTTCCTTCAGTGTGCTCCTGCATTGATCACAGGCGTTCTCGTGATTCTAACTACTTTCACTTCTTTCTCTCTCTCTAGGGAATGTGATCTCGTTCGGGCTCTTCCTCTCTCCTCTGTAAGCCCCTTCGTCTACTCTTAGGCAGGATCCCAGCGGTTCCTCTCAAGCGTCTGCCATCGATCTTGGATCTGACGATGGATGCACGTTGGGTTAATCGTTTGATGGAGATTCCAGCAGAGGCCGTGGATCGTTTATCGGCATCTCCATGTCCTGTGTCGTTAATTAACGAAAACCCACGTTATCTTTGTGTCTCAGGCCAACCGTCTACAAGATATGTGAGAAGAAGGCAGTGGAGGGCTTCTCACCGATCCCCTACCTAGCCACCCTTCTCAACTGCATGATGTGGGTCCTCTACGGCATCCCCCTCGTCCACCCCCACAGCCTTCTCGTCGTCACCATCAACGGCACCGGCCTCCTCCTCCAGACCATCTACCTCACCATTTTCATTCTCTACTCCACTCCCCCTCTCAGGGTAACGTACTCATCGGGCTACTCCTTTTCCGGTCTCCTCTTTTTTTATTTTTTGCTTCATCGATGCCGTTCCGTTCCTGAATTTCCTCTTCCCATCCACGATGGTGCGATCGACAGCGCAAGGTTCTAAAGTTCGTCTCGGCTGAGATTCTGTTCATGATGGCCGTGGTGATTGGAGTTCTCATGGGAGCTAAAACCCATGAGAAGAGGTCGCTCATCGTCGGGGTGATGTCCGTCGTCTTCGGCACCTGCATGTATGCCTCGCCGCTGGCTGCCATGGTTAGATTCTCCGCACTCGCTCGTCTCGCTTCCCACCTACCTGCATGCCTTCACTGACCGATCGCTCATTCCAAAAACCTCGGCCCCCGCCTTGAGATCCTATTCTTCGATTGCAGAGGCTTGTAATCAGGACAAGAAGTGTCGAGTACATGCCCTTCTCTATCTCCATGGCATCGTTCCTGAACAGCATCTGCTGGACGCTCTATGCCGTCATCCGCTTCGACATCTTCATCACCGTGAGCCGACGCCATCCTATTTCTCCTGGACTCTCTATACCCGTTCAGTGCAGCCTTTGACGGCCCTCCTACTGGGCCATTCTCCTTCTGGACTTTTCCTCCTCGCAGATCCCCAACGGGCTTGGGACCCTGCTCAGCTTGGCGCAGCTCGTGTTGTACGCCACCTACTACTATTCGTCGACGCCGCCCAAGGACGAGCCCAAGCTGGACCTCCAGCTGCCGACTGCGACGGTCGCCCCTCGCAACGACAACGCGATCCCCTTCATCTCCACACGATGATCATCCGGGGAGGCCATCCATCCCCTCATCTGCTCTACTTTTACCGAGATTGGCTCATGCATCTTCCCCTTCTTCTCCCCTGGATCACCTCTGCTAAGTGTTTACTCCTGTGGATCATCCTCCTCTCGATTGTGTTACTCACCGAGCTTCCTCCGTCAACTCCTTATAATAATCCCCACGTTTTGCACCTGGAGATCCCTGGTTTCCCGGGTCGGACAGGCCTGGAAGATGGGAAACGTCCGCCGAAAATCGACCCTCGCCGCCGCGACCCCGATTCGGAGAACCCCCGCCGTCCACGGCGGCGATTCGGTTCGGTCCCCATCCATCTTGGGGAAGAGAGAAGCAGGTGGGCGGCGGCGCTGTTCAAGCCCCCCGCCCCCACGCCATTCTTGGGAAACATTTCCCTGCTGTCTAAAAATCTACACTTAAGACGACCCATCACACCTAAAACGCCTTAATGACGCCCATTAATCCTACCTGCAATTCTCTAACCCAGTTCTTGCCGTTCAAAGATAATCACCGACATAATTTCAGATTAATAGCTACTACTCTCTCTCTCTCTCTCTCTCTCTCTCTCTCTCTGTCATCGTTTTCCATCATCAAGGGCCCTCCGGGTGGCGTGGGGGGTACTCTCTGGAGGAGATAGCCTTATCCAGAAACCAGGCGAGGGCGATTCGCTCCCCGGCTGCGAACCTTATCCCTGCGTCCAAATCACTGCCGCTCTTCTCTGGTGAGGTGAGTACAGTGGGGTGAGGAGGGGATCCAAAACTTGTGTCTCAGCTCCACCATGGCGGCTCTCCTCTCCTCCCATCTCCGCCCCTGTGGCTCTTCTCTGGTGCTTCCAGTGTCTCCGGGGGGAAGGAACTGCTACGGCGGCCGTTCTATCCGCCCGGAGGGAGGAGTCGCCTGCTTCCGTCGCTTGGTCTGCCGATCGTCCTCCTCTTCATCCTCGAGGTCGTCTTCCCCCCGGTTTGAACCAGATGAATGTCAGGTGAGTCCTCTCCCTGAATTCCTCCCGTTATCTTCTCGTTTTCTTATGCTCCGTTGAATTATCTCTGGTCCCGGCTCGGCATTGATGATTCGATCTAAACAAGTGGCGATCATCTGCTTGGATTCCCGAGAACGGGGTCGTCACGGGAAACCTGTTGAATAGATCGCAGGTGGCGATCCAGCGATCCCCAAATGCTCGCTTATTCGGCTTGCTGTTTCTTCAAATCATCTGTTGAGAATTGAATTATTTCAATTTCGTCATCTCACTGTGCTGCATTTTTGTGTCGTTCGTTGGCCAGAAGGTGATCCCACGCTTCCTAAAAGAGGGCGTAGTTTCTTTGGCTCTGGCCGTCGGACTTCTCGCCGGAGCGCCGGCACTGGACGTTCCTGCGTATGCCTCTCCATCGGGACCTGTTGTGCCCGACCTCGCCGTGCTGATATCCGGCCCTCCTATCAAGGATCCCGGAGCACTGTTGAGGAACGCTCTTCCCATAGACAACAAGGCCATTAGGGAAGTGCAGAAGCCGCTCGAGGACATCACCGAGAGTCTCAAGGTTGCCGGCGTCAAGGCGCTGGATTCGGTGGAGAGGGTAAGCAGCAGATGGAGAATCTCCTCTGTTTCTTCCTGTTGCAGTCAAATTATTACGGTTTTCTAAAATAGGGTTACTTCTGTGCTTTCAGAATGTGAGGCAGGCGTCCCGTGCTCTCAGCCAGGGGAGATCACTGATTCTGTCAGGCCTTGCAGAGTCGAAAAGGGCACTGGGGGAGGAAACCCTGAGCAAGTTGGCTGCTGGGTTGGGCGAGCTCCAAACCATTGTAGAAGAAAGGAACAGGGATGCAGTGGCCCCAAAGCAGAAGGAGCTTCTTCAGTACGTTGGAAGGTAGGCAATTTGCTTCCAATATCCATCTCTCTCCTTTTTTTTATTTCCTTCATGCATATTAAAATATGCCCAGTTCTTCTCTTAAATTTCTACTTTTCTGAAATCCTCAAACCTCTCATAACCGGGGATCAGATTTCAATTGGGACTATATGCTCTGTCCTAAAAAAAATCCCCTCATTGATATTTTTAATACATGTTGGGTGGAATTTATTTTTCATGGAGGTCAGGAAATAGGTTTAAACACTTTTATCTCTTGGCCTGGCATTATTAAGTTGTCTTTCTCTGCCTGCCATTCACTTTTTTTTTCCCTTCTTAAGTACATATTGTTAAATCTAAAGGATCTAATGTTGATATCAATGAAGAATGATAAAACATACATAGAATGGATTAAAGTCATATCTGAATCCATGAAGTCACAAATATGAAGATTGTCTTTTAGATCAGCACAGAAAAATCGTGTAATGACTTACTCAAAAGAAATTGGATACTCTAAAAGTGACATTCAATGTGTGACCCAAGAACTATGACTCATTTATAGACAAGAGGTGATTAATCTCTTAGTATCTTCTTTTTAATATAGTCTATCATAAAATTAGAATAGAACTTAATCTCTACACATATTTATATTTACACTCATACTTACGAGAGAGCTCGTAATCTTAAATACTTACAACTTCAATAAATCATTTTAAGTGGAATTAACTCAATGATAACATCATAATACACAATTCATATATAATTTTTCACATTGAGATTAATTTAAAAACACATCACTTGTTATGTAATTAATTTATGACCAGCATATGATGAACACAGAATGTGTATTTAATTATGTAATTAGGGTGGTATAAGTTATCTCTAGAAACATTCAATTGAGAAACAAGTTTCAGTTGGGTTGTCATCTAGATCGATTCTCCTCCATTCTATGGTGATGGTTGCAACCCGTTTGATCTTCGTTACCATTCTCCTGATTTCGTGCATAATCAATGATTATGCAAGATCTGGAACAGAATAAAATTTTTCTGAGAACACCTCGAGAGAAATTGTTCTCATATAGATCCTTGTGATTGACTGCAGCTGAGATCTTCCTGGGACATTGGATTTCTGCAGTGTTGAAGAGGATATGGTGGATGGTTTCCCAATTGAGGTGCCCGAAGAGTACCGCAATATGCCCATTCTGAAAGGGAGGGCGACAGTGGATATGAAGGTTAAGGTCAAGGACAACCCCAATGCCCAGGACTTCGTCTTCCGCATGGTTCTGGATGGCTACAACGCTCCTGTGACTGCAGGGAATTTCCTCGATCTCGTCCAGAGACACTTCTACGACGGCATGGAGATCCAGAGAGGTAGCCCTCTGAGCCTCCCATTCCATCCCTGAACGCATATCCCATATCGCATATCTCTTCGATGCTGGCCGCTGATGGTGCATTCTGCTGCAGCGGACGGCTTCGTGGTCCAGACCGGAGATCCTGATGGTCCTGCCGAAGGCTTCATCGATCCAAGCACCGAGAAGATCCGCACGGTTCCGTTGGAAATCATGGTGGTCGGCGACAAATCGCCCATCTATGGTGAAACCTTGGAGGTGAGCCCCTGTTCCCATGGTGGATCAAGGAGAGCGATTTCTACCCATAATAGGAAATGGAAGGGGCCTCGAGCTTTCATCTTGTTCGAGCTCCGATCTGTGCGGGAGCTTGGAGGCCTTCTTCTGGGATGAACAGTCCATGACCCGCACTCAGGCATCGAGATCTCATCTGATGGCTTCCTCTGTGTGATTTTTCAGGATCTAGGCCGATACAAGGACCAGACCCGGCTGCCTTTCAACGCATTTGGAACCCTAGCCATGGCGAGAGAGGTAATTGCTCTCTGTCTCTCTCTATCTCTCTCTCTCTCTCTCTCTCTCTCTCTCTCTCTACCTCTGTTCTTTCTCTCTCTTAATCTCTGTGCTGTGGGACAGGAATTCGACAACAACTCGGCCTCCAGCCAGGTGTTCTGGCTTCTGAAGGAAAGTGAGCTCACTCCGAGCAACGCCAACATCTTGGACGGCAGGTACTCTGTCTTCGGGTACATCACACAGAACGAGGATTTATTGGCAGACCTCAAGGTGGGAGATGTGATCGAGTCGATCGAAGTGGTTTCCGGGCTCGACAACCTGGTCAACCCCAGCTACAAGGTCGCGGGTTGACTATCGCCCACCTCCTAACTGCACCTCTTCATGTATAAATACGAGGGCTCAATCAATTTTCTTTCCAGGTTTCATCGTAGATCGTCCGGCTCAGCTCTTCCTTTTTTTTTTTCTGCCAGAGGTTTTGTAAACGAGGGATTGCCGAACCAATTCCTTCAGAAAATCTCCTCGAAATTGAGGCTCCATTTTGATCAACCCCGTCTATGCTCGTTGACTTTCGGAATATCAACTATCTTAGATCTGCATGGTCAACTCTCTTCACATCATCATCATCATCATCATCATCGTCATCATCAGGAGAAGATCTGACTTCGAGGTCAACTAAGGGCCTCGGGTCCGGCGTAAACAGAGGCAGCTCCGCTGCTGGTCGTCGGCGATCATGCCGCCGCCTTTGGTGGTGTCGATGGCCTCCAAGATCGCCACCACCTCGTCCATCTCCGGCCGGCGGTCCGGGTTCGCGTCCCAGCACCTCTTCATCACGTTCCCCAGCGAGCTCGGGCAGCACCGAGGGATCTCCGGCCGCAGGTTCTGACAGAATCGAAGCAGCAAAAGGAAAAAAAGTCAACTCACCTAACAAATCTCGAAGCAGTATAAGATCGCATCTGGAAAAAAATGGGATTTGGAGAAGCAGGAAGGTCAACTTATCCAATAATTTTTCATAACAAAAGTCAACGCATCTAAAAGAGCTCAGAAAAGCTCTTAAAGATCGCATCTAAATATGAGAATTGGAAAAGCAAGATAGGTTAATGCATCTAAAAAAGCTCATAGGACTTAAAAGACTGCATCTAAAGCAGATATTTGGAAACGGTGAAAAAGGTCAACGCATCTAAAAAATTGCAGCAGCATAAAAAGTCAATGCACCTAAAAAGGCTCAAAGAGCTTAAAGATCGCATCTAAAAATGAAGATTGGAGGAGCATAAAGAGGTCAGCGCACCTGCCGGACGACGGCAGAGGAGACCTCGGCGAAGGTGAGGTCCGGGTAGGGCATGTCGCAGCAGTAGATCTCCCACAGGCAGATCCCAAAGCTGTAGACGTCGCACTTCCTGTTGTAGGGGTGGCCGTTGAGCACCTGAAGGCGACCCAGAAGAGTCAACCCGCGTCAGAGACCAGATAGAGGTCAACGATGCTGAAAATGGGTATAGGTCAACGATGCTGAAGCGGGTGGAGGTAAACCTCCGGGGCCATGTAACCGAGAGTGCCGGTCTCTCCGGTCATGTCGTTGGGATTCTGAGCTTCGAGCCGGGCCACGCCGAAGTCAGCGATCTTCACGGTCCTCGCCTTGTCCATCAGCATGTTCTCGGTCTTCACGTCCCGGTGGACGACCTTCTTCGAGTGGAGGTAGCTCAGCCTGCGCCGCAAAAAGGACGGCGGCTCATCAACTCCGAAGACAGAAGGAAGAGAGAGAGAGAGAGAGAGAGAGAGAGAGAGAGAGGTTGACCCTCTGGCGAGGTCGAGGGCGATCTGGACGACGACTTTGAATGGCAGCTTCCTGCGCCGGTTCTTGATGAGGTACGACTTCAGGGTGCCCCCAGGGAGGTACTCCACCACCACGCAGCAGATGTTGGTGGGCATCCCCAGTTGACCGGATTCTGTCTGAATTTCCAGGTCCGTCGCGCCCATTATCGCGCCCACAAACTGTTTTATCACATTTTTGCGGAAATGAATGCAGCTCAGGTTTGGAAAGTTCCGGTTTTATCACACTAATAATTTTTTTTTCCTACAAAAAGTCAACCCGGAACGGGAACATGGTTGACAAAAGGACAACGCAAAGTCTTTTCTATGGGGGCGGGATGGTCAGAGTAAGATCGGTACCTTGGTGACATTAAGATGGTCGAGCTTGTGCCAGACAACAACCTCCTGAGTGAAGGCCGCCCTGAGGGAAGCGATCTCGGCTTCTGTTCTGGCTCCTTCCTCGCCCCAGTCCAGCAGTTTGACTGAACAAGGCAAGTGGCCAAGAATATTGGTCAACTCACTCTGATCTATCCCTCCCACCACCATAATATGACACCCTTGCTCGTATAAACCAAGATTATTCTTCTTCGTCTCACCAGTGAGTTGACTCTGGGTTTTGGGAATAACGGCCCTTTTAAGATCACATCGTCAAAGTAGAGGTTCTCAATTTAGGTAGAGGATGTTGAACCAGAGCGAATAATAATCAGTCAATGATTACCGAAGGGACTGCTTATCCTTGAGCTGATATATATAGAGAAACGTGAGCTGAATCCAACTCCCAAAGGACGGCGAAGCTGTGCCCCAGAAAAAGTCCGCGGAGAGCGAGAGAAGAGAGAGAGAGAGAGAGAGAGAGAGAGAGAGAGAGAGAGAGAGAGAGAGAGAGAGAGAGAGAGAGAGAGAGAGATCATCGTATCTCAAAACATAAACCAGGGTTTGTTGATGAGGGGGAAGATCGGAGCAAGAAGAAAAGCTGAGTAGAAGTCAGAAGCGAAGACGCAGAAATCAGAGAGGAGAGGCGTATGCTCGGAGCTAACTAAAAGCACTGGCTGCGATGGAGGACGATGGAAGAGACACCCAGGAATCAAGATTTCAGCGAGCTGTCCACCAGGAGTCTCAGAAAATTGTAGAGCGAGAGAGAGAGAGAGAGAGCGACTCACCGGCGACGTCGAGGCCTTCGTAGACGCCGCGGTGGACGGTGCCGAAGGTACCCCGGGCGATGGCTCCCTTGATGACGAGCTTGGAGGGGTCGATCTCCCACTCCGGCTTCTCCCTGGCAGCGCCGCCAGACCGCCCCCGGCTGCCGCCACCGCCCTCCTGCTTCCTGATCTTCTCCAGCGTCCAGACCCGTGAGAGGTGCCGCTCCAGCTGCTCGTCCAGGCTCTTCAGGTCGATCTGGTCCGCCCTCACGAACCCGCCGCCGCCGCCTCCGTCGCCCCCCTCCATTTCTCCTTCGTCCACCGCCCTTCGCCGGCGCCTCCCCTCACGCTCCTCTGGGGAGACGGCGGCGGGAGGTCGAAGAAGAGGAAGCCTGCCGCCGGCGGTGGGCTCTTCGGAGCACCACCACAGTCATCGCCGCCACGGCGGCCACTACTTACAGAGTTGACGATCAGCTACTTCCCAGTTCTCTCTACCTCCCCCTCCTTCCTCCTCTACGTTCCATGTGACCACATGGGTTGCCTGAACACAACGTGCTTCTCTGACCCACCTCTCTCTTCCTCTCTTTCTCTCTCTCTCTCTCTCTTATCCTCGTTAAGCTCTAGCAGCTGCATTGGTCTTATGAAAGAACCTACCCCAAGCATTCCTCCCTAGAGTCTGATGATCACCCACACCCGAGATGGGGAAAACCGTGGGGGCCGGTGGGGCGAAGGTCAACAACCAGGAGGTGTGATGAAACCAGGGCGGCAGTAGCCGCCAAGGTGGGCATTCATCAGGGGCCTGCTGGAAATCGGCGCGTGGCCTTTTTGTCAAATCAGCTTTTCCCACGCGGCGCATAGAGATCAGAGGCTTTGACTGGGGAGAGCTCAGACGGCGCTCTCCTCCCTCTTTATAATAACTGGTGGAGAGAGAGGGAGGGGAAGGCACGTGACTCATCCGCTCAAGTCAGATGGGTTGACGGGAGTCAATCCAAAGAGATAGATATCAGCATATCAATGCCGGTGTCCTCTTGTCCACTGTCCTGTGAATATACGAATATACCGGATCAACCCACATGCATTTTCCTAAACCCCACAATTTTTTATAAAAAAAAGAAGTCACTCAATTCTTGATGCGTTATCTTCTCTTTGAGAGGATCGCAGTGGGCAGCACCAATCAACGGGCGCCGAGATTTCTCTTTTTTTTATTATTATTCTGCAGAAGATCCAAAAGGGGGGCACCAGCGGACAAAAGATGGTGGTAAAAAAATCTGATGCATCCATCGGAAGGATCCGGACAAGCCGGAGCTACGCCGGAGCGAGAACGGGGAAGTACATTCCCCACCGCCAAAACCCCATTTCCGGATTGACCCAAGGTGATTGATATAAAAGAGAGAAAGCAGATCATCTTCTTCTTTTTCTTTTTTTTTAAGGTAATTTTTTAACCCCATCTCCCCAGTATTTAGAGACGACTTCTCTAAGTCAATGACTACGAGTGTCAAAAGTCTAAAGTAATACTCACCGGGGCCGGAGTCGTCCCACTAAGCCACGGGGCCTGCAGATATTGTCTACTTTAGTCAATGACAAGAACAATAATAATAATACGAATAATCATTCAGAGGAGGAAATTGGTAGAGAACCTGACAGCGCTCCATTGGCGAACTCTGTCTCGGCCTGTCACGGGCGGGGGGGGTGGGGCGTGGTGTGGGGGGGAGAGAAAGAGAGAGAGAGAGAGAGAGAGCCCACGTCGTATGTATGCATGTATGCATGTATGTATAAGAGAGGGACCGACTGTTCATACAGATCATAACCACTGTGTATGGCGACATGATTTGAAGAATGATGTGATTGGATTAGATTACTTGCGGCGTTTCTTCTTGTCCGGGGTATCGTGGACTTGGGCCTTGACGCCGAACATCCTCAGCTGGAGATTCTCAAACGCCTCCGATATCGCTTCCACCTGAATTCAAAACCAGTGAGCGAGGGGGTGAGGAGAAAAAAAGGAAAAGAAAGGGGGAGATGGTGGGTGAGGTTCCACCGACCAGCTCTGGCTTCTTCGAGTAAACGCGGACGATTCTGTCCTGGTAGGACACCGGCAGGAGGTGGCTGATGCGGTCGTCAGAGACTGGGAACTTGCCGCCGCTCTCGTAGTCCTGAAAGCAAGAGTCAACCATCTAACATGAACAGGGGAAAGGCAGGGACGTTGACGAAAAGATCATTGCAGGGAAGTTTTAACGGGATTCGCGGATTAGACAGAGAAAGTTGATACCTTGAAGAAGTTGATGCTGATTGGTCGCGCATTCGCAGGCCCAGAAAACATAATTAAAGATTATCAGCAGCAGAAGAGCCGATTCGACTGACGTTTATGAAAGCACCGAAATGCGTATTAAAATGAAAATATGTGCCCGTCAAGAACCTGCGGAGGGGGTTATCGTTTCCGCATGTCAAATCAATCTTGACATTGCTCACCGCAACGTCTTCCTCTCTTAAAGTGATTCCAGTAGCTCTCTACAGGCACAAGACTTGTCAGCTAGAACCACTCAGTGGAGCAATCAGTGACAAGGTAACAGCAGAAATACGAGGCGCCCGGAGGAAGGACCTGAGAACAGACAATATCTTGCGGGGTGATGTTTTTAAAATGCTCCAGTTCATCCTTGGGGACGGCAAACTCATTGCAGAACTGCCGTAAGACACCCAACGAGCCTTTAGGACACGTGGCAGAATATAAACATAGCACGTAAAATAGAACACAATTCTCCGCATTTCAAGTGATTTCTTCGAGGTATGGTTGGAATTTTTAGGGACATGAGTGGACAAAATAAGAATAACTGTACCCTTTAAAAATAAAATATAATAATAATAATTTTATATTTTAAATGTTGATGAAAAAAGAAAAGAACAAAAGAGATTCGTACCTGATATAATTCTCTGCGTCGGATGCGCCGGATTAAATCCCGCGATTCCTGTAGCTCCGGGTTTGGAGCTGTTTCAATAGTTTTGATTATAGTGTCATCTAGCTGCAGAAGACCCAGATACGGGCATCAACATGGATCTGTAAAACATTAACCAGACTGGGTGACCAGCACAGACGATCAGAGTACCTTCCAATACTCGCTGGGATCGTAGATGTGAGAAGAGATTTCCAGAAAATCGTTGGCTTTCACGAGTGCGTCCACGAGCATGAGCTCTATAGCCTGCACAGAAATCCTACTGTCAGTTGGCTGGGGCTTTAGAGTAAAAGAGCAACCGTATGAATGGATTAGAGCATCACCTTTACTTTCGCATGAGTATAGACGGTTCGATGAAGATCAGCGCGGGTGGCGAATAATTTGTGGATCGTTAGATCTAATAGGATGAACCATATCAGCAGGGTAGAAGTAAGATACATCTGGATACGGCAAAAATATGAGATTGTGATCTGACACTAACATTCCTTTGCGGGGTAGCAAATTTCATCATCTATAACTCGCATGCTCTCCATTAGCCTGGAACAAACAACATAGAACGCATACGGCATCATTCTTATTGACTGAAACCTAGAAGTCAACATAGTTGGAGGGCTGGAATTCAAATTATCTAAAAGATCCCATAACACAATCCCCTACATGCATTAATAAATATAAGTTTGGACAAAGTACGCAAGTATTTTCAATTCATACCTCCTGAACTGAAAATTGCATCCAAGACCACAGGCACGAGAATCACGACCAATATAATCAAACCTATTCATTAGGATATATATATACAACGACATCAGGCACTTCTAAAGAAGTCAGCATAAACGTTCAAAATATATATATATATATATATATATTTTTTTTTAAGGTATAAAAATCCATAAATCGGAAAGCTATTGAGAAAGGGAAATAAATAGATTCCATACTTGTCAACATCGATTCCATTGCGGCCATTGGCAACAATATCGAATAAGAACTGTTTTTCCCTGGATTTCTAGGCGAAAGAAAGTTTGAAAGAATGTTTAAGAAGCCATTAAAAGAGGGAACAGAGGTAACAGGATCACATGGGAAAACAAAAGAGTCGTGTGTCTCACCTTCGGTGCTGAAACGTTACAGCTGGCAACTATCATTTCCTGTGTGAACCGAAGGGGCGTATTTAGCAACTTCTCCACTTTAGAGAAAATAAGCTCTCAGATTATCAAGATCACACAATGAACAGAGGCAAGTGCCGACAACCAACGATGTTATATATGTAAGAAGCGAATGGCAAGATCCACAGACAGTGGGATTCAAATACACTATAACAGCTCGAGCATAGCCTTTGTAATGCATCTAGTTTGTTTTATCACATTAAGGATTTATGAACCATCATTAGCAAAAGAAAACCAAGAGAAAAAGGCTGAGGAAAACTACGCGTTCTTGAACTAACCCGTATACACTGTTAATTGGTAATAAGGAAGTGATGCAAAAATGAAAGTAGGGCCCTACATTCTTTAAGGTAAATGATGGCAGCAATAAGGTCGAAAATGGAGCATCTAACATACTCAGGATGCCATATATTCGTATGAATTTTATGTGAGAAAAAAGAGCGCCTCGTAGGACTGATATGTGCAAAGACATCTCCGGTCTGACCGTTGTACATGCCATCGCATTCTTGCTCTTCTTTTTATCAGCAAAAATAATCTGAATTGCAAGACCATGCCAGTTAGATGTATCATTCTTTTGCCACATCGGATGTAAGGGGTATCTAATTTCTCTACTTCTCTGCCCCCTAAAGCATAACCATTGGCACCGTAAAGAATTATAACCTTGTTAACTTAACAACTACAACAGAAAAATTATGAGAAAAACCATCTTACTTTCACTCTTCCGAGGATGTCAGAATCAATGTCAATATGATGCTCATCAACAATAAAATCAACCAACATCCCAGACATATGCTCATGAGACCTAAACAAAAATTTCAAGGTGTATGAAAAAATTAATACAATCTGTTGAATCTATGCGGATATTTACAGGAAATTATTAAAATAATTTCATATAATAAATTGCAGTAAGAAGATAAAATTTAATTCACCAATTTCTTATTTGGAGAAAAAATTCATGTGATTGACCTTGGGGAAAGAATGAACATCAGACTGATAAAACCTTATTTGGTGCATCCGCCCAAAAATGATTATCTATATCATGTTGATAATAAAAAAATATTTATGGGCATTGCTGAAGGACAAAGTATTTACTTGGGGAGAACATCAGTTCTTACATCAGTTCGCATCGTTAAACAGTTGTGAGGAGAAAGGGGTGGATCATAGAGGCTCAATTTTCCCTTGTGATTTTCCTTCAAAGGTGATTAATGCTGGAAGTCGTGAATATAAAAAGCTAAGATTCCTACGAGTCAATACAGTTATTAAAAGCACCTTGAGGATATATGCATCATAGCAAACCAACCACAGTATATCTACTACCCTTGAGCAAAAAAAAAAAAAACAGAAGAACTTCTAATAATTATTGCCCCTAGCACCTTATGCCAAATAGGCATGGATCCGCCAAAGAATCAACAGATCATGCATCCGTGTCCTGTAGAAGGTTCTGGAACTGTTTTGTGTTACATTGTCCACGAAAGTAGAACCTAAATAAGACCTGACTCAACGCTGCTTAATAACTATTCCTACAAGGTACAGTTTATCAAGATGCCGAAGTGATTAAGTACATGAATACGAAAAGGGTCTGAATTTGATTATTTGAGTGCGTGGAAGCCAAAGGCGACATCATTCAAAAAAGAATAAGTCACTGATAGTGGCTTCTCGGATAAGTTTACACCACATAAAATTGGGGATAATAGCGAACTAAGCGACAGACAAACAATATTACCGCAGGATATTCAGTTACGCTCTCAAACTTAACTGTGAAACTCTAATACCTGCCAGTAAATATTATTTTAGCACAGCGAAGCATTTTAACATTTAGTACCAAAGACGTTTAAGTGAACGAATATAAATTACTTCCTATTTATTATTATTCAATTGTTACTATTTGATGCAATAGGAAAACTGAAAATCACCATTTAGATCCTGTAAGTACACGAGGAAGAAATCCATTCTCGAAAAGGTGGCTAAATGGGCCATGGCCAAGATCATGCAACAAACCTATCAAGATCAGAAAAAGGATTAGAAATACTGATTACCAAAAATTTACAGCTGTTGAGAGTACAATAACTTACCTGCAAGTTTCACTGTCTGTATGTCAAAGTGATCGATGTCAAGCTCTAAACCCTATAAGCGTAGCTGAGGCACTTTAGTAGCTTTTCTAAAGCATTTAACGAGAAATAAACAACAACAAAATTTAAAAGGAAAGAGGGCCTTGTTATAGCTTCAAGACCTGGTAAGTTTGAAGGCACTCGATTGCTTCGTTAGCAAGCCAATATACCCCTAGAGAGTGCTCAAATCGAGTGTGTACAGCTCCCGGATAAACCATACATGTAAGACCTAAAACATCCGGAACCTCAGTCATCCAAAAAGATTAACGGAATAAAATTGGCCGCAATTCATGTATGAAATACCTTCTATGTTGGTGAGTAAGAGTCATATAGACCAAGTAAAAAATGACCAGATGGGCCGGTGTACTTGACTTGCATTAAAAATGAGAGAAACAAAAACAATTCAATAAAAAAACAATAAGGAGGCTTAGAAACAACTAACTATAGCCCTAAGCAGATAAAGGGCACATTAAACAAGATGTTTTAGGATAGGCATATGACGTCACGGTTCTCAAGAATATACAGAGATGACGTGGCATAATTGATAAAGTCTTCATACTGTCAAAAGAAAAATGAGGCAAACTTTAAAACATTAATTTTGGAGAGTCTATGAGGTGCTGAGATTGTATAGTATTATAACAAGATAAATCTGCCGCACATTCTAATGAGAAAGGACTTTGAAGGTAGTAATATTACTTGCCACAAGTAGACCCAATCTGTAATTGATATTTAAATTTAATTTAAATTTTCAATGAGAATCATCCATCACATGCTTGAATGGAAATCAGGAAAACTAGGCAAACCTTTATTTTGACCACAAAAAATTCAAAAAAATATGTTGTGGATAGATGAGGAGCTCTTGAATTTTTATTTCTCAAACGACCAAGGTAGACTAGCACAACTGCTGGAATTTTTTTATTAGGATATGGAGCACTATATAAATTTCTGTATCTTGGCATTTATACCCCGATCTTCTACATCTCAGCCTCTACTGCGACAGAAGTAGCCCCCAAGCCGAGAGTTGCAAACGACCCAATGAATGACCCACGTTCAGACAAGGACATGCATTCATCCTATAAACGAAAGTTTAATGGAAGTATAAAAAACTAAACAAGAATGACAAAGACATTGTTATTACTATTAATAAGACTGCTCAGTTACACGTGTTTTACACAGTTGGTTCACTTTATAGACCCATTTCTTGTCAATTATATAGGACTGGATAACATTGCAATGAAGAGCATGATAAGATCTTTCCAATTCCTAGATAATTTTAATGCTTACATATCCTGCTTCTCATTATTGAAAAGTTGAAAAGGTAAAACTGACTAAATGGACGGTAGCGATATAGCTACACAGGTCGGAACCAAACCAACCATTTCAGTATCCACAATACAGAACGTAATGGAGTCAGCATTATAAGAAAATCACTCTCAGCAATAATCGTAATCTTCAATGATGCTTAAAACATCCAAATGATTCAAAGCTTTAACATAATCAGACATATCTAAGACGTTCTATAGGTAACGTTTTTCTTGAAGAAATGAATATTCTGAAATATTTCATCTCTGACAGTTAGATTCATAGGCTGTAACCTCAAATATGAGATTAGGCGCCAACGCTAAAGTATTCCCATTCTAAATGTTATTTAACACTTCTATTAAAGGAATCCAAATGCTACGATTATAAGATTAGTAATCTACTTGTATCCTTATTTGGTCATTCCTCTCATATCATTTTTACTAGATGAAGGGGACACTAGGGGCGAGCCATTAGGGCATCCAATAATTTATAGATGACATGTGGACAACATCTATGTCCTTACATGAATGGAAGCTCTGCATAATTTGAAAAGGACATAGAAAAACGGTTTCTTGGAGCAAATAAAGTCAAAAATGTGAAAATCCGTACTACTAAGATATGGCATAGAACTTACAAGAAGTTATCCTATTCCTGCAAAGCATATTTTAAGATGTTTATCCACTTTGAATGCTCACATTTATTCTGAATAACAGCTGAGATAACTAAAGCTAACCATAGTAAAATGAAAATATAAATACATCAATCTATCTCTGGAGGATAAAATCATTTCTCTTTGATTTTGTATGTTCTATTTCAAATTTCCAGCATGCTAACGACGCTCACCAAGCTGCTTCATATCTCGTAGCCTGCCAATTGGAATGAAGGATTAAGTCAGGCCTTGAAGCATTACATTTGAAAATATAGGTAAGCATAAACTTGAACAAATCTCTTAATTGATAGCCAGAGACTATTGTTCTCACCTCTGAAATTGTTCTGTGTCAATAAATTTCAAGCACACCTGCAGCAGATAGATGCAGATTATATTCATAACAGCTTAAATATATAAAAATGAAAGGCTATCTGAAGTCGTTTCGTCTGTAAGCAAGATGTACCAAAATAAATTACTGAGAGGGTTATGATGCTGATTATAAGAAACAAATCGATTCAAATTCATAAAGACCAAATAAGTTTACTTACATGAGGCATAAAATGACGAACAATCAAAGGAAGAATCAATGTCAATCATCAAAAAAATGTTGACCATTCTGTTGACGTCAGCGGAAGGTAATTTATCTTGGGAAAATGAGCATGAACCATAGAGCTTCTACATGGCTTAACTGAAAAAAAATTAAAAAATTTACAAAAAAAATAATCTCCTCTAACAATCTGAGAAATCACATAGGGTTAAATTCAAATAAGAAAATTAGGACGCCAAGCTGGAGGGAACTCTAATAAACAGGACTGCAAAGAGTCCAAAGAGTGAAAGGATATGGTAGCATTACAAAACTCTGAGTTCTTGGTTCTTTTGTGACTTCTAACTCAGGTCCTTATGTAGTTGGGATTTTTAACTACTTTGTCTACTTTAGGAGCTTGGCCAGCTACTCCAGACCTCATCGATCTACAAGACATAAAAGTCCTTTTTGAGAAAAAAGGTTGGGGTCTAAACCTATGAAACTAATGGATTTATTTTTTCCAATTTTAATATTAATTTTATTAAAGATTATTAGTAAAGAAAACTAGAACAACAACGAACAAGGGATGCATGTTACACGAAATTGTTGTGGGATCGGATGCACAATAAACTTAAGATTCAGAACAGGTTTACAATAAACCGGAGATGACTATCAGCACTTCTCGCACATTATCTTCTCATAATATATTTGTATATCCACGCACATATATCCACCTAATATCACGAGAGACGAACGATAGACTATAAAAATGGAGTAACGCAGCACGCATCCTCTTACTAGACAAGATCCAAAAAGTCGGCACTAATATTGTTAGGCTCCACAGGCATTATATATTTCGGAGGGGCTAAACAAGACTGCACAAGATACAGCTCATTCCAAGCACTCTTCACCGAGTCCATTGCAAAGTATTCGAGAAGTTTTCCGAGACTTTAATAACAAAAATGTGCTGAAAACCGATATAATTGTTAGCCAGTAAAAATAAGCAGCAGGAGTGGTACGATAATAGAGAAAAACCGAAAAAAAGGAGCATACGAGAACGAGATGATGCAAAAGAAGAGCATCAGATGGTAACTGAGCGCATTTAAAACGATGAGTCAGCACCAAATCAAGCACGCAATGATATGATGCCAATTCAAATCCTACTTCGCACCACAATCAGCACGCATGAAAAAATATCCAGTCGGGGCCTACTACCGTCCATCCTACTCCAAGCCTAGCAATTCAATTTCGAAGAAATTCCGCAATCAAGCACGCAACCACATGATGCCAAGTCGAGTCCTGCTTCACACCACAATCAGCAAGCATGCACAAACATCCAGTCGAGGCCTATTACGAACGGAGACGGAGAACCGTGCGTTCGTCAGTCCATCCGACTTCAGGTCTAACAGTTACATTCCGAAGAAACACCGCAATAAAGCAGACGGCAGAGGACTCAAAAACTCACGGGGTCCAGGTAGATGTTTCCGTGGACGTTGTCGTAAACGTGCTTCAGGAGCCTCCGGTCACGCGACACTCTGGTGTGGAAGAGCTGCTGGTGGCGTTGAGGCGGAGGGAGCACTCCGTTGCAGCACTCTCCCATCTTCTCTACGTTCCGCCTCTCTCCGTCAGAGAGCGGGACAGAGGAAGAGGAGAGAGAATGATGGGGCTGGGGTTTCCCGCGAGCAGTTGTTTGGTGGGGGCGAGTTGGAGGGAAAAGGATGAGGGAGGAGGCTGATGATGGCGCCACTGCGGGTGGAAGTTGGGAAGCGACGACTGGGGGAATTTGTAGGAAAGCCCCCCCAGGCGGTTGACTATTAAATATTAGTCCAACTAACCTACAAGTATATATATTTATATCGGAGCGGAGAAAGCGGTAATCTACGTGGCGGGGGTTACTCTATTTACACAGAATGTCGGATCGCCAGTTCAGGCTCAACTCCTCGCTTTACGTTAGCGGACCTACAGGTCGGGCCCCTGGAATATTAGGTCAACGTGTAAGGGTATTTTCGGTAACACCGCTAGCTAGGGGTGTTTTCGGCTGCCCAACCATTCCTAGTCAACGTGTAGGTGTCTTTCAAGTGACGTATAGGGGTCTACCTGCTCAACTGATAGGCCACTTTCGGCTGCCCAGCCACTCCTAATCAACGTGTCGGTGTCTTTCAAGTGACGTATAGGAGTGTACCTGCTTAACTGATAGGCCACTTTCGGCTGCCATCAACCACTCCTAATCAACGTGCAGGTGTCGTTTAAGTAGCATGTAGGGTGTACTTCGTCAACTTAGGTCATTTTCAGCTGCCGAAACCTCCCCTTTGTCAACGGGTAGGGGTATTTTCGGTAGCATGCATCGCGAGCCTGCATGCCAGATCAATTATTTTTTTGTACCCTCATCGATCCCTTCCTTCACAATTTTTTTTTCAAAAGATATGTTTGTGAGTAACTTCTTCCTTCAGTCACATCCAATGAAGCATTCGATCTAATTAAGTAGAACACATAGGAGGGGATGAATTGATTTCTTATATAATGTTCTATTTTTTATATTATCTATGAGTGTATGTGTCAACACAGGTTCAAATAACTTCTCTGTAATGCATACATATTTACTTAATTTAGTTTCTCTTTCTATATGAGTTCACTCTAATCTCTCTGTCTCTCATCATCAAGAACACATAATTTTTATACTAATTCACCCCTCACTAGACTATGTCAAGCCTTAAAGTCTATAGTTTACTATTTAAGTCTAGGTACACTTCTTTACTTCAAGGATTTATTATGTACCTAGAATGCTCTCAACATCTTTACTTTTAGAATTACTCTTAGGGTTTGATGGAGAAAAACAATCTTCAATATAACTGATTGATTTATTTGTCATTTCAAATGATTAAAAATGATGAAACTTTAATTACTTATTTAAAATGTGTGGTTACTTTGTTATATGGGATTGGGTGTATCTTACTTTGAACTAATGTAAATGACGTAGATGTAGATTTCTTTGTTCAACATTGACTTCATTTGTTCTCAACTCCCTCTACTTATACTCTAATAAATTTATGTTATATCAATATTTGAAAACACTCATATTATTTTAAATATCTTCTTGTTACTCCACCAATGCTCTAGTGACCTTTGCTTTTTACTTTAAAGTTTTCTTTTCTAGTGATAGTTGTTCATGGTATTTGGTTTGAAAATTTATACCTAATTGATTAATATTTCTTCTTTCAGAAGAGAACATTTGACTTGTCCTTAGTCCATATCTTCTATTTCATGAGTTACCATCTATAATTCAAGCTTTTAACTTTTGATCATGTTAATGTTTAAATATTTTAACTCGTTGATATATTGTATGGAGATATTTAACTGATCAATGTATATATTTGTCTTCAAGGTCAAGCTAAAATATTATTGTTGAGCTTGTCATTTACACTACACACTCTAATTACATGTTACCATATAGAGAGTGAGAAGCTTACCTTGAGTCTTCATTCATTTTCAAACACACATGTCTCTCATAGTTCATCTTCAAAACTTTTTTCAAGAGATAAATGAAACTTCAACGATTGATCTTACTTCGACACTAGGTTTAAGTTTAATTATTTCTACTTTATCATTTTTTCTAAGACTAAAGCCTTCAATTTTTTAGAGTATTCAAAGAGTAGTTTTTTCATCACTTCATGAATTGAATTTTCTTAGTTCCTCTTTCAATTATTATAAATAAATAATTTACATCCAAATGTTTTAAAGTAACTTATATTTGGCTTCATGTGCTTCAAAGGTTTATATGAAATTTTCTTCAATTCAACTCTAATTAACACTATATTTGTGACTTAATATGTTGAACAACCTCTAATTAAAACTCTATTTGTGAAAGTCACAATCAACTATATGGTCTTAGATAGATTAAGTAGAGTTTTATTTTTTTCTCTCATGACTCCATTATATTGAGTTTTAAGTGTTGAAAATTCATGAGTGATTCCTAATTCATCATTAAATTTTGAAAAACATAATATTTTTAAATTTACCTATATTATTCCTTATAATTATCCTAATTGATGAGTCTAGTTAATTTGTATCTTCTTTGCAAATGTAACAAAGAAATTAAATATTTTATTTTAATGAAATAAAAAGAACACCTAAGTAAATCTAGAATAGTAATCAACAATAACAAAGTAATAAAGTTTTTGCCCAAGTTAAAATTGATTTGGACCAAACAAGTTAAATGAATTAATTCTAGAGGTTGTGTTGAAGATATAAGTTTTTCATTCTAAATATTCTATATTTTTTTTTCCTTGATGCAACTCTCATTTGTGTATTTTTCATATTTGTGAGTTTGGGTAGTCTTATAACTATATCTAATTTTGATTTTTTTAATTATTTTCATATTTACGTGTCCAAGCCTTTTATGCCAAAGATTCATTTCTTCTTCATCTCTTTCAAATATGAGACATACATTTGATTTAGTTAACTTTTCAAGATCGAGTACATTTTCATCTTATCACCAGTGTTATCATTTAAAATCAAACATTTGTCTTTGTTGAACTTGACTTTCGTGTCATTATCACAAAGGTAACTAATATTAATGAGATTATAATTTAAATCCATCAACAAGTAAGATATCTTTAACAATAGATTTATCATTTAAAGTAATATCTCAACATCTATAAATGTTTCTTTTTTTGCTATCCCTAAATGTGACTTTGCCTCCATTTATAGGCTTGAATGTGGAGAGTCAGTTCTGATGTCTAATCATATATCTTGAACATCCCCTATCTAAGTATCATCATGAAATTCCACCAATCCCCTTGAAAAGTTAACTAAGTTTTTAGTTGGAGGACACAAATTATTTTGGGCTCAACTAAACTACCCTTAGGACTCATATACTGTATTGAGCTTAATTTCATTTCTATTAAAAAATTAAATTTCATTCCTTAAATGACTTCTTGTTGATTTTAGTTTCAAGTCTAATATTTCTTTTCTAAGTGAGAGTTTTTGATTTCCTAATAATATATCTAATGTCACTTGACAACAATATAACTTTTTGTAATATATCTCAAATTAAATATTTTCCTTTCTAAACTACCGTCTTTTTCTGTGACATTTAATTTTTGTACCCAAGCTATCATTTTTTATCCTTAATTTTTGATTTTCTAAACTTAGAAATTATGTTTTTATGTGCAAGACACTCATGGTTTGATGAGATGAGTCTTGTGTTGATCTTTGGCTCTTATTGACTATTTTCATAAGATTTTCAATTCTATTTCTCCAAACTTTTAGTTATGGTGGTGTGATTATTTTACTTTCTAGAGCATTATTTGACTAAATGATTTTCTTCATATTAAGTACACAATTAAAGTTTAACAATGTCAAATACATCAATAAGTTCATTAAGATCATTTTATAACTTATTATTTGAGGGAGAGTAGTCAAGATTATATACCTCTAACAATCTAGTTATTAGACATATAACTTTATTTTCTTTAGTCTCTTTGTTTATACAACAATCGATGTCGCTCTATGTAGCCATCATTGTCCTTCATCTTTGATTTAATTTTTTCTTCTTTAATATTAGGTATTTAGCCTTGAAGTGACCTAGTTTCTTATATTCAAAATAGAGATTATTAGAATTTTTAGAAAGTTGATTTATACTTTTACTATATATGAAATTTCTTTTTCTTTTATATAATTTATTCAACTATCTAGATGACAAAGTGATTTAGTCATTTTCATAAGATCTTTGAATGATTTAAAGGCAATCTTGTAGTTCTTTTTCTTAAGAGGGCTATACTTCTAGCTATATTAGTTTCTTGGGTTAGTAGTAAATCATTAATTTTTTGTTGAAAGATAGTATTTATATTTTTAGATTCTATGACTATCATCTTCTTCGTAATCCTAACATAAGTCAATGTCCTAATTAGTTTGACTTACTTCTCAATGTCTTCTTTGGGAAAAGTTTTACTAAGGTTTCTCATGTTATTAATTGTTTTGTCAAAATTTATGATGAGATTATTAATGGAATCTCATTCTTTCATATAAAATAATTTATATCTACCAACTAAGATGTCGATCCTAATATCCTTCACAACTTGAAAAAATTAAATGCAGATACATTAATAATACTAAGTATTCTTCACTCTAACATTTAAACTTGAGATTTGTTCCGTCATAGACTCATCTATAGTTTTCTATACACCATCCCTAATCATCTTCCACACCTTAGATCTTTGACCTATAGCATATATTCTAACTCTACTTTTTCAAAATATATAATTTATTCCATCAAACATAAATGGTATAAGGTTGAAGAATTTAGTTATTTCACTAGCCATAAGATCTACTCCTTGAGATGTTTTAATCTCTATCGATCAAGGTGGTCCTTGATGCTAATTGAAGGGTTCTTTGTGATTAAGTAGAATACCAATAAGAGTTGTTAAACTAGTTTTCTACATCTAATGTTCTATTCTTTTGTTCTACCTATGAATGTATGTGTCAACACAAAGTTTCACAAAACTTCTCTATTTTAGATACGAGATTACTAAAGTCAATCTCTCTCTCTCTCTCTCTCTCTCTCTCTCTCTCTCTCTCTCTCTCTCTCTATGTGGGTTCACT